GTGACATCCTTACACCACAGAAATCTTGTACATGACGATGCAGAGTGGATACGATTCTACGGTTTCAGAGATAAGACAAGTAAGAATGAGAGAAGGGATGTAATAGAATAAAAGGAAAACTAATTGGACACACATAAGAGACTAAGGTAACTTGAATATCTGAATAGTAACAGCCTTTGAAGCATATACGTCTAGTTGTTATACCAATTTACTTTGTTATTTTTTATAAATTCATTTCCTGAAAATGATCAACAGAAATATTTCAGAAAAGTTAATATGAGACCAACTATCTTAAATAAAATTGAAAGAATTATTCTGGAGTGTCTTCAATGGGATAAAACGTTTGAAATATTATGTTAAGCATCCAAATATATAAAGAGTGTATCAACTTCTTAGTAGCTGCACCCCAGCATCGTGCACATAGCTTCTATATATCAATCGGGTAGCTGTAGATTACAGTTACAAGCGACACTCTACACAATAACGTTCAACAGGCAACTTTTTTGGTATGCACTCTCATAAATCAATGCTTGAAGGAAACTCCAAGCAAAACGTCCATACCCTTCGATATGCCTACTATACAATAGTACCAATGATCCATGTTCTTCGTCCATTCCATGTTTGTTTGTCTCTCTTTTTTCGAGGGCTCTTCCATAGTTAAGAGTATCCTCGATTTTTCTAAACGTCATTTACCCTTTCTTGTGAATCGTTACTTGTTTGGTGTTCGGCATCACACTAATCAAAGAAGCACACAGCGACCCATGATAAAGCTCATGACAATAGAAAAGCATCTACACAGCACCTTGAACCCGTAGCTTCGCACGCTACTGCAGCCCGCCCTATGCGGCGCCTACCAAACTGGTCTTGGTCGCTGCAAAAAAACGAAGTGTGCTTCCACTCAGAGTCGAACTGAGGATCGCTACATTACTAGTGTAGCGCCTTACCAACTTGGCCATAGAAGCTTTCTTCGAAAATCGAGCCCGGAGTGCTGTGTGTAGTGATGTCAGACGGAACTTAATATGACAACTTATAGAGCACTTACTAGATGATTTCAGACATAAATGAACAACCTGTCTGTGAACTTTCTCGTGTTTGCACCGCATGCTATGGACTCTGACCCCCCTCATTACTCTCAACCCCCTCTTTACCCTGATACGCCAACTTCACATCACAACACCTCCTCCAATCTCTTCGTACAAGGCATCTGCAGAGTTCCTGTTAACCACGCAGTTGAGCACAGAACATCATACACCTTTCCAGCACTCCATCCGTTCACCGTGTCTACGATAAGTTCACTGACATCACTACAGACGTTACCACCATACAGTGAAGCCGTCACTCATGAGCTCACTACTAATTGAGGCTTTCCATCCAACCTTGACCAAATAACAAGAACAGACTGTAAACTCTTTGGTATTGTCCGAACTTTCCAATTTCACAGACCAAACAACCACACATGGTCTCCATACAGTCGCACTACGACCTAAACTTACATACACTTACGCATCAATGGGTTTCTTCCATCATCAATTGTGGCATTCAGAGTGTCAATTGTGGCTCGTGTATACGCATCCAAGTCGTAAAATTTTCTGGTACAGATCACACACATACTGAAATTATTATATTGCTGCGAGATGAGCTTGACGTGTGAGAGGTATGCGTCGACGAATAAGAGAAAGCTTTCTTTGCTCCTTTTCCCTGGTGCTGCCATAGCTTTCTGCTCTTCCAAGTTCGTCCTGTGAGAAGTTATATAAAGTGCACGGAGGTAGCATTTCTTCCTACGTCTTTGCCTAAGTAAACGTCAGGGAAGCAGTAGTAATAATGTCTGATATCAGTGACGTGAAGAAGGTTGAAGATACGGAGTCTCTCCGTTACCTCGAATCGCTGGACATCAACAGATCACATAATGAGTCCAGTGGTGGCCAGGTGGAGGTATTTGACCCAAAGACTGGTGTCAAGAGAGGGCTGAAGGATCGTCATATCTCGCTCATTGCCCTTGCTGGTATCATTGGCCCAGGTATCTTGGTCGGTGCGGGTATCACATTACGTATGGGTGGTCCGTTGGCCCTGTTGATTGGCGTTGTTGTCATAGGGTTCGTCGCTTACAGTATCATGGTGTCCTTAGGAGAGATGATCAGTATCTATCCTACAGGTAATGGATTCACTTCACTGGCTAGACGATTCCACAGCAACCCACTGGGCGCAGTCAGTGGGTACAACTACGTTATCGTGTGGTTCTGTGTGCTGAGTAACGAATACAACACTTTATCGTCAATCATGCAGTACTGGGATACCGAGCCTAAGATACCACTCTACGGTTACATCCTTATCTTTTGGGTGGCCTTTGAATGCTTTCAACTCTTAGGAGTATCTGCCTTTGGCGAAGCCGAATACTGGCTGGCCCTCATCAAGATCTTTGGGTTGCTTGCGTACTATATCTTTTCCGTTATCTACATATCTGGTGGTGTCAGAAACCGTCCAGCTTTTGGATTCCACTACTGGAATGATCCTGGAGCGTTGACACATGGCTTTAGAGGTGTTGCATCTGTCTTTACGTACGTTTCCACCTTCTTCAGTGGTGTTGAAGGTATCTCCACAACGGTGAGTGAAACCAAGAATCCACGCCGTGCCATTCCAAAAGCTATTAGACAGACTGTTTTCAGAATCATCTTCATCTATCTCTTCATTGCTATCTTTTACGGTGCAACTGTTCCGTCCAATGACCCGGGCCTCTTGGCTGGTCAACGTGCCTTGAAGTCTCCAATTGCTATTGCCATTGTCAATGCTGGTTGGGCTGGTGGTTATGACTTGGTGAATGCCTTTATCCTCGTGACGTGCCTGTCTGCTGTGAACAGTTCCATCTACATTGGAAGTCGTACTCTAACAAATATGGCCAGTGAAGGACTGGCTCCAAAGATTGTTGCCTGGAAGAATAAGAGGGGAGTGCCAGTTGTTGCGGTGACCCTTATGAACCTCTTGGGTTTGCTATCAATAATGAACATCAGCACAGGTGCCTCGGATGCGTTTAATTATATCGTTAATATTTCAGGTGTTGCTGTATTCATCGTTTGGGGACTGATTAGCTATACACACATCCGTATAAGACATGCTTGGAGGATACAGGGATTTGACTTGAATCAGCTACCGTATAGAACAAGATTGTACCCCTACATTGCGTGGTTTGGACTCGGTGCTAACATATTTCTGGCTCTTGTCCAAGGTTGGACTACATTGTCTCCCTTTGATGCTGGTGACTTCGTGGATGCCTACATCTTACTGCCCTTCATCCTTGTCATATACGGAGTCGCTGGATTGTTCAAAGGGTTCTCAATTGTGGACTTGTCCGAGATAGATCTCGACGAAGGACGTAGAGAAGATATTGACTACCATGATGAGACAGTCAAGCTTACGTGGTATCAGAAACTATGGGATTTCTTCTAATGTGGTGGAGATTGTGTTCTCATGTCATCAGTGGTTGTACGTTACCTTTATACACCTTCTAGCCTTTTCTTAGTATGATATTTAATATTAATGACGTTATTTGTCTTTGCCTTTGACCTTGTCAAGCTGTTCACATATTAGAATATAAACAGATCTTTCGGTTTATCCTCCTCAGAGAGCCAATGTCTATTCCTCGTATCTCGTTTCATCCATTTCCATTCCTGGATCTTCCAGTTGTTTTTCCACCATCGTATACCCATTTCAGCATTCATTGTAGTATCAACCATTATGTTAACGAATTCTTCACTTTGACAAGACTCCACGGGTTCTCTCAGCTTGTGCCAGTGGTATGACAGTCTTGATTTTGGATAGTTTTTCACCAAGATGAAATAGAGAATGGTAACCATATGAAGCCAACGTTCGTCATGGACTGTCTTGCATGAATCCTGTGCCTTCAATAGCAACAAATCTTCAAATTCAGCACAAACTTTGGCAAAGTTTCTTGAGTTCATTCTTACTTTGGTGAAATACCGTTTATGGTTCACCAGTTGACACATTTGCACGAATAGATAAACCAAATGAGAGGATATACCGTATACAGACGTTGTTGAAGCTGGGAACTCGAATATGGTATTGTCTTTATCATAGCTTTGGATTTCTGGTGGGTGTATACTCTCAGTATCGTAGTTGTCATTATCAGATCTGTCCTGATCTTCATCATCACTCATTTTGTTTGAGAAATAGAAGGTAAAAGTTGGTGGTGGCCCTAGTTCCTCGTCATCTGAGTCCTCTTGCTCCTCTAAGCGGTGCTTGGGAACCCTCATGATTTGCTCTGGCGGTGTTTCACTAGTAGTAATAGCTACTCTACCCCATGGTCTCTGTTGTTTAATGTTTTTCACTGTTTCCTCGATCTCATGAAGCATGTTGTACTTGGGATCCAGCATATCTGCGTAGATCAGTTTGAACTTGTCATCAAATGTAAACTGCTGGCTGTTTATCAACACGTTTGTTGCTTGGAAGAGTTCGTAGTATTCGTTGATTCTCTGCCTTTTGAATGTGAACAGATGGAACATGAACAAATCACCATCGTATATCGACACAGTGGAGTTTATCATAATCATCAAGAGCAATAACAACGGTAAAAGATCATAGTCGTTAACTTTATCGGAGTCGTGCAGCTGCTGTGTGAATATTAAATCAATGCTGTGTCTATATTTCATAATCTTTTCAATCTGTTCCTTGTCATTGATTGTTGAGTTGAACAGCAATGTGATCACTGACGCTGAAAGTAGCAGGATCTGGTCTAGTGGGCTATCAGTGAGCACATATCTGCCCATTGTCTTAAATATCGAGTCTTTCAACTCCTCTTGGATAGTTTCATCGAACAATGAGGGCGTCAGTTGAATAAACTGTAGAATCAAATCTGACAGCTGCAACACTGACTCTTTTGTCAGTGTTATATCTTCATTGTATTCCATGCACGCTGTCGTTAGAGACTTGAACGAATCGATGATACCCTCCGTATCACCATCATTCGAAGGGCTTGAAGGGCTTGAGAACAACGACAGCTTTGACTTCACCGTAGACGTTGACACCGATGCTGGACCTGATGACATTCTCTTCGCTGAGACCACCTTCCCCAGTCTTCTTCTTGAGCCCCCTGTGAAAACGGTGAACGGACCCACGTAGCCGTCCCTCTTTTTATCCAGCAATGCTAGATCGTCATCCATATCTTCATACGTATCGTACAGCCACCATTTAACCAGCTCAATATTAGATCTCGAGACACCGCCAGTAGAGTCCACTTCCTCCATCGGCACACTGCCGGGCAACGACCGCATCTCACCATTTCTCACCACAAGATTCGATATCCAGTTCAGCTTGATATCATAACCTTCGCACCGCAGTTTCGACCTCGTACACCTGGTACAGTGGGGTCTCGCAGCATCGCATTTGACCTTCCTCCTACGACACGTCCAGCATCCAACAAACGACCTCTTGAAGACTTTTGTTTTCTTCTTGGGAGGCATCTGATCGCCCACGACACTCACACACACTCTCTCACCGTCTTGCTCTCTCTTGTCGGGTGGTGCTGACTCACTCCAATGGGTAATACGTCCCCATAAACAGGTAATGGAGGAGTGCTTTGCTCCCGATGGTGAACAAGTTGGAAACACAGGCTAAGCGGCCGAGTACTAACTATGTATCTTGTGTTTCCGAGGAAACGCCGGTGTGCCCTTGCCAGGATAACAACGTTTAGGCGGGTGTTTGGATGTTTAAGTCGTTTTCCAGACACCAGCGGAGGTGCCGCGGGGCGCGGTAACGATAGGCGAGCATATCGGGTATGGCTGCTGTTTCCAGAGATTTTCTGCTCTTGCGGTGGTTGACTGCTTCCACCCACAACCACTGTGGTAAGCTCTGTCCTACAAGAAGAAATTGCCAGGTCGAACCACCCCATCTCCATTGAAGTCCTCCGGGAAAAGAACCTCACGCCCTCATATATACCTACTGATCACCTGCTCTCTTCTCCCGTACCATACGCGTCGTATCGCTTGCCCTTCCTTCTCCATCCCGTTTGTCTCACACAGGCCACTTCGCTTATCAAAACCGTCCCGGGCAAACATCCGCGTCGCAGCCTCCCTCGCCGCTCCCATAGGCAGTGATAAGCGATTGTGTCAAAATGATCGTCCCAGACAGCCCAAGCAAAGACCCACCACCGCTGTCGTGTGTCGTTCTCTGTTTCTCGTGCCAATCGTAGGATTGCCTCTTCTCCAGGGTGCTCGGCTCAGTTGGACTGCTCGTGGTGGCCAGTGCTGCCACTGCTGCCAGTGCCACCACCGTCGCCCGCTGGTGATCCCGCTGGTTCTCCCTGCTGGCCCACCGCACACTCTGCCGGAGCCTGTTCGCCTGTTCGCTTATCGTTGTCGTTAGGGCGCGCGCTGTACGTTTCCCTCTCGGAGGGCTGGCAGCACAGTCGTTTGCGGCATCATCAACAACATCGCTGTCGTTGCTAGGCGGGATGACCCCATCGCTTCTATAAAAGGAGACTGGCTCGCCTGTTCTGCTCCTTCCGTTCGTGTCGCCCAGGTTAGCCATACGACAAAGCACCAAACATGAAGAGATTCTCGTCCAGAGCGCTACAGCGCTTAGCAAAGAGAGGCATTAATACCACCAACTCCACCAAGACGACTGTTGCTGGGGATGCCTTGCACAATGCTCCACAGCCAAGTCCATATACCAAGACGTACTTGGACTCGCTGAGCAACCGGATGCTGTTCAACTACGCTGCCATTGGCCTGTGCACTCTGAACAAGCCAATCTTGAACTTGGTTATCAAGATGTTCCCTCTGATTCCAACGCAGGTGTTGGACTTCTTCATTGGCAAGATCTACTGTGGTGGTGCTACGCCGAAGGAGGTGATTCAGACAGGTGAGGAGCTCTCCAAGAGAGGTATCAACAACATGATGCTTTCGCTGACCATTGAAGACTCCGAAGGCACCAAGAACATCGATATCGAGTACATTGTGTCTGAGACCATCAAGTCCATCGATACCATCTTGAAGCCACACATCTTGGGCTTGGCCGAGTCGCCAGATCACGAAATCAACGAGATCCCACCTGGATACATCGTCTTGAAGCCCTCTGCCGTGATTTCAAACCCAGTGCAAGTGTTGCTGAACTATGAGAACCCAGAGTATAAACAACAATGGGACCAGTTGAACGAGAACTGTGCTAGAGTTGTCGAAAGAGTTGCGGAGCTTAACAAGACACTCGGTAAGCAATACCCAGAGCGTAAGTCCCCATTCTTTGTGACTGTTATTGATGCTGAGAAGTACGATTTGCAACAAGGTGTCTATCAGTTGCAGAGAAACTTGTTCCAAAGATTCAACAAGGTTGGCGATTTCGTCCAAGTTGTTGGAACCATCCAAATGTACTTGAAGCATTCCTTCGATATGATCAAGTTAGAGGAGAAGTTGGCTCGTACCCATAACTACAGGGTTGGCTTGAAGTTGGTGAGAGGAGCTTATATCCACTCTGAGCCGGACCGTGGTGTCATTCATGACACCAAAGCCGACACCGATAACTCATACAACTCTGGTATTCAACACGTGTTGACCGATCTGAAGGAGAACTCTGAAAAGGCAACGCTGGGCCATTTGGTTGTTGCCTCCCACAATCACAAGTCTTCCCGTTTGGCTTCAGATTTGATCAATAACTCTACAAATCAAACCTTCAAGTCCAACGTTGTCTTGGGCCAACTCCTGGGAATGGCTGATGACGTTACCTATGACTTGATCGAGAACCAAGGTGTCAAGAACATCATCAAATACGTACCATGGGGTCCACCGGTCGAAACAAAGGACTACTTGTTGAGAAGATTGCAAGAGAACGGTGATGCCGTTAGAAGTGACAATGGCTGGCCATTGGTTAAAAACGTATTCAAGGTTTACAAGCATAGACTCTTTGGTTAATTCTAATATTGATCCATAACTGCATTTGTTTTTTCCTCTCTCTCTCTTTACATTACGATATCATGAAGGGCGTGGCTTACTATACTATACACATAGCACTACTACTATGACTGCATTTGAGAAGTTTTCAATATAATACAACATCTGATTTATTATAACATTACGTAGGAATTTGATATCTTATACGCATTTACTTACATCGTCCATCACTTTTGATCTCCTTGTGATTCACACCCTTCATTCACCATGGGGTCCACGCCTATGTTTTCCATTTTTATCCTCTTTCCTGACCGTAGTTCAGCTTCAACTTCTTCAAAATCTTGTGTTGTGTAATCTATTGATCTTTTCAGTGGAAGCTCTTCGGATCTTTCTTTGAGGAGTTTGAAATACAGATCTATCCCTCCGCATGATGTCATAAACTTCTGTACTTGCTCATGTTTGTTGCGATCATATTCCTCGTTGAGCATCAGTGTTTCTGAGATGAATGATAGGAGTTCTTCCATATCATCTTCCTGTGCACTATTGACGTCGAACGAAGATGATTCCAGTGTGCTCTCCTCAACCTGGGCAGCCATGTCTTCATTCCTCTTGAACAGGATCATGGAGTCATAGCCCCTGTACAGATCAACTGCATCTTCATCAGGCTTCGCCTTCTTCATGTTAAAGTGGTCGGTATATATCCTCTTCAGCATTGGGAACCGTGTAAACGGCCTGTTGGTGCCTAGTTCTAGACATGCTCTGTGTATATCCGTCACAGTGACGGCCACGGAGAGCTGGCCATCTTCAGATAATGTAGCCTCAGACCTGGATATGGTGGAGTTATGGATCTTTGTCTTTATCACCTTCCTTATGAGTTTCCTCGTCAGTGTTCTTGCAATTCTGGAGAGTACCCTCTGAAGATCAGCATCCACGCATATCTTTGAGGACTTCTTATGGAACCAATTGAGCATTTCACCAACTGTCTCCAAACAGTCCCCATCAACCAGCAGTCTATCAGAAAACTCCTGTGGCTCCTCACAGGCCGTGGCCTCTTCCGATGCCAGCCTCTCCTCAACTTCAATGGCAACCTCGTCCACTTCCACAGCCTCCGGCATCTCGCTATACGACGCAAGCTTCGACCGTTTGCCCTCGTTCTCCAGGCTCTCGTCCAGGTTCCTCCGGAGAACATCATAGTAGTTCATTATCTCCAAGACGCTCTTCTCCGGTACAAAGCGTTGTATTCTGTCCAGCTGGCTGATCCCGTACCTCCCCAGCGCCCAGAAGAAGTTCTCCTTCTCCAGCCCAGTCCAGTACGTCCCAATAATCTCGGGACAGTAGTAGCCATTGCCCAGGCAGTTTATATAGCTTCCTTCCAACTCTGTCTCCTCCACTCCGTTGTGGAACTCCTGGCATTCACCTTCAAAGAACTCCCTGTACCTCTCCCTGTTGAGCATATGCTCTGCCCCTGCTTGTACCGTCGTATCACTACAGCTCGGGACATGTGTCTGTGTATATATATCATCCAATTTCGTCTCCATACACCACCCAGCAGATGCTCTCTTGCAGCGCAAATGTGTCCCTGATCCATTGTAAAGTGGAAACCGAGCCAGAGTGAAAAAAAGTTTTGATGTAGCGATGGATTTCCTGGTTAGGAGCATCAATAATTGCATCAAAAATTTCCTGATTAGGAACATCAATACTTACATCAAAAATTCACACTACCAGCTCCCACAGAGCAAGCGGACAAGCCTGGGAGAACAGACGATGGAGGACGAGGCACAGAGAGTCATCGACCTGAGAGACCAGCTGCTACGTGGTGATGGCGCCAGGGCCGCGATGGTTGTGCTGGAGCGTGGGCTGAGGGATAACTATGCGAAGAAGAGCCAGTATGGCCGGCTCATCCGTCAAGGACGGTACGATCTGCTGGACGGGGTGACACTGGTGAACGAGTTCACTGAGAGACGGCTGGTGGACGAGGTGCTGGAGGCTGACTACGAGAGCCGCCACAAGCGAAGCTGCGAGGTTGAAGAGGACGACACGTCCCAGAGCAGCCGCTACACTGGTAATAAGAAGCGGAGCAATCCATACCTCCATCTTCAAGATCACAGTATAGGGGATGACTTCTATGACGATGTGCCCGCTGAGCAGCCGGCGACAGAGGCACCTGTGCAGAGCCATGTGAGTGTCCAGGGTAACGCTACAGGTACTGTGAATGGGATAGACCCTGCTGAGTACCAACGGTATCTGTACCAGCTCCAGCTTGCCAACCAGGCTCAGCAGCAGCTCTCCATGGGCGGCGGCATGATGTACAACCCGTACTACACGCTGCCACAGCTTCCCGCCCAGCAGCTGAGCCAGCCCAGCACACAGTTCCAACCACAGCTTCCCGCCCAGCAACTGAGCCAGCACAGCACACAGTTCCAACAACAACCACACTACGTCCAGGGAACTCAACCACAGTTCACCCAGTACCAACCGCAACTGCTACAGCAGCAGCAACAGCTGCCGTACCAAGCACCACCACAGCCACCACAGCCGGACTACTGACTCGCTTACTCTACACAGCGTACAACAGGAAAACATCTCTATAATAAACAACTATGTTCATTCCTTTGACTTTCTCAAGAACTTTCTAAACCTCTCTTTCTTACTCTTACTTGGTGAAGCCTCAATATGTGATGATGGGCTCGCAGTAGGAGATGCTGTGCCTGCTGGGCCCACTGAAGGTCTCGGGAACACTCCGGCTTGACCGTCTGTCACGTCTGAAGTGGTGGGAGTATGTGTTCTTTGGAACTCATCCAACAGATAGCGAGGTGCCTCTGTTGGCTTGGAACGTTTGTAATCAATGTACAGGTTCAAGTCCTCACGGCGTGCATTCAACTTGTGGACTTGCTTCAAGAAGTTGGAAGGCGTGAGTATCTCGTCTCCACCAATGATGACATCCTTCTCCCAACGGTTGCCCAGCTCATATGCGGTTCTCACCTCCGAGTAGGTGATTCCACCTGCAACAAAGTAGAAGATACGTTGTCTTGGTGCCTGGTACGCACTGTTGGTACGAGCCCATGAGGGCTTATGCTTGGGGTTTCTCAACGACGTTGTCACGTGGACAGGCCCAGGGGTTTCTGGGTCATCGTCCAGGGGCTTATCCTTCGTATACTCGAAGACAGACTGCTCCAGCGAGTTCTGGAGAGCTTTTGTCACTATGGAGTTGATAGAAGGACGGAACCTGGATGTGTTGTAGGAGTTCTCAGACACGGATTCATGGTAGAAATCTCTCTTGAACAGGGACTTGGATTTCAAGTCAGGTTTAATCAGCTTGAACCCAATCAGGTCAAAGTTCTTGATGAAGGACATGTGGTAGTGGATCTCATCTGGTGAAGAGAACCCCATGAGACGGATCAGCTTGACGTAATCCTCTTCGATGAGGCCTCCTCTGTACAATCCATACAATATGATCACCCTCAGCTTGTCCTTGAGTTCATATCTATCCTCGGCAACCATGGAGACAAGTCTATCGGCAAGGTCTTTGACCTTTTCGCCCTCGATATCAACACCAAAGTTCGCCAGCGTTTGTTCCAAATCAGCCAGGTCTGCCAGCTTCTTTGTCCTATTGATCTCCAGCAGCTGGTCGATCAACGTCTTATGCATGATGAGGAGCCTTCTATCCTCGTCGAACCCTTTCAGGCGTGCCACTGCGGTGAGGATGTCAGATGCCGTCTTGATCTTGGATCTGTCTACAAACATCTGGTTCTTGGATAGAAACTCCTCCAATCTCGAGTTCAGGAGGTCCTTTGCGTCGACAATGTGCAAATGTCTCAACGTGCACCATTCAGGGTCCTTGTCGTTCAATTCACCTGTCTTTGGCTCAACTTCTCCTTGCTCATTTTCGGCCTCGTAGATATACGAATTGCCGTTGATATCCTTCGAGTCGTCGTACGCCATTGCCTGGTACGTGAACTCGTGGAGCAGTGGTGCAAATAAGTCCATTGTACGATCAGTAACCAAGAATATCGATCTCTGTCTTGTGGACTGTGGTGGGAATTCAGGGTGATCCCTGGCATAGTTATCCAGCTGCTCCTGGAACTCCATGGCAATCATCTTTGGCAGTATGGACGCTTGGAAGTAGCCGTCATTGGCATTTGGCGTATAGTATCGAATTACCGGGTATTCACCAGTCATTACACACACATTCACAAGCGAACGTGCAGTGCTCTTCACCGTCTCAGTGACCAGGTCATGGCAATGGCTGTTGTAGAAGATCTGCATTCCTTGGTAGTCCCTTGTGGTGAACACCATGGACTCCTTTGGCTCAATACACACCTGGAACTCGGTGAATGTCTTCGTACATTGGGTGAACTGTGGGACCTGCTTCATGATCCGAGACAGCTCACTCGTCAACCCTGGCAAGAAGAACACATGTGCAGCCTTATAGCGGATCGGGATGTGCTTGTAATCAGTCAGCATACAGTTCACCGAGAACAGTGTCGAGTCCAAGAGGTATATTGCCTCAACGGAGGATTGAACCTTCCGTCTCTGATCAACTCTCTCCACCGCAGTGACGATCCGCAGCAGCTCGCTGCGTGAGATGATCTTCACGAGGTAATCCTCCGTCGTTTTGTCGAGTATAAGGATCTTCAGCCCATTGGCAGTCTGAACATTGGTCAAGGTATTGAAGATGTCTGTTTTCATTCATGATGATGTGTTAGTTATACGACTCAGAACAAGCACCGCAATGGCAGGGCAGGCGTCGGCGACTCACAGTTCCTCTGAAGTTCTATGAGCGAAGTCATCTCACAGAGCTGTCCACGTAGGCTAGTGTGTGTTACTGTTGCGCTATGACGTGTAGCTTTGACGGTGTTTCATTCAGTATAAAAGGGACATACGTGGGCTCCAATCATACAGCAACGGTGAAACAGTGTCCTGATGCGGGAGGGTGTGGCCGGGACAAATTCCCGGATTCGGACACCTGCGCCAGTTTTTGTGCCACTTTTTCGGGACTTGCGCTCTTTATGGTTCCGATGCCCACCGTGGTGTCCGGGTGTGGTCCTTGCATCTGCGCAAATGCACGACACTGGCGATTTAATACCCACGCTCTCCGGTCTGAGTGGCTTCTCCACGGAGCTTCTCCATGGAGCTTCCTCTGATTGCCCTGAGGTTGTGTGAAGAGTCAACGTATTCGATCCGTTTGGCGTGACTCAATTGACCGCTTGTGTACGCTGCGAAGTCATTGCTGTGTTTTGAAGCCGTGTTGGGATTTGTATACGCAGCCAGAACCACAGAGATCAACACTTTGTGTCAACGCTTTGTGCCAGCACCTTCTTGTTTATTGCAATTATCTCTTTCTCTCTCTCTCTCTCTCTCTCTCACTGTGTGTGCTTCATTGGCTCTGAATCAGCAACTCAACAGCGAGCTTGTTGTTGTCATAAGCTTGCTGCTATAAAACCTTTGCTATATCAAACAAGGACAAATACGCAAGGATGTACGATAGACCACCGATGCCGTTACCACAATACGCTGCAGATGTCCAGCATTCACTGACTAGCAAGCTCAGGGACATGACAATGCGTGGCTCCTCGGACATCTTTGCCAACAGCATCTCGTCAGACCAGCCACTCTCCATCTTTGGAAGATCTAACCATGAGGTGACGTTGCCTGCAAAGACGCTGTCGAACTCCAGACCCGTTGAAACGAACAAGTTCTACGGAAACATGTTGCTAGGTGACCAGACGTTGCCCGTCTGGACACATCCTTACTCTGTGTGGTTCTCCAAGGACCTGAACTACGAAGGACTAGCGGTCCACCATGTTCCCAATTCCGATAGAGTATATGGACCAGATGCCAATAGCAACCCTGTTCAGTACTTCTTTGGGCCAGTTGGGGTGAAATCGTTTGTATTTGGCTCCACGGACTTCAATTCAAACGTCACCATGGGGTTGGAGAACATCAGACACCTCTCAGCTGACTGTAAGATCTATAGCCAGAACCAGGGCTATATCATATCGCCTTTGGTTCAAGGTGAAGGATTCGTCACCACAGTTTACTTCAACTTGATTCCAAAGTTCACAAGTGTTGTTGGGTTTGCGAAGGTAACCGGTGATACCTCTCCTAGGGCAGGCATAAACAAGTACAAAGTGACTCTCAACAACAATAGAACGTGGACCTTGTACGTGACGTTACCTACTGGTCAAAGCTTGAACTTATCCTTACAAGACGGCAACACAATTGTCGGTGACAGATCGGTAAACGGTGCAGTGTTTCAAGTCGTTTCCAGTACAGATGCCGTATTTGATAAAGCTGCTGGAATGTATCCAACCCGTGGTACTCTCTCTGGATCCGTTGACGGCACCACTGGATCATATTCAGTGACATACTCGACAGCAGGCTCGTCAAATAACGGAACCACCGCGATGTTTGCGCTTCCTCATCACGTCTCTTCGTTCACAAGCTCTATGGCTCAATATAAGACGAACATCACTTTGGACACCATCACCAAAGGCACGGCAACTTGTTATTTGACAAACAAGTTCTCGTTTGAACTAACAGTGCCTTCGAATATTGGCCTTGATCCTTACTCGTCGGTCCCTGGAACGTGGCTCAACTACTCAAATAACGTCAAGAATGCCATATACAACGCTGCAGTTGAAGAGGTCAAAGGCGATGTTCTTAACGAGTCCAACTTGGATTCGATGTACGGTGCTGGTAAGATATTGGCCAAATACGCCTGGTTGTTATACGTTACCCATTACGTGTTACAGAACAACTCCTTGACCACACAGTTACTTCCCAAATTGAAGAGTGCTATTGAAAGGTTCTCCAAAAACACACAGAAGTTCCCGTTAGCGTACGATCAGACTTGGAAGGGGTTGATCTCCACAGCTGACAGTGCAGCTGATTATGGTAATTCTTACTATAACGACCATCATTTCCACTACGGTTATCATGTGATTGCTGCTGCTATAACAGCCAAAGTGGATAGGGAATTAGGTGGTTCCTGGTTAAATACCGTTAAGGATTGGGTCAACGATTTGGCAAGAGATTTTGCAACTCCAAGTGATGATGACACCTATTTCCCAGCCTTTAGATCGTTTGATTGGTATAACGGACACTCCTGGGCAAAGGGTATCTTTGCATCTGGAGATGGTAAAGATCAGGAATCATCATCCGAAGATTACAACGCATATTATGGGTTGAAGATATGGGGGTCCGTCACCGGTGATTCCTCCTTGGAGCAGAGATCTCTGATTCAATTGGGTATCTTGAACAAGTCCTGCAATAGTTACTTCCTCATGGCTGATGATAACAAGGTCCAACCTTCAAACTTCATCAAGAATAAGGTCACCGGTATCCTCTTTGAGAACAAGATTGACCATACAACGTACTTCGGAAACAACTTGGAGTATATCCAGATGATCCACGCAATACCAATCACCTCTATCAGTTCCTTCATCAGAACCCCAACCTTCACGAGGGAAGAATGGGATCAGAAGTTGAAAGCCATTGTTGATAGCGTCAACGATGGTTGGAAGGGCATCATCATGTTGAACGTTGCCCTATTTGACCCGAACAAGGCCTACGAGTTCTTCAGCAGTTCGAGCTTCTCAAACAACTACTTGGATAACGGACAGTCAAAGACATGGTCCTTGACGTATTCGGGAGCTTTTGCAAGCTATTGATCCCACCACCTCTAGTCGGCATTCTATACACTACAACATCACAGTCTTTTATAACATTTTTTTGTTCTTTTTATTGAAACGATGAAAAATGAAAACCTATCTGTACATTAATAACCATTACCATACGATGTATACCATCGCTATAATCTTGCTTTTTGAAATCATTACATTCCACGCTTCACAGCATGGTCAAATGAAGCGTGGAACTTCTCTCCCCCAAGGACAATACATTTGGAGCCCTCAAACCTCTCAAATTATCCTCGACATTCTTCCTCTCCGTAATAAAATACTGGTATAAGTAGAGCCTACTTAGAACTTCATCAAGTGTGGTCTGTCACCGGACTTCAAGGAGAAAGAAGCAGCCAAGTACTCCTTCAACAATGGGGTCTTCTTGATCTCGGCAATCAAAGCCTTGTCAACGTTCTTTTGGTCAGCAACACGCTCCTCCTTGATCTCCTTCTTTGGAGCACCCTCACCGAAGAACTCAGCCTCAGACTTGGACTTCTTGGAGGACTTCTCACGGGCAAAGTAGGCAACATCAAACTTGGAAACGTCAACAGAGGAAACGTCAACCTTGGTGGAGGTGGCAATCACGTATCTGGCGTTGACACGTCTCAAAGGAACACCGTTCACCTTGAATGGACCAGACACCAACAAGGTGTTGTCCTCCAAGTGCTTCAAGTAGACAACTCTCTTACCACGGAAACGACCAGCAAGCAAGATCAAGACACTGCCTGGAACCAAAGAAGCTCTGAGCTTCTGTGGACGAGAGGTCTTTCTAGTTCTCTTTGGGACAGCGTTGTCCTCAGCTGGGTACCACTTTGGAGCTGGAGCAGACATCGTTTTGATATGTGTTTAAAGGGATGTGATAAAGGAGGTCCTTTGAACTCTGTCGTATCCAAAATGAGTTGAAGGTTTGAGTGTATGTTTAAACCAATTTTGATGTTCTCGAGTCCTCGTCCCAGCGGCGCGTTCTGTGCTGAGAAATGTTGCCCGTACCATGTCGTGTCCGCGAATTCTACCCGATGCGGCGCAAATTTTCCAGTGAAATTTACCTGCAGAGCGCAGCAAAAAAGTGCGGGTGAGTCATTTGGTGTCCAGATGTTTTCTAACACACGTCTGCAGAGGGCAGCTTGTGACTTTGGTTTTCCGCGATACATGAGAGCCCTATTAGTGAGTCACGTGATAGAGTATTGTGTGCACCTCAGCCCTAATTATACTGAGGAAGGTGAAGGTGTTGTTCTAACTACAACACCAAATTCGACCTGTTCACCTTTGTAGTTCCACACGGAAGAGACTGGGATGAGGTCCATGAAGGAGTCTGTAGCATGGTACTGTGTCTTGTCGGGTGTCGTGTAGATCGTATGATGTGCGTCTTTGCTGAGTGTGAGGTTGAGGAACTCGTCTAGTGCCAATGCCAATGTTGAGACGACATCGCTAGAACCGTTGGAATACGACGGGCCTTGCATGGATAAGCTGTGCATGGCTGTTTGGAGCTCCTCGTCCTCGCCATCTTCTTCGTACATGCTGGTGATTTTCTTGTACGATAACCCTCCCCATTCAACGTCTGCTCCCCTTGGTAGCTCTTCAACTTGAACAATAAGCAAAACATCGGGTGGGTTCGCTTCACTGTCCAACAGACTGTACTCTCTCCATGTCTGACTCACAACAGGAACCAAGCACTTATCTTTGATGAATGCCACAACACTCAGCTGGTTAGTACAGCCAACAACAGACTTGACGTTATCCAAGTGTTGTAACGATAATACACTGTTGAAACTTGAAGCATAGGTAGATAATTCCATCGATGAGGGGATCAATGGGATTTGTCCACTGAGCGTTGCAATCATGTTCTCATCGATTACGGTCTGGGAATAAGGTCCAATGTTTGCTGGTGCCCAATAACTTCTGCCCTGGACATGTAATCCTGTCTTCTTGTTAACTGGAACCATAACCACAACCGACAATTGGAGGTGCTTGCCCTTTGGCAACCTTGTCTGAATGCAAACTCTAGAAGGTGGTAAAGGCTCTGTGAAACTCTTAACGTATAAGGAATTGATGGTAGCAAATTGTGCCATATCTGCAACCAGCAATGTTGAGTGTTGAATATTCGTTGTGGTAACTCCATTTGTAGTTAAAACTGATTCCAGTTTATCAAAGACCTCACGAACTTGTTCCTCAACAGACTTCGCATCGGATGAGATATTCGACACATAGAGCTTGTTGCCTGATTTCTTAATCACCAACTGTGGTTCTCTGATAAAATCATTGTTGTTTGTCGTTGAGACAACAACGTCTGTCAAGGAATCAGATAAGCTGTCAAGGATGTTGTTGAATTTCTCATTCAACAACTTGCGCTCACCAGGGATGAATCTTGACCAGTCCAGCTCCTTCTCCTTGATGTTGTAGAACTCGGCACCGTCTTCCGGTTTCTTCTCCACGCATTTGACCTTCGGATGGAAATATGCCACACCACCGTCTTCCTTTGATATCTCACTTGAAACAATCTCAAGTTTCTTTATGAAGAACGGTGCATCAAGGACAAGAGTCTCAAACTCGCCACCTTCTCCACAGATGTGGACATCGAATCTTTGGTTCAATCTCAGCAAAGTCGCAAACATCTCTTTCAAGCTCTTTCCCAAATGGGTTTCATTGAGCCCAACGGCTGCAACCTTGATCAATATCGCATCCATACTAGATTCCACCATTTCGGACATCAAATCCTGTTGATCTCTTTGCCAGAGGTATGCCAGCGAGGTCAATCCCAATCTCGCACAGACGTTCTCCACTCTCGTTCTCTGGTAGGAGCTCAAGATAGCACCAACAGACACTGCCTCGATCTCCAGGTCTTGTTTAATCCTCGACAGCAATCTGTATAAATCCTCAATCTCATCGTCCTCTGTTTTCTCATAGTCCAGTTTCTGGTTCTTGCTGGTTCCATGGATATCTCCTCGGTATAGGGGAAGCCCTGTACATTCCCCATATAGATCAATCGCATCATGACCGACTGTTTGGAACATGAAGCTATCCAGCTCCTGAATATCATGGTCAGCAGGTCTGAGGTTTGCCAGAGCCACTATCTCGTGACCATTAGCTAAACAGTGTAGGATATTGAAACACGAGTCCTTCCCTCCTGAAACCAGTGCTACAACTTTCATAGTGAGACGTTGAGATGAACTTCAATAGGCGATGAGCTGAAGTGCCTTCCGTGGTGGAAACACTCGTTGAAAAATTTCGCCTCGAGCGAAACGATGAGCTTTGGGCACCGTACAACTGCACCGCCGGAACGAGCACATGGGAGGCAGTTTAACAGCAAACGATGTGATTTCAGCCACAATTGGTTCATAGAAGCACTCGTTACACTTTGCTATAGGCGATCATCATCATCTACAGCCATATAGACGAGCCTCACTCCTTCAGGGCTACGTATATATGTCTCAGGCAGTGCTGGTGTGTGGATGTTTTATGACACAATTCTGATGCATGCATAAACTCTTGAGGGGGGGAAGAGGTATTAATACAACTGTAATTGGAACGTTGCTACCCCTTTTCCCGAGTATATAAGAGCTCTCCTTGTTTGCTTTATTAGCATATTTGACCTTTTTTATAGTCAACAACAAGATATCTTTGCAATTGACATCTCTTCTTTAATATCAGCAATGGCAATATCTGTGAACTCATCACTCCCAACAAGTTACACGCTTTATTACATTGACGCAAAGTCTAATGAGCCAACACCTCTTAAGATTGAAGAGTTGTTCAAAGGTACCTATATTATTGTTGGTGTTCCCGCAGCTTTCTCCCCTGCATGCTCTGAACACCATATACCTTCTTATATCGATCAACTGAAGGCATTCAGTGCTAAGAGCGCCAGAATCATCGTTGTTAACCGTGATAACTTATTTGCTCAAAGAGCATGGGCAAAGACCTTTGGCGTGGAGGATCACCAGGATCAAATCATCTTTGCGAGTGATGTTGGTCTGAAATTCATCACTGAGCTGGATCTGACAACGATTGAAGTGGAGCCTCTAGGTGAAGTCTCCAGTAGATTTGCACTCATTGCCAAAGACGGTGTCGTTGCCTACGTCGGTCAGGAAAAGACAGTTGGAGACGTTACAGTTTCGAGTGCGGAGACTGTCTTGAAGTCTTTGTAAGTTTTATGTGACTTTATTATACCGAGTATGTTCTCTTGAGCTTTTACTTGATGTTCAAAATGAAACGAGCTCTTACACTGTGCGTTTTCAATCTGTATGAGATGTTAAAGTAAGTGTTGTAAGACCTCAATCTAACTTGTCTTTAGCAATATAAAAGCCATAGAATCCTTTCCTTCAGAGTTACTATTATCCACTCTCATATTGTTACTATTAGTAAGAATGCCATCATTTACAGAAGCTACAGAGGAAAACAACCATATAGACAATGGCCAATATTCGTACATGGATGAACTTATGTCATGGACTTGTCAAAAGATAAATAATCCACAATATTCATGTGAATCGGATCTTTCAGATACGATGACTCTTCTTGATTATCCCATTTGTACTCCAAATGACGATGATAAAAGTCTTAACAGAACTGGAATGGAACTCCACGATGATGTATTCCACTACCACATTCGAGTACCGACTGCTTCGCATCACAGTTGTATTAGGTACATCTCTGAAGCCATTCATTTCGAAAGTGATTTATTCTCAATCGTTGATCTTCGCACAGAGTTTGAAGAATCCAGAACATCGAATAAGGAGAAACGTACAGGAATTCAGTTTGATGAATACTCGGACGTTGTGCTCTTCAATTACCAGACATGTGTCAAGTCAAATGAGACTAGTCCAGTGAAATTTAGCACAAAGAAGACTCTGCACAAATCATGTTTGAAGATGAGCACACATGTCACTGACCCTCATTAGAAACAGATGTATGGCATTTCTTCTGCTTCACGACCAAAGAACCGTTAGACAACTCGATAAGTTGCATAATACAGGTGAAGCAAATCGATGTTACATGAAGCATCAACGGTAAGTGGAAAGGGAGAACCACCCAGTGAATAAAGCACCCACTTACCTGTGAGCACTACTGCACCAGAACGTTCAAATAAACAATGAACCTCCGCGAGCTGGTGTATTACCCTGGTTTGATGCCATTAGAGACAAGGTCCCCAAAGAGGGCAATATTGGTGCTGGTGTCTGGATGATTTGAGACACTTCAGCCTATTGATACTAAGTGAAATGATTCATCGCTGTTAATCCATGGGCTCCGGTCAATACCGCAACTTCTGACGTCAGTGTAGTTGACTGTTCCAGTAAGACAGGATATCTGTAGTTTCCAGCCAATTGAACCCAGATGGCCTATCCATGTAGCTCGCTCAATGGTGAAGACCCGTTGTGCATTTTAGACCTACATACAAATCACCATGAACCCATACTAAGCCCACAAAAGACACTCACCAGGCTCACCATATCGCATCAATCAAGCAAGCACTTGCGAACCACACGTCACACATTTTACTGGAACCTCTCTTTGAACCTCTCAACTTACATAGACGTCGTTGTACCTCCCGTGACCCCTCGGTTGGACCCAGGCAGGCAGGCAGAGGGAAAGTGGTAGGGGGACAGGCTGGAGCTAGGCAGAACACACAAACTCGGGGACAACAACATCAACAACAACACAGAGGCAAGCAGCAGGCCCAGCACCGTTCATAGAAGCACTGAGCACTACTGAGAACGACGCTCTGTGCCCATAGCTCATAACACGGCCTGACATTCCCCTTGAAGCGATGGACAGTGACAGTGAGACTGAGAATCCGTGGGTGGAGGAGGCTCAAGCTGTAGACAGCGTCCAAGATGAGCCAGACACAAATGAACTGATGCCACCTTTTGAAGGAGACAAGGGCAATAAACCAACCGCTGTTGAGTCTCCCTTGCTGGAGCCATCACGTGCTCAGCGACCAAGGGAACCTACTAGTCCGTCGAGGAAGATGTCGGATCTCCATGGATCGGCAAAGGACCTCATCTTTGGAGTTTGCATAGTGAACTTCCACCATCTCCGTGGACCAGAGGTTGAATATTCGAAACTAGCACATGAGGACTTTACCAAGGACGTGGCAGACTTATGGCCATATCTACCGTTCCAAGCATTGCCCGACGGTGCGCATGCGTTTGATGAAACGTTTGCCTACTTCACGTTGAGATTCCCCCTAGCAGATGATAAAGAGAGCACGCTGTTCGGCATATCATGTGCTATGAGGATCAATTCTCAGGACTTGTTGGAGAAGGACTCAGACGTGACGAGATCTTCAGTGCAGAAGGCCATCGTTGTGATACTGAGACAGCCTGTATACGGACAGATAAAGGAGAAGTTGAGCATTGTCACAAGGGCGTTCTTTGAACAGAAGAACTTCAATGATAGAAGCATAGTTGATGTTCTATATCAGAACTTGAGAGACATATACAACTCCGATGCTACGAGCGTCGATGAGAGTGAGTTCTACTCTGGTATATCTTTAAGAGGGTTGGTGAGGGATTTCAACAAGGACGTACTGGTGATCTTGAAGGCCATGCTATTAGAGAAAAGAGTGGCATTCTACTCCTCAAACCCAACCACTCTCTGTGTTACTGAGTTTGCATTCATCAGCTTGATACCAAACTTGATAAATAACTTGTTAGACTCTTCTTCTCCTGAGCTGGATAACTACTCAAAGACTCTAACAACGCAGACGAGCTTCCAGATGTCGGATCGAAACTCCGTATTATCATTTGCAGGCTTACCCTTGCAGATATTCGGAAAAGGTGGGTTGTTTAGCCCGTACTGTCCGCTACAACAATTTGATGATCTACGAAAGACTCCACACTACGTTATAGGGACCTCGAATGCCCTTCTCTTGAACCAAAAGGCGCAAATGTGTGATGTGTTGGTAAACTTGGATACGAGAACTGTGGAGATTGTTGACCAGACCCTGGTACAACCTTTACATCTTCCTTACTACGATAGAAAGTGGATGTCTCATGTCGCACAGGCTGTGGCTAAGTCATGGAGTGATAATTATTCGGCATTTCTGGGGTCTGATGATTATATCAGATGGCAATTCGAAGATTACCTCACCTCAATGCTATCAACGGTTAAGTTTGCAAACTATTTGGACAGGTTCAATGGAACTCTACCCTCAAGCGACTTGACCGCAAGAGAATACGACTCACATCAGTTGAAGAACTTCAACTTGGACTTCATCAATCTGTGGAAAAGTACAGAGAACTATAAACTGTTCAATACGCATACTGATGATCATATCTTTGACATCTTTGAACCTAAGCACGTTTATTCTGAGGAAGTCAAGACTCTAAGTGAAAAGTTTCAAATATTTAAGAATGAGAATACAAAGAGATTCGAAGAGTACAAGAAGAGTTTCAAAACAGCAACTTCAAAGGAGCATCAGGAGCATAACGAAAACGAATCATCAACAGAAAAGAACGTTAATGACAAGAAAAAGAACCAACCAACTACTACGAAGGGTATATGGAGTTGGTATACGGGTAAGAAAACCAATGAGTGAATGCTAATATCGCAAGTGGCTTTCTGTTTTTGATCTGGTCTTTTAATTTAGTCTAAATGTGTTATAAAACAGATATTCCTCCAAAGTCTTGATCTGGAGGTAATACAACTAATGGTAGTCTGCAGTTGAATTCAAAGCCAGCCAATGAATCCATTGCAAAGAAATATTCACCCGAGTTGTCCGAGTGGACGGAATGCTGTAGGTCTTCTTTAGTAATGATAAACTTCAGAGCCAAACTCCACTTGTTTTCAAAGATGGAGGTTCTAAACTGTGCTGTTGCATTCAATGGGATTGGAATGTCAATGGTTAGAGAATCGTACTTCATCACGGTGAATGACTCCTTATAATGTGGTATAAACCTGGTCGAATCCTGTGCCTCTGCAACGTAAAGGTCTCTAATTGATTCAACAGAGTCCAAAGAGACGAATAGCCCAGTTGTGCAGAACTCCTGTGAAGAAAGGTCCACAACGAGTCTGATGCATTCACCAATCTTGTAAATGGGTTTAGAGAATGTCAACGATGCAATCAATCTGGCATCATAATTGATAATATATTGTGACTGGAATCTCAAAATTTGGTTCTCCAACGTCATTCCATGCTGTTTTATGAGACGTGGTCTGTCCTCATCGATCTCACCCTTAATTATCAATGCCTCTGTGAATTGTGATATGTTATCCTTTACGTTTGAATTTTGAAATTCGTCAATGGTGAACTCTTCAACTTCTTCATCCGGGTTCTCGATCATATGAGAAAGCTTTTTCAAGAACTTATCCTTCTTATCACTCTGTGTCACTTTTGGTTGTGTTAATACTGTATTCTTGATCGTTTTGAAGCTGGACCTTCTGCCGTTTGGTGACTGTGCCTCAAACAGTTCGCTAAATAGCTTGTCTGATGGTAACAGTATGAAACTATCCAGCGAGCAAACAGGCTGATAACCATTTGAATCGAAATTCTGTACAACTGTTAATGGGAATTGTAAGATCTTAGGTTCCGGCAGGCTTCTATCAAATGAGGCACCAACTATTAGCCTGTAGTTGATGTTCAAAACCTTCCCCCTATAAGTTGGTGCTGAGACTCTTGGTAGTCTGCATTTGAAGTAGAAAGTTTGTGTAGTTGAAGGCTGTAGTTCAATTTCTCCAAAGAGTAAGGACTTTGGAGTTGCAAAGAACGGAATCATATGTTCTAACTCTTTCTTTTGGCCTTCATCCTGCGAATATAACCCATCTATGGGTTGATTAAAGAGCCCATAAACTTTGTCGAACAGCCCACCGTTTGGTGTTCTTGTGAGTTCTAGTCCATCAATTCCACCAATCTTGCCCGAGACTGTGCTACTCTTCTTCAAAAGATCCATCTTTTCCTGATCCATTACTTGGGGATCAAATGTGAAGAACCCGGATAGCTGGACGTAACCTGTGAGCAATTCTACAGGATTATGGACTGATTCATCGTGTAGTGATCCGTTTTCATCCACGTCCTCGAGGAAAAGCGATCTAGCAGCATTCGAGAGCTGTAGCGATAACCTCTGGCCCCATCCTGTACTCTTCTCCTCCGCATGTTGGGACTCCTCCGCGGTGTGTCTGTTAGGCTCAGGAGCCCTTTTGGGGCCCAGATGACGAAATCGAATGATGGCAGAGACCTCCTCGTCGGCAAACACCGGGTTGTCCTCGTAAACAACCTCAACTCTCACATTGTCACAGAGAAACTCATTGTGTATGGAATGGATATACATCGGGTTGATCAACAACAGACGACAACACAGGGAGGGTGTGAAAGGATTGAGGAGACTGCGAGTGACTGTGAGCGATCGTAAGCAACAAGTCTCAGGAGCAAATAACCCACTCTTGAGGGGAAAGCGATCAATAAACAAGTGTTTGTATGGTGTTCAAGGCCATTTAACCATGTGATTAATGGGACTAAAAGGCTACATCGAGACACGCACCCTGAGCCCAGTACGATGTCCGGGTTGGAGCATCACGTGCAGGATCACGTGATGTCCCGTGTCTCCAGCTTTCGATGCCAAAACTAAAGCAGGTCAAAACATCCAGACATAAGAGCCATATACCATAACTGGAGTTCCTTATATATACAACACCAATTGGGCCAACACGTGTCTGCTGAATCGCTTTCAATGTCCTAACCAATTTGTTTTCTCAGTTGCTACTTCATATTCTAGAATCTAAGGTGTGGAATTGATTGGAACACTCATTACTTAACACCCGAGTGGATTACTAAAACTGCATAAGTACGTAGTGCAGTGCCATACAAATGAAGATATACGTCATTGTCGCACAGTTCAAATACACCCGACACCTCGCCACTCAGAGCCACTACTATTGAATTGTATATAAAACGAGAAACATCACTTCTCTCCTTTTTGTTGATTTCCCCCGCAATTGAGTTCCGTAAGAGCATATACAACTGCAACAATGTCTGATCTAATCGGAAAGCCATTCCCTCCAGACTTCTACTTCAACTACGTTCCATATGACGAGGAGGATCAGAAGAACAAACTGTCGTGCAAGCTTCCAATCAGCTTTAAACTGAGCCAGGAGAACTTGAAAGGGAAGAAGATCGTTATCACCTCTGCGCCGGGTGCCTTCACGCCAACCTGTACCCTGTCCCATATCCCAGGCTACGTTGCAAAGGCCAAAGAGTTTGCAGACAAGGGTGTTGATAAGGTGTTTGTCATCACAAGGGACCTGCCCTTTGTCGGTGCCGCCTGGGGAAAACTGTTGGGACAGAAACCTCCGCTGGAGTTCGCGTCGGATCCAAGTGCAAAGTTCTCGCAGTCCATGGGCTGGACAAAGGATGGTGGTGACAACGGCGTGCTGACTGGTAGATACGTGATCGTTGTTGTTGACGGTATAGTAACGTATGCCGCTGAAGAACCTGACGCTTCCAAGGTCACTGTGTCGGGCGCTGCTAACGTTTTATCTAAGCTATGATCACGATCGTTTATCGTCTATAACGCCCCTTAATGTTTCTTGATATATCGCGTGGAAATCCATTAGTAGAGAGTAAAAGGCCGTTGATGATGGAATGTCTACTTAATCTCCGTGTAATGTGACACCCGCCTTCCTCCATTGGTGCTCTCCGTCGAGGGAATTACCACCAACAAGAGAAAGAAAAAAAACAAGAACGGGAAAAGGAACCCATTTCTCTACGGACGACACGAGAAGTGAGGAATGCAGAGACGATCGGTTCAAGAGATGACGACCCACTATGATCCAAGTATCAAGAAGATACTGCCACATAGTAAAATGTATACGATTCAGATTGGTAATGAGAGGTTCATCCTGTCAGGAGCATCTCTCTCTTCCGATGCACCTTCGTATTTCACCAATTACTTCTCGCAGAGTGCCAACAGTGACCAGGTGCTGTTTATCGATCGCTCCCCAAGGATCTTCCAATACATCTATTCCCATCTACAGGGTTATCACGTTGAAATTGACGATGCAGATACGTTTACTGGGCTGTTTTCAGATGCCCTTTATTACCACCTCCCTCAGCTGCGCCAACTGATCCTGAACTCTGACTACTACTATGCGAACATAGGAGGAGAGTCGATAAAGGTTTCAAAGAAGCTGCTCAGCGGCCGTGGCAACACGCCAAACTTCTTTACAGTGGCCAATGACTCGCTCTATAAGGACATTAGCGACATCATCACCGACATGAATTGGATTCGTCCGCCTCCACAAGCTGCGCCATCTTTGAACAGAAGTCCAATACTGTTCAAAGAGTTGGTCCATATGCTCCAAGGTGCTGAGCCTGAGATTAGATCGCCGGAGCACAGAAGGTCGTTGATCAAAGAGGCAAAGTACTATAGGTTTAACGCACTGGCGGAGAAGTTACAAAACATAATCGAGGTGTATAACCCATTCACTGGTGCCCAAGAAATAGCAGTGTCACTGGATAGTATCAATCCTGAGTGTCTGGTGTTGCAGCCGGGACATTACGTCTGCTATAAGAGGAAATACACAGAGGAATCACCAAAAGTTTTACTAATAAGGATAACAAAACCTGAAGTGTCGTGGGTCGGTGACACGGCTTTGGTATTCCACAACGAAACTGCAAACAAGATACAGTCGCTATTTCCTGGACTCTTGAGCCCAGATAACCAGTACCAATACCAGTCAAACCAACTCGCATTCACTGCAGACTTGAAGAATGGAATCACACAGGACCAATGTATCTGTATTACGGAATGCCTTATAAGGCTACAGGTTCAAGGAAGAGGGTTGGAACTCATTGTCAATAAGGCTTGTGGAACAGAAGCTGAATGGGGGTCTCTGTTATTCACCTGAGTTTATAAAACTTCCTCCAATGCTGGTTAATTAGGTCTAACTGTTAATACCGTAGAAATGATTCAATGATGCGGAACCCCACAAAGGATGAGAAAATATGTAATCAACGGGCCAATGAATTGAAACCAATTAGCACAACAATCAGCCATGGTGGGCTTAGGATCTCCATGCCTTCATACGTACAAATGATGTTTTGCTGTGTCTTCACACTGTGGAAATGGGGCTAGAAGTTATGTCACGAGGAAACGGAAAAGAGCCTAATTCTCGGAGCTCGGACGCAACTTCCCAATGAGGAATTTCAACAACACTTCGGCACATTCGAAGAGACAGGAAAAAAAAACATTGGTCCAAAACTAGGGGAGCACGAAGCAAGAGACAAAAAAAAGAGTACAAAAATAATGTCGGACATGCAACTATTCGAAAAAGTTTTCAATGCGGTCCCAAATTAGAATCACCTCCTGCTCGATGACAACGTCACCTGTGCATTGCGTTGGCCAGAAAGAGAAAAGGTTCCACTACGGAATGTTAACAGTGAGACGACCAAAATCCGCTTTTGAATAACAGCAATCAAACACAAAACTACACAATATGATACTACAAAACGTTTTATAAAACTACCCAAATTAGAATCCCTTTAAAAACGTTACATAAATATGACAAGTGGTATCAATTTTGTTTTGATGTGCTTAGAACAACAAAGCAACACCGGCAGCAACGGCAGCGAAAGCTGGAAGGGCCTTGACAGCAGCACCCTCGTAAGAGGTAACGGAGTAGGTAGTACCGTTAGCAGCAAGGGTGGAGGTCTCAGTAGCGTGGACAGTAGAAGTCTCCTCAGTAGCTGGAGCCTTGGTGGTTGGAGCAACGGTAGCTGGAGTCTCCTCGGTGGAGAGTGGGCAGTAGGTAGTGTACTCAGTAACAACACCCTCGATGGTCTCAGTGATAACAGTGACACCGGTGGTGACTGGAACCTCGGTACAGACCTCGTCACAAGAAGTGATGGTGATGACGGTGGTGGTGTTAGAGTAAACCTCAGCAGTAGAGGTAACGTTAGCGTAGTCAGCAACAGCGACGGAGGCAATGGCAGCAGCGGCAGCGAAAGTAGAGAATTGCATTATGATCGAGCGAATGTAAGTAGTTGGTTGATGAAGAAGGGGAAAAAGAGCAAAAGCTGAATTGTTGAAAAACAGGATGAAGGCCTGCTCTTATAGTTTTTTTTTTCTCCTTCTGATTGATCTTAAGGGGGAATCAATTCATCAATCTATATCAGTTCAAGGTATGGTTGTACATACTCGCATATGGCAAATCTCTCTCTGGACTGTACATATGTTGTTTACACTTCTTCTCGCATGAGTTTTTATGCAAGACATGCACGAAAATCCCTGTGGTGTACGGTCCTCTTTCCTTTTTGGGCGCGCAGCCTTCTCAAAAGAGTAAGACGGGACACATGGGCTGGTGAAAATTTTGTCCCAAAGTTTTCCATGCTTGCAGTTGATAAGACGAAAACATCAGAAGCGGAAGCAACAACAGAGCAGAAAATAGAAAGGCTGTAGAGTCTTACTCATGGGAGTTAGAAAATTTTTTCCAGTAACGCTTAGAGGTTGGAATCTGGATGTTGGCTCGGAAGTTGCCCTCTTCAGCTGTTCACCAAATAAAATTAACGCCATTATGTTAACGTTCCGGTGTTATGGTTGTCTCTATTTTAGGAAACTGTCGTAATTTTTTAAGTTTGCTGGTCTGAAGGGTTGTTAGAATTCGAGAATCCATCTGTAGATGATGGGATCGGAATACAGTTAATCGTAATGAGGCATGAACCAACAATCACTGATTATGATCCAAGATTATCTTCCGTTTGAGAAGTGCTAGGGCCATTAGCCGTGTTAAAACTTTTGTGATCACGAAGCTTACACTAGTATCAATTAACTTGCGATTTTTTCCTTTTGTTGGAGCTACTTGGTCGCCGCCCGTATTGTTCACTAGTTTCCCATTCAAAGCTATCGCTCTTCTTTGCTAACTCGTAGTATTAAGTGTATACATATGAGACCTTAGTGCTGACTACTCACCAAACCTCCATGGACTATAGCCCTTTCAGTACTCAACGTACACTTGATGATAGATCCGATGGCTGGATAGCCCTACCAAGGCTTTCCGCCTAAAACAGCTAGTACACGGCTCGTTGAAACATGACACGCGGGTACGGTGTCAATAAGTTACAAATGTTCAACTATTCAAACCAGCGCGTGTGATCTGATTTGCTTGGTGAAGAGACCCAGCACTCTCACCTGCGTAGGGATGTCTTAGGATGTTCTCAATGCCCTTTGCACTGCATATCCCTCGTCCTGTATAATATTCATATGTCTAAGAATAGAAACGTCTGTCTCCTCTGGGCGGTGAAATTCTAACCGTACTGTCATGTCTGTTCCGAGCAGGGGAAACAAAATTGGAATCTACAGCAGTATATTCGAAGGAAACAACTGTGTCCAAGACTACTGATTATTGGTTGAGTCGCTAACCCATACATATTCTTTGGATCTACGTTATATCAACGTTTAGATCTTGGGAATGTTAGGCATCCAAAGTCAATCAACAGTTTTTACCCCCTCAGCGTCTCTTGAATATCTCGTCTCTTTTTGCCTTTTTTTCCAAGGCGGCAACTTCAACCAGCAAAAATTTGCAGCTTTGTTTTTCTTCGTTTTTCCTGTTCAGGTCGCGTATGTTGCTGGACATGACTCTTTTGGGGCGGCCGTGTGCCGCACGATTCACACTCACAAAGCACAAATCTAAGCGGGACACATATCTACACAAGGTTAAAGTTTCGACCGTGGAAACTCCACCAGCCTTGACGCCCTCGTAAACACCGCGAAGCTTAAATCCTTTCGGCTTACCCAGCCAACAGGATTAGAAACGTTGGCAGTGTAACAAACTTTAAGCTTCTTATCCAGAACTCCTTTGCAAAGGACTTTAGCCATATGGCGCACTTGGTACATTAAATGATAGTCTAAACTACTTAGTGGCAGGTAATGACTTGAAAGTCATACCTGAGCCAGCTTAGAACACTATGTCTATTGGTATTTCACAAGTTCGGAAAACCTATCTATTATCATTTACTCATGCAAGTACCAATACATTCCACACTGTGTTTGTACAAGAAGGGACCATTACATTGAACGTGGGCTCTGTGGGATCACATGGACAAGCGGACAGCTAAAGGTTAGAATTCTACTTAACCGTAGTTACATATGTATAGAACAGTAACAGATCATCATCATCAACACACACGATCCACTGTGAACTTTGATCGCCGCATACGAATTAGCAGCTGACCGATTGAAGCTGGGAAATGAACACCGCAGCCCAGTAGGTACCACATTTGCGAAAAAAACAATCGGACAAACGCCCAGCGCAACACATCGCATGTACGTTTTTTGTCCGAACAGTTCGGAGAGACATCATGACCACATATGCTCAGGGCACGGGTAAATCTGAGAACAGGCTCCACTACTGTACAGACATGAGCCACATATGGAGGGCTTCCATGGATAGCACTATACCTAGGGAATTAATTCATAGTGGAGCTGGTGGACAATCAAAGGTCAGTTCAATGAAATTACAATTTGATGGACCATATGTTTGACAAGCCCTTCAAAACACAATAACTGTGTTCAGAGTACCGCGTTTGTCCTGTCCCCTCGTGTTTTAGAGTTGAGTCTGACCACCTGAGTGCTGTAAACTTCGAGACCATGATCATTTGCCCTCTCTCTGAATTCCGCGCGTCTCTTTTGTTATTGTTTTTCCCAAATTGGATGCCTTTCGACAAATTTTGAGTGAGTCGCGATCGGCGGTGATCAAATTTAACCATACATGAGCTTATCCTTGATAAAATGAAAACATAGAACCATATGATTTGAATGCGATCGCTCTGTTAGCTGCCCGTGGTTTGTCAACCTTGTTGTGGTCTCAAAGAACCCCAGTATCATGTTGCTGTCAAGACCTTCAACTTTGATATATACAAACTGAGGATAATATTATCACTCAAGTCAAAGACAAAACAATGTGTGACATTGCGCCTGTTAGCTGATTGATAGACTTAACTGGGTCAGTTTTGTTTCTCCTTCCTTCAAATTCAGGAGCCTACGTAGTGAATGTCAATTCTTCCCCCTAAAGCCCATAGAGGAGCCTAATAGCCCATCACCACAGCTAAGCTTATCACGTTTGCATGTGTACATACCCACACTACAACGTTCTAGTACATGATACATGGTTTTACAAAAACAAAACAAGAAACATAACTGTAGTAGCATCATGGTGGGTAAATGCTTGTAGCGTAAAGGCGGACCCAGAGTCGAGAATGGTATTCAAAACAATGCGTCGATCAAAACAAAACAGTTGTACTTCTGAATGGAGCATGAAAAATTCTGTGTGGCCTGCCTGTTTGTTTGTGGGAAACTACAATTCCATTGCCTAGCATCTGATATTTGGACCTATCCGATTGCCCTATCGTTGTATGATCAATAATAAATGAATATTGAGAAATTCGGTTCACCAACGGATCGAAGTGTAATCATCAGTCAGGGCGTTATCAAATTGGTCTGTATAAGAACTTAGTCAAGGCATTTGAAAGAGCTGATCTAGAATTCTAAACGCCGGTGTGATTGAAATCAAAACATGAACTATCTTCTCCATGGCAACAAGTCTTTGATCAGTGGCAACGGGAAAACAAACAAAGCCTTTGGACAAACTTTGCAAAATTTGTAAACACGCGGACAAACGCGTAAAATCCCACAGTGTACATGGGGCTGCAGCATGTTTTTGCTCGGGACGAAATCCCCTCTCTCTCCACATGGGAATAAGATCATGGTTTGAATAGAATGTGTAATACTGGTTGTAATACAATAAGAAATCGCTGAATTTACCTAGATAATCAAATTCTACGTAGTGCACTTGACATTACTGGTTTTTTAAACGTTTAAAAAGATTGATTTTGAAGTTTAAGGAGAATTTTTCAACTATAAGTTTACAAATCAATAGAGTAAAATTTCAGAAATAAAATGGACATGTCTATTTTTTCTTGAAACAGAAAATATCTGTTAAAAAGATGTTGAAAATGACTAACTCTTCTTGGGAGACGTATAGTTAACAATATAGACGATCAGTTATCATGGTATGAAACGTTGAATGCGCCACTAAACAGTCCCAACTCGGTAGTCCAAGTGAATACATAACCGTTATAAACTTACTTCATTTTGTACGTTATACATGGATTAACGTTATAAAGTGAACGCATGAGCCTTTTGCACAAGTTATATGCATAATGATACAATGATATCTAAATTGTTTACATAGTGCGTTTTCACTTCATAACCGTGCCCAATTGCACTAGCACCAGTAATGCGGTTGCGGAGGGGAGGAGGAAGCGGGTTTATAAACATCCGAACACCTAGGAGGCAACACTTCAACACCCCAACACCCCAACACCCCAACACCAACGTAAACCTTAACCCGTCGAATGCTGAGCCCTTTTCTCTTTTTCCCCCCTTCTTCTTTAAAACAGCATTTTGACCATTAATTGTTGCTTTGGTACTTGAAGTTGATTTGAATTCCCCTGGTATTAACACCAATTGTTGTCAATAGATACAGAAATTGTGACATTTTTGGGCAAAAAATACACACCAGTTATTCTCTCGTGATTCCACATAATACCACACTTGTTGGCTCCAAATAGCACACGAAAGTTAACGACATTGACACTTCAAGGGCAACAATAGCTGTTAGCAACGATGTCACAGGAAGAATTCGTCAGAACACAGATCTTTGGTACGGTCTTTGAGATCACTAATAGATATACAGATCTCAATCCAGTTGGGATGGGGGCGTTTGGGTTGGTGTGCTCAGCCAGGGATAAGCTTACAGACCAGAACGTTGCTATTAAGAAGATCATGAAACCGTTTTCCACACCAGTGTTGGCTAAGAGAACGTACCGTGAGCTCAAGCTGTTAAAACATCTACGCCATGAGAACCTGATCACCCTTGAGGATATATTTCTATCACCATTGGAGGATATCTATTTCGTCACGGAGTTACAAGGTACTGATTTGCACCGTTTGTTAACGTCTCGTCCTCTTGAAAAGCAGTTCATCCAGTACTTCCTCTATCAGATCATTAGAGGGTTGAAGTATGTCCACTCAGCCGGTGTCATTCATCGTGATCTGAAACCTTCAAACATCCTGATCAATGAGAACTGTGATTTGAAGATTTGCGATTTCGGACTCGCAAGAGTCCAAGATCCACAAATGACCGGTTACGTATCCACGAGATACTACAGGGCTCCAGAAATCATGCTGACATGGCAGAAATATGATACAGAGGTGGACATATGGTCTGCTGGTTGTATATTTGCTGAAATGATTGAAGGTAAACCTCTGTTCCCAGGTAAAGATCACGTCCACCAATTCTCTATAATCACAGAACTGCTGGGAACACCACCAGCAGACGTTATCGATACAATCGCTTCTGAAAACACCTTGAGATTTGTCAAGTCATTACCTCATAGAGACCCTGTTCCATTAACCGAGAGATTTAAAGGTGTTGAGCCTGAAGCTATAGACCTTTTGGAGAAGATGCTCGTGTTTGACCCGAAGAAGAGAATCACCGCTGCTGAGATATTGGAACATCCGTATCTGGCACCTTACCATGACCCTTCGGATGAGCCAGTAGCAGAGGAGAAGTTTGATTGGAGTTTTAACGATGCTGAGTTACCAATTGACACTTGGAGAGTGATGATGTACTCTGAAATTTTGGACTTCCACCAGGTGGATAACATGCAACAGTGATGTGAAGAGAAGGGGAAAAGGAGGAATTAATGTGTTACTATGTAGCTTAAAGCTTTCTTTTAACAACGAACGGTACAGCTGTAGAACATGGAGGAAACCAAAAATTACTCTTTAAATTTTGACTGTTCAGGTCGTTTCAAGCATCCTTGCCATTGTCGTCAGATTCGTGTGCATTCACGAGGGAGTAGAACAACCCATCCTTGTTCTTTAACAAGTTCTCTGGGGTATCAAACTCCTTGATTTCACCCTTTTCTAAAACAACAATACGATCACTATCCATGATGGTGTTTAGTCTATGCGCAATCGTCAGGATTGTTCTATCTTTGAATTCATCTCTGATGGTCTTTTGGACAATCTCATCAGTTTCAACATCAACCGCAGCAGTCGCTTCGTCCAAAACCAATATTGTTGATGGAATCAACAAAGCCCTGGCAAGACACATCAGTTGTCTTTGCCCAACTGATAAGTTGGATCCTCCTTCACTGAGCTTGACGTTCAGTCCTTCATTGGAATCACTCATTCCGACAATGTGGGATTTCAGATGTGACAGTTCCAGTGCATTCCATATTTGTTCATCGGTGAATTGATTTGTAGGGTCAATGTTTTCCCTAACAGTGCCTTCAAACACCTGGGAATCTTGAGGAATGATTGACAGCTTATGTCTAAGATCTTCCAAACCAACAGTCTGAGTTGGAACACCATCAATGATAATTTCACCACTTGCGGCTTCAATGATTCTAAACAAAGCCAGCGTCAAAGATGACTTACCAGCACCAGTTCTTCCAACGATACCAATTTTCTCCTTCGGATTAATAGACAAGTTGATGTTCTTCAACACAAGGTCTAATCCTTCTCTATAACGTGTGGAGTAGTTCTTGAATTCAATCTTACCGTGCTCTGGCCACGTGGATTTTGGACGTGGCTCAACAATTTCTGGTGCTTCAGGTTTCAAGATGCTATATTCCTTAACTCTCTCCACTGCAACAATGTTAGTTTCAACCTCAACAGTCATTCTGACAATCCAATTCAAAGATTGGGTGATCTGAAGCGAATAAGAAACGGACAAACCAACAAGACCCGCCGAAATAGTACCAAATTTCAAAGTGAAAATGGACAAACCTGCTGCTGCCAGGATAATCACAGATCCTATGAACTCCAATCTAACAGCTAACCAACGGTTGGAGTTGACAGTAGGAAAGTAAGCACTCATGTTATTGTCAACGTGTGATTGGTTGATGTGCTTGAATCTATCCTGTTGTCCGAAACCTCTGATTGTGGACGTTCCTGTAATTGTTTCCTGGAAGTGTGCAAAGACTGGAGAACGTGTAACAGAGTCCAATCTTCTCAATTCACGAGAAGTTCTCATATAATACTGCTGGTAGTTCATATAGAGGAACAACAAAGGAATAATGATCAGAATAAATTGCCATGTAGAATAACAAATGACAAGAATGGTGAAACCGACCTTTAAGGAGTTTGCAACAAACTGTGCAATAGTTCTTGCGAGCACTTCATCAATCTTGTAAATATCATTTGAGAATCTGTTCAAAATTCTTCCAATTGGAGTGGTCTCAAAGAATTGCATTGGGGCTCTCATCACACTGTCAATCATATCAGAATGCAACTTCTTCGAACCTTCAATAGAACAGTATTGCCACAGGGTAATCATTTGGAATATGTAAACAAGGGAAGTTCCAAGACCAATTACGAAATAAATACCCAAATAGATCCATGCATGTGGGTTGGAGTGATCATCACCGTTAATTTCAGACCAGTATTTTAACCAAACGGAACTGACAATACTAAGGATTTGTGCTGCAATTATTGCACCCAAACAGAGGCAACAATATCTAGGATTACAGGCTTGGATATAATCCTTGTAGACAGACCATTTCACTTTGCCTTGTTCACGATGTTCCTTACGTTCCTGTGCAACATCATCGTCAGCAAATCTGATCGACTTGAGAGTCACAGAACTTGCTCTTCTTAAACTTAACGCATCGGATATATCTCCAGCCTCAGAGGATTCTTCAGAGACCAAATTTTCCACGTCAATTTCTTCTTCTTTAAACCCTTCACTCTCAGCTTTCTTTTCACCGTATTCGGTGATGAGTTGAGACAAAACAGAGCCCGGTGCATTCATGATTTGATCATAGGTACCTTGTTGGGTGATACTTCCATCTTGCATAAGAGTGATGTTATTGGCAATAGAAAGAACGGAAATCTTGTTTGTAGCAAGGACTTTGCATTTTGAGCTTAGCAAGCCCTGAGGACCCAAAACGTGGTTCACAAGGTGCTTACCAACATGTTCATCAACCGCAGCTAAAGGATCATCGAATAAGTAGACGTCTGCTCTGGCATAAACGGCTCTTGCCAGGGAGATTCTGGCCTTCTGACCTCCAGAAAGAGAAATACCCTTTTCACCGACGAGCGTGTGGTCGCCATCCTTTAGGATGGCAAAATCCACAGTCAAAGCGCACGCTTTCACAGTCTTTTCATAAAACACAGGATCATATCTATGACCAAAGAGAATGTTCTCCCTGACTGTACCGTTCATAATCCAAGGAACTTGTGCAACATAGGCAATTTCACCATGAATAGTGACAGAACCATTAATTCTATTGAGATCACCCAAGATACTCTGGATCAAAGCCGATTTACCAGAGCCGACTCTACCTACAATACATGATAGTTCTCCCTTCTTGGCCACAAAATTGATTTTGTCCAAGGCAATCTTGTATTCTGGCTTACGTTGCCATAGGAAAGTACCATCTTTTATCTCCACAGAGACATCACCAACTCTCTTTGCCTTCTCTAAATGTGTGACGGCATCTGGTTGCAACTCTTCAGATCTCAAAAATGATGACAATCTGCCAATAGCGACTTGAGCTTCGATGAAAGAGGTGATCGCCATTGGGATAACGGCCAATGGGAATTGTAACAAGTTGAACAAAGTTAGAGCTGGGAACACCAAATCAGTGGTCAGTGGTTTATTCTCCAACCAGATAAATGCTGCAAATGTTGAACAAGACACTAAGAAAGGAGCCATCATCCATTGACCACTCAAGTATGCTTGCACCTTACTCATCTTGATCAGATTCTTCAGTTCCTTTTCATTTCTAACATGGTTTAGCTTAGCCTTGTAAGGCTTTTCCCAACCATATAACTTCAAAGATTTTATATTGTTAAGAATTTCTGCGATGACACGAGTTCTCTCATCTTTATTTTTCATCTGGGATTTTTGCAACGTTTTGATATATTTTGTAAAGTAAGAATTCAAAGGAATGAGGATTAACATGACAACAACACCAACCCACATAGAATTTCCCAACAAGCTGTGTAATGAAACCAAGCATAAGATGATTTGGAATGGACCAGACCAAATGATTGACCCCACATTGGATAAATCAGCCAATCTCTGGGTATCAACGGACATCAAGTTGACGATATCACCAGTTGCCTTTTCACCTCTAGCCTCGTTGGACAGTTTCAATGCCTTTTTGTAGATGGTGGCAATCAAGGATGATTTGACATTCATTCCAACGTTAAAGATATTCCAAAAGTACTGATGTAACAGAGCAGTTTGAGAAACTGAGATAATAAACATTGCAATAACCAACGAAACACCTCTAGTGATTGGCTGTGATTGTTCATAGTTATAGACATTCACGAATTGAATCAAATATCTCAACATCAGTGGTTGAGAGAATTGTAAGATGTCTTGGATGGCTTTGAACATTCCGCCTAACACGATACGTGGACCAAAAGTCACCAAAATAGACCAACCCAACGAAGGATTAGATTTTTTCAGCTGTTTATTCCAGTGTTCTTCGAAAACTTCTGAGAGGTAACCGGACTTGAAAGAACGAGGTAGAGGTGGCAAATCATCCTCGGTCAGATATTGCTTGTAACCCAGCTTCATCAGCGGGGTCATCCAAGAGAATGTCATCACAGAGAACACATCTGCATTGTCGAATGGGTTTTCCTTATCCACTGGGTGATAAGTTTGCGGCTTGATGGGCATCCAACACACCAACAGCGTGAACACCGCGTTGACGAAGAGGAAGACCTGAACGGTGAAGTTATCGTGAACTTCATGTCTCCACAGCATGTTGAGCATCTTTAGGAACCCCAAGAATGCGCTGAAGAACCAGTAGAGCAGCATAACCGTCGACGTGATCTTTGAATAGACGTAATCGAGATGGTTCAAGGCCACACCAAGCAACAAGGCGGCAATTTGTAACGATGACTGTATGAAATCAACGTTCAAGTACGAGTCCAGAGATGGAACCAAGTTGTAAGTATACACAGCGGCCAACGACAGCTGGAACAAGACGAGGATCATCCTGGCATAGTAGCTCCAGTTCTTTCTGTACTTCACGCCCCTGGCGCCTGTGATGCGACGGATATCGTGGATCGCAAGCACGATGAACAGCGCGTTCAACGTAGACAGCAGCGCTCCGTTGAGGAAGCACATCGTCAAGTCAGCATACACCGGGGAAACCGGGCCCCAGCCCTCTTTATCATCACACACAACGTCACAGTACGAGCTGTTTCCGACAGAAGGCTCGACCGCGTAGCTAACACCCACAGCGGCTCTCTGCTGAGCCTGCTGAGGATGGCCATCAACCACATCTTCACGTAGCGGCAGCTGGCCAGGACCAAAGGACCCCAGCATTTGGCCAACGGCGTCCTTTCCAGCGAAAAAGAGACTCATCGAACAGAGTAATTGGACAACTTGTAAACACTGAATTCACCGGGGCTTTGTTACAAGGAGAGGAAGAAAACAGTGCACAAAGACAGAGAGGAAACAAATACCAATTTGCCGCTGATGAAGTAACAAGAAGAATTACCACACCTTACGCATAAGCGCGCCGGAAAAGTTACCGCATTGGGAAGTTCGCGGAGTTAGCTGAGACTTGACCCATTGGTTACGTAATGCGATGTTACAACTACGAGGAAGTACAGTGTTCAGGTAGTTTTATTTACACGATGTATACACAGGAGGAGGAGGTCTCTAGGCGGGCGCTCTAGGGCGGCAGGCGGGAGCTCTGGGGCGGCTGCCGCTTAAGGATGTGCTCTTTAGGCGGTGGTCTGAGGTTGTGGTTGTGATGAGCGGATCTGGGATGCCGCCTTGACGAGGCCATCTTCACCGTTGAGCAGAACGTCGTAGACAAACCTGGAGGCGGTGTCTTTGCCGTGGTTCAGCAATATCGCACCAACGATGGCCTCGCTTGTTCTGGCGTATACCGCGTGCTGGCCGCTCTTCTTCGCGTCGGTTTGTAGTGGGTCTCTCTTCTTCCAGTAGATGGACTCGCCAACACCAGCGTTCTCCACGAATTTGGCCAAAACCCTTTCAGAGATGATCTGTTTGGCGCCCTGCGTTCCAATGTGGTTCAGGCCGTCGGTGTTGATCGTATAGATGGAGCTCTTGTATTTGAGGAAGTGGGACCCCAACACCGCCAGCTTCTCGTTGAAGGGCTTCTTGCCATGGGCAAAGCTCTTATGCGTCAGCACCTGCAATGACACCTCATCTGGTAGGGCGTATTGGTCGCCCAATAGTCTCTTCAGAGGTGACAGCGATTCCTCGCTGACACCGTAGGGGATTCCCTTAGGACTCACGAGATAGTCCGACTCATCACGCACAAGACCACGTACCCTCGAGCCTCTGTGGAGATAGCCAACACCACGAGAAGCAGTGCACTGGCAAGGTCTAAGCACAAGCAGAGAAGAAGGCGTGAGTCTCGTCGCCTGTTGCTGGCTGGTCTTCACCAGCGGGGACAACATCATCCGTATGCTACTGTTCATCACACAACGCTTCAAATCCAACACAACAAAATCGAAAGGCAAGCTCAAATCAAGCACACGTCCAAAAGAAGCTGATACGCCAAATAACTCCAATTGGCTTTACAGAAGTTTCCAATATAGCTGGCCTCTTCCACTGAGCCCGACGCTGAAAAGTTTCCCTCGCCAGCTCAAAGTTTTTCGCCCTTTTTCGCTGCTTCGACTCTGCCCAGCGTTTTCGGTAGGGGAAGCACCACGCTGAAATTTTTTCCGCCTGCTCCCTCCGATGGGCTCTCACTGCGCAGAAGGGCAGAGGAGGAAGATTTGGCGATGAGGTTGTAATTCACCGCTTGAGCTGGTATTTTTGGGTTGGAGCTGCGAGGATTACAAGCATGGATATCTTTAGAGTGCTCAGCCGAGGTGCTTCTTTGAAGAAGTCGAAGCAGTTGGTGACTGATTATGCCTTGCCGTCGGGGCAGAAGACTCACAGTCAGAAGAAGAAAGAGGTACATGTTGAGAAGGAGGTTGACAGGGAGATTGATTTCTTCAAGACAAACAAGTTCAAGGAGTTGGCGAAGTCTCAGGAGTTGAAAGACGAGGAAGAGGAGATCGATGCCGTCAATGATATCGAGGAAGAGGAAGAGGAGGGTGAAGGTGAGGGCTTTGAGGGACCATCGCCAAGGGTCAAGACAGAAGAGGAGGCACATGCTCTGAGAAAGTCGTACAAGGCAAACGTTACCGGTGACGACATCCCACTGCCGATAGGCTCTTTCGAGGACCTCATAGCGCGTTTCAAGCTGGACCAGAGAGTGTTGTCAAATCTTATAGATGCCGGCTTCACAGAGCCTACCCCGATTCAATCGGAAGCCATCCCAATAACTCTGTTTGACAGGGACATCGTGGCATGTGCGCCAACAGGTTCAGGTAAGACGTTGGCATTCTTGACACCATTGGTTCAACAGTTGAAGACCAGCCAGAGAAAAGGCCTAAAGGCGTTGATAATCTCGCCAACCAAAGAGCTGGCACAACAGATCTTTGATGAGTGTAACAAGCTGACAAAGAGAACCGATGTGAAGACCGCCATCTTGTCGAAGTCCTTGAGTGGGAAGTTGAAAAACAACATCGTCAAGAAGGATAAATTCGATTTGATAATCTCAACTCCGTTAAGACTCATTGACGTTGTGAAGAATGAGGCGTTGGACCTGTCTACTGTGGAACGTCTGATCTTTGACGAAGCTGATAAGCTGTTCGATAAGAATTTCGTCGAACAAACGGATGAGATCTTGTCAAAGTGTTCCAATCCGAAGTTGAGAAGATCAATGTTCTCTGCAACGATCCCTTCAAGCGTGGAGGAGTTGGCAAACTCCATCATGGTTCACCCTGTAAGAGTGATTATCGGTCATAAAGAAGCTGCCAATCAACAGATTGAACAAAAATTGGTGTTTTGCGGTAACGAGCAAGGTAAGCTCATCGCTATCAGACAGCTTATCCAAGAAGGTGAGTTTAAACCCCCAGTACTTATCTTCTTGCAATCCATTACTCGTGCGAAGGCTCTGTTCCACGAACTGTTGTACGATAGATTAAACGTTGATGTGATACACGCGGAGAGAACACAGGTCCAGCGTCAAGAGATCATTGATAGATTTAAGAAGCGTGACATTTGGGTATTAATCTGTACAGATGTGCTTGCGAGAGGTATAGATTTCAAAGGTGTCAACCTCGTGATCAACTATGACGTTCCAAACAGTGCTCAGGCATACGTGCACAGAATTGGTAGAACTGGTCGTGGTGGACGTGAGGGTAAGGCTGTCACATTCTACACAAAGGAAGATTCGGTGGCTATTAAGCCAATTGTCAATGTTATGAAGCAAAGTGGATCCGATTATGACAAATGGATGGATAATATGACAAAGATCTCAAAGAATGAGAAGAAGAGGATCAAGAATGGGCAGATCAAGAGAAAGGATATCAGTACAGTACCAAAGATCGTGAAGCAGAAGCGTAGACAGAAAACAGACATGATTGAAGCTTCGAAGAAGCGCAAGAGGCTAGAGCTCTTGGAGAAGGAGTTCAACGAGAAGCAAGTCATAATCTCGGACGATTAAGCTGAACGCTACACTTTCGTTAGCAGTATTTTAAGATGCATTGCACTAAACAGAGATATATAAGCCACTCTTTCCATAACTTCTTGTATGCAACGTTTGTTTAGTATCTAGCTTAGCAGTGCAACAAAGCTTTGTATAAATTTTGATAAATATGTACTGGGGAGACACATCCTTTGATTGCGGGCTCCTTCTCAACGGAGGCAGCGAGATGAATCAAAGGAAAATGAGAAGTGGAATATTTGAGGACACGATTCAGTGGTGGGACTGGAAGGATGGGTAACCAATGAGTTTACGGCGACCAATGGCCTCCCCGAGGGCAAAGAGACCGGCAAATTGGACAAGGTAAGCACCACCGTTGATCAAGGTGTTCTTGTCAAGGCTCTTGCTCAGAACATTGACGAACTCCAGAGGTCTCTGAGCATAGTGGACACCTTGGGTGTACAGAGTCTGGTAGACAGATTGGATCTCAGCCACTGATGGTGGAGAGAGCTTTTCCTTCAAGTACACTTGCTTTGCAAGCTCGCCAGTAACCTTGGTCCAGTAAACGGTCTTGTTGAACAACCCGGTAAGCTGCTCAACCTTGTCTGAAACAGCATCCTTGGCCTTGGAGACGGTGGACTGGTTACGGACACCAGCCATGGACTTTCTAACAACGTGACGGAACATCTCTTTAATACGCTAAAACGGGCACGCTCACACAACACTCGCTCAGTTATCACTGCTGGGATACAAAAGTTTCACCCTTTTGCCGGTGAAAAAAACCACACACAACGCAGAGGAGCACAAATGAGGAAAACCGGAGGGAAATGCGCGAAATTTCCCGTATTTGGACTTATGCTGCGAAATCTCGGATCTGATTGGGCGAGGGGGGTTGTTAGTGCTGTGGATTACGCAGGCGTGTGGTGTAGGCCGACGTAAATGTCAGCATGCCTCTTTGTTTACATTTCACAGCGCTCTTCACAGCGCTCTCACAGTTGCGATGGGATGGTTGTGTCGAGGCTCATCTGGTGGGTGAATGGCGGTTATCGAGGGCTGGAGGTGTGATGTGCACTGCTGTTATTGCTGTGTTTGCGTGTAGATGGCCTTTATGTGGGCGGTTGCACGGGCGGTTGCCGGCTTGTCGGTTGTAGTTGATGCCGATGAGCTCGGATGAGATGTGGTGAGCTCGGATTAGATGAGATGAGATGAGATGAGATGAGATGAGACGACTGGTGTGTTGGCTCTGGAGTGCCGTTCTACGCGAGATGTCGTAACCCCTAGGCGACGTGGAGGCGTTGTTATGGCTGACAGCAGAGAGCTCAACACTATAAACCCTTGCATTGCCAACAGCCAATGTGCATGGGAAGCTTCCACACCTGGGGAGGGGTGCTGTGCCACAAGGGTAGCTCCTCCAAGGGCTCATCGTTGATCCACAGTTGGGAACCACAGTTTGTGCAAGGTTTCGTGAGCTAGTGCTTCGTGAGCTAGTGCTTCGTGGAATGGCCACTGAGAGCAGCCTGATGTGCACATGTATTCCATCATCAAGAGCATCGATAACGAGATATTCGATTCCCAAGACGTTTCTTCACCATGGCCGTGTGGCCACTAGAGGTATAAATATGAGGTTTCAGGAATGACATTGTCATTTTGAAGTAGCCAGTCGCAATAATCAAGTAATAATGGGAGTCTCGGACAAAAGTGCTTCGTCAGGTGGAGTGACAACATCATTGGTTAAGCTGCTTTGCATTGCAAGCAGCGTTTTGGCACTTCCAACTTATGATGAAACCTCTGAGAAGCTCAGCATCGATGAAATCACCAAGATTTACCAGGACGTGCTCACGTCTTCTAACAACGCTGGTGATTGGTTGAAGACTTATACGCAAGAACAACACCTTGCTGGTCAGAATTATCACCTGGCAGAGTTCACTGCTCAAAGATTTGAGGAGTTTGGGTTCAAAGCCAAGTTTGAGAACTTTAGCGTCTACATTAATTACCCTGTTGAGAACTCCATCAAGGTTTTAGAGCCAAACGAAGATGGCTCTTATGAATTGACTTACCAACCAACCTTGGTTGAGGATGAGTTGGAAGAGGATCCAACGACTAGCGGTGAAGGCCTAGTGCCAGCATTCCATGGGTATTCTGCGAATGGCAACGTCACTGCAGAATTGGTGTTTGCTAACTACGGTACAAAGGAGGACTTTGCCCTATTGGCTGAGAACAACATTGATCTTGAGGGTAAAATCGTCATTGTCCGTTACGGAGGAATCTTTAGAGGCTTAAAGGTCAAGTTTGCCCAAGAGGCTGGTGCACTAGGTGTTATCACTTATTCAGATCCAGCAGACGATTACTCTCCTCCAGATGCCGAGCCTTATCCAAAGGGCCCAGGTAGAAACCCGTCTAGTATCCAAAGAGGCTCAGTGCAGTTCTTGTCCTCCTTGCCTGGAGATCCATCCCGTTTCACAGATCGCTCACCAGAGGCATTGTCAAATCTGACGACTATTCCACGTATTCCATCTCTGCCAATCTCCTACAAGGAGGCCATTCCAATATTGGAGACCCTCAACGGATATGGATCAGACCTTGGGTTTAAAGGAGGTGTCTCGACCTTTAACTATACAACCGGCCCTTCAAGTGCGAAGATAAACTTGTACAATAACGTTGAGTATGACTTTACCAATATTACCAACGTCTATGGCCTAATTGAGGGCCAAGAGGCTGATAAGGTCGTTATTATCGGAAACCACAGAGATGCGTGGGTTAAAGGTGGTGCTGGTGATCCAAACTCTGGGTCCGCAGTTCTTCTGGAGCTTGCAAGAGGACTCAACGAGTTGTTCAAACAAGGCTACAAACCAAGATATTCTATACTCTTAGCATCTTGGGATGGTGAAGAGTACGCCTTACTCGGATCAACATCGTATGCTGAGAAGTATGCTGCTAAGTTGGACAAGCAGGCTGTTGGTTACATCAACGTTGACGTTGCCGTTGGTGGAACACACCTGGAATTAGCTGGCTCTCCACTGTTTAACCAGTTACTGTTAGACCAAGGCTCTCTTGTTACTCATCCAGATACCAACGTTTCTCTCACTGAACGTTTCTTGAACGAATCTGAGATTCTCATCCTAGGTTCAGGCTCGGACTACACAACGTTTTACGAGCATCTGGGCATTCCATCTATTGACTTGGGATTCAATCCAGGTTTGGGCGACCCTGTCTACCATTATCACTCAAACTATGACTCTTACCATTGGATTTCCACCTTTGCTGACCCTGGTTTCAAGTACCACAACGCTCTGGCCCAATATCTGGGCTTATTGACCCTCAAGCTCACCGAGGAGAAGCTCCTGAAATCATATTCCACAAGTGATTATGCTTCAGCTGTTGCCGGATACTTTAGCACGTTGGTTTCCACCATTCCTCAGGATTGGCTCAACCAAACCGTGGTGCTGGATGACGATATCATTGCGCCTTATAGCTACAGCGAGGACAACCTCACTTCAACAGACGTCACCGTGTTGAGAGACCTGATCACGGCAACAAACGATACTCTGTCAATTCTAGAAGAGGTTGCTAAACACCACGACGAGGAAAAGGAGTACTTGCAATCGCAATGGGACGAGTCTGTCTCAACGTCCTCGAGCCCAATCACGAAGACCTTGTTCGACAAGCGTGTCGCCACAATCAACGACAAGTCGCGTAACTTTGAGAAGCAGTTCCTGTACGAAGGCGGGCTCAAGAGCCGTGAATGGTTCAAGCACATTGTCTACGCCTCTGGGAGATACACAGGCTATGCCGGCCAGTCCTTGCCAGGCCTCACTGAGGCTCTGGAGGATGACAGCTTCGACGAAGCTGCTCGTTGGATACATATCCTCCAAGTTGCGGCCCAAAGAGCCATTGCCTCACTGGTTTAAATACAATAATACACATATATGGGAGCAATTCTGCTGAAGCTTGCAAGCCCTTTCAAAACGTGAGCACTGTAGAGATGGAAGGCCTCAGCTGGGCGTTCTATGCCTCACTGGCGTTCTATGCCACACTGGCGTTCCATGCCTCTTTGCTGATGGCCTTTGATGCTGATCGGCGTTACAGCCTCCCGGCGTTGTGTCCTAAACGGGCAGAAACAACACTGGAGGTTGCTCTCCTCTGCTAATACCCCGAGAGGAGGCACACTGAGACGGGGGTTAACATCAAACAGGGGTTCACACTGCTGAAGAATGTCTCGTTGTAGAGAGAAGTTCACGCTGAAGAGGCTAACGAAGCCCTCATCCTTTGTTAGTTGCTATATGAGCGAGAAGTTATCGTTAGAGATGGATAAGAGCGCACGGCCAACTATGGCTCATGGCATGCTGAGAAGGTGGAGGGCGTGCTTCACCACGCTGATGGTGGTGTTTGGACTCGTGTGGGTGTCATTGGCCTGGCCTGGTGGCCAGGTTGAAGCCGCTGTGGAGGGCGCTGTAGAGGGCGCTGCCGCTGTGGCTTACAGTGAGTTCAATGCTACTGAACTGGAGTCATTGTACCAGGGAGTACTATCGTCGTCAAACCACGCTGGCGAGTGGTTGAAGAAGTACACCAGCGAGGCTCATCTGGCAGGCACGAACTTTGCCCTGGCACAGTTCACTGCTGATAAGCTGGAGGAGTTTGGGTGGAAGGCTGAGATTGAGAACTTCAACGTGTATATCAACTATCCACATGACCACGGCATCAGGTTACTGAAGCCACACAAGGACTCATACAGGGTTGTTTATGAGCCAACATTGGTTGAAGATGAACTGGAGCAGGATCCAACGACTAGGGGCGAAGGCCTAGTGCCAGCATTCCATGGATATTCCGCAAATGGCAACGTCACTGGCGAGCTGGTGTTTGCTAACTACGGCACCAAGCAAGACTTTGAGCTGTTGGCTGAAAGAGGCGTGACTGTGAAGGGGAAGGTTGTAATTGTCCGTTACGGAGGTATCTTTAGAGGCCTGAAGGTCAAGTTTGCCCAGGAGGCTGGTGCTGTTGGCGTGATCATCTATTCTGACCCTGCTGATGACTATACACCTTCTGGAGTGGAGCCTTATCCAAAGGGACCAGGTAGAAACCCGTCTAGTATCCAAAGAGGCTCAGTACAGTTCCTATCCTCCTTGCCTGGAGATCCATCCCGTTTCACAGATCGCTCACCAGAGGCATTGGCAAATCTGACGACTATTCCACGTATTCCATCTCTGCCAATCTCCTACAAGGAGGCCATTCCAATATTGGAGACGCTCAATGGCCATGGCCTGGATTTGGGATTCAAAGGAGGACTGCCAGAGTTCAATTACTCTACAGGGCCTTCAACATCTCAGGTGAACCTCTATAACGACGTTACGTATAACTTCACCGATATCAGCAACGTTTATGGGTTTGTTGAAGGTGAAGATGCGGATAAAGTCATCATCATTGGAAACCACAGGGATGCCTGGATCAAAGGTGGTGCTTCAGACCCAAACTCTGGATCTGCAGTGCTTTTGGAGGTTGCCAGAGCATTTGGCGAGCTGTTTAAACTGGGTTATAAACCTAGATATTCTCTTCTGTTGGCCTCATGGGATGGTGAGGAGTACGGGTTGTTAGGATCCACTGCGTATGCTGAAAAGTATGCTGACCAGCTGAAGAAGAACGTGATTGCCTACTTGAATGTTGATGTTGCAGTGTCTGGATCTCACTTGAGATTGACTGGGTCTCCTCTCCTAGAGCAGTTTGTTCTTAACCAGACCAAGAAGCTTTCATACCCTGGCGATGAAACGTTGAGCCTCTACGACCATTTTGTTAACGAGTCCTCTGTTCATATCTTGGGATCAGGCTCTGACTACACCGCATTTTATGAGCATTTGGGTATCCCATCTTTTGACTTGGGATTTGTCAATGGCAAAGGCGATCCGGTATACCATTACCACTCTAACTACGATTCTTATCACTGGATGAGCAAGTTTGCTGACCCTGGCTTTAAGTACCACAACGCATTGGCAAAATACATTGGTTTATTGGCAATCAACTTATCTGAACCAAAGCTGCTGCAATCACTTTCTCCTCTAGACTTTGCACACTCGTTGAAGGGGTTCTACGAGGCATTGGTAGAACAAGTGCCTCCTGATTGGCTGAACAAGACCATCGAATTGGAAAACGGAAATGAAGACTATTTGATGAATTCATGCCACCTCAGAGTGGCTCAGATCACGAAAAAACACAAGAAGAAGCCAACCTTGAAGAAGTGGATCAAGGCCACAAGACGTCTTATCCATGCATTCATCGGAGTTGCAAAGGGCCACGAGGCGAAGAAGAAGGAGCTCCAGGAGAAGTGGGACACGGATGTTTCTAAGTCTAAGAACCCATTGAAGAAGTTCCTGTTCAACAGACGTGTTCGTCAAGCCAACGATCAGAGCTCCAAGGTGGAACAACAGTTCTTATACGCACCTGGGTTGAAGAACCGTGATTGGTTCAAACATATTGTGTTTGCATCTGGAAGGTACACAGGTTATGCTGGTCAAGCCTTGCCTGGACTGGCAGAGGCCCTAGAGGACAATGATTTCGAGGAGGCTGTTCGCTGGATTGGAATCATTAGAGAAGCTGCTAAACAGGGATTGGTTTCTTTGGTCAAGTGACTGACTGTCTATCCATTCTTTATTCTTAGATCTATGGTATCAAATCTGAATCCACGTTATCACCAGCGTCCAGTAGAGATATGCTGTTATAATCACACCATTCCTTAAACAGTTCTGGTGATATTTCTATGTCGTTCTCCTGTAACAACGTCAATATTGAATCGGGACTGACCGGCTCAAATGTATAGATCTTCTCCCAAATCTTCTCATCTTGCCTAATGACGTTGTTGACGACCTTGAAGATGTCCCTTCGCACAACTTTCTGAGATAGAGAAATGTCCTGGCTCATTGATAGTTGATGAACGGAATCTTGAGAAAGGTACCGTGTGACCCGTCTTATCGAGTTCACCATGGATAGCTTACTCTTTGAAGGTTTCAACCCATAACGCATAATCGTCTGTCTCAGGTGATCCATGGACATTTGCATAAGTTCATCATCGTCACATATATCATCATCTTCCTCCTTATCACTCAAATCTTCGATAGCACCAAGCGTATGCTTTAAAGGGCTTGAGTTGCTTGTTCTTGGTATACAAAGCCCTCTAGGTAATAATGGCGAACTTCTCTGCGATACGTTTTGAGACGAGGGCACTTGCAACACACTCTTGTTCCTCTTGACGGTTCTCGTTATCTCAATGATGCTTATATCTTCATCGTCGTCAGATGTATCAGGTACATCGTCACTGCGAAGTCTCTTCCTGTTGATTATTCTGGTGGAGAAATCTCCAGAAGCAGGCGAGCTCGAGTTTGCCACTGGATCAAGCTGGCCTTGGAACGTGACTTCTGTTGTTGTTCGTACTCTTTCTCCAATACTGGGAGATGCGTTCTGTCTAGCTGTGAGATAGATAGAAGGTGTGCTAGGAGACGATGAATCGTCATCTCTGCTCGCAGGTGACGACATCAAATTCGGTATGGAGTATGATTCTTGGGCAATGAGCACATTCTTCCTCTTCGGAGACAGCGAGTGAACTCTGATGGGCGATATCATGCAAAAAGATGTCTTCTGGACACCGGGACTTGAGTCATTCGTACGTCTTTGAGGTGTGCGTACGTTACACACATGATCTCTCTCTGGAGAGCCCACCAATGGTGAAGACCTGATCTCTTGAGAATCCGATGGTGGAGGTGTCTGTGCAGACCGTAGCTCGTTATACTGGGTGTCACCCAGGTTGTCATCATCAACACCGGCATTCGTCTTCTGTGACAGGAGGTATTCTGTCTGAGACACCTCGAACAGGTCACTCGAGTCCTGGTGTATAGAGGTTGAGTTCAACGTCACAACGTCCTTCGAGTCAAAGCTTTGTTGATCCGTCGGTATCTCGATAATCGAGCCCGTGGGGGACGATCCAGGGATCTGACTGGGTAGTACACTGGACATGACGGGCCTCTTCCTTGGTGATGGACAGGCCTGGTTGTGTATTAATTGTGGCATAAACGCGTACAAGCAAGCGTAGGAAGAGAGGCACCAGCCGTGATACACCCGGACACCTATCAACCCGGACACCCATAAACCCAGACACCACTTCATGCAGAACCGCGTGCATTTCCGACACTGCATGGAGTTTTTCCGTTGTGCAGCGAGGGACGGCACCCACCAGCAGCTCATCATCATCATCATCTCATCTCAGCGTACCAATTGGTACGCTGACACACGCGTACAACTGTGCACAAGGACAACAGATCTGTCGTATTCTCCCTCGACACTTATCTTCTCGGTTTTTCTAACCAGCGAGCAAGATGTCAAAGACGATCAGAGCTCCTGCCAGCACATGATTGGGCTATGCACCAACGTCTGAGCGTTTTTGCCAATATATACCCACCTTTAGAATTGCCGAGATTGAAGTAGACGTAGATGTGGTGTGCGTGTGTGCTACGTCTAGTCTGGGCAGACACAGCGTGCCAGGGTCTGGAATGCGGCTCTAAGACAGTCTCGCTCTGAGCGTGTATAATATCGAAGCGGTGTTACAGGTGGCTCAGGGTTGGCGGAGCATTGAAGCCATAAAAATAGGGTGTGCAGTCTCACTGAGAGCCAGAATTACATACATAGCCAAATTCACGGGCAACCACGTTGCCGGTGGAGTCATTTCACCCGTAAATTATCGGATTCACATCACCTCATTCCATTGAACACAAGCAGAGTGTTTAATCAAGAAGTAGATAAAGAGAGACCAAGGTCCTTCATTACTCGAAGTAAACTAGCGTGAACTGCATCATTTTCAGGGCTCATTGGATCAATATTACTGTTATAATGGTCCAGTATGTACAATGTATGCAATGGGGGCAATTTGAAACGGCTAATCCAGTCATCTGGAATTTCCAAGATGAAGGTTTCAAGGGTGTTTTTTCAATATTCACAATTGAGAGCTCATGCCCAAGGACCCTGTCCGTCAGCCTCATTGCCCATCTTAAAGCTCAGCTTGTTGTATAACTTCATGTACGTTGTGTAGATCGTAACTCTCGAGTTGAGGCCTTAAGACAGCCGTTCTATTTACCATGACGAGGGCCGTTCCAGTTTGGGTTGTACAATTTGGGGGCTCAGGTCGTATGCACAGCACGTACATCACCAGCGTCGAGGAAAATATGTGTACATATGAACATACAGAGGGGCCCTAAAGAGAGAGAGGAGTACAATATGTACAATGTTTAGGCAGGACTCATGGCCTGAATTCCTTGGACTTTTCGACACCCATGTCAAAAAGTATTTAAATGTCACCATGCACCCCTCCTCCCTCCAATTGCTGAAGATCACATAACACGTTGGAATCTGACAACCATCTTTTACTATAACGTAATGTCGACAGGTCAAACTGAAAGTACCACCACCAATTCATATTTCTCCAACCACGATTTAGAAGCTCAAATATCACATTTGAGCAGTGATTCTGGACATGTAAATAGGCGTTATGACGATACAAAAGCATACATTCTTAACGATCAAACACCATCGCACAAACTCAGTGCCAATGAGCTCGTGTATTCGGTTACAACATCTGGTTCAGAAAACGAATACATCCATTTGGACGATAAGAAGTTCTTGAAATCTGATATGCTGAAAGCATTTGGCGATTCTTTAACTCCATCTCATTCTCAGAGAACATCACATAGAAAATTTGGTGATCCTGGCCCAATAGGGATGTGCGCCTTTGCCCTGACAACTTTTGTAATTTCTTTGATTAATGTAGAGGCAAAAGGTGTAACAACACCCAATGTGATTGTTGGATTAGCATTCTTTTATGGCGGCATGACACAGCTGTTGGCTGGAATGTGGGAACTTGCATCTGGTAACACTTTTGGTGCCGTTTCGTTGACATCTTATGGTGCTTATTGGCTCAGTTTTGGTGCAATATACGTTGATTTCTTTGGAATAGTGAGTGCCTATGGTGACAATCAAGATGAGTTGAACAATGCACTTGGATTTTATCTCATAGGTTGGGCCATCTTCACTTTGGGGTTGACTTTGCTTACTAAAAAGTGCACCATTCCTTTCTTTGGAACCTTTTTCACTTTGGAGATCACGTTTTGGCTATTGGCTGCGGGTAAGCTGGGTCCAAGCACAAATTGTACCAAGGCTGGTGGTTATATGGGAATAATCTGTGCATTGTTTGCCTGGTACTGTGCTTTTGCTGATTTGGCAACGGAAGATAATTCATATATCCAGGTAAGATTCATTCAACTTGCAATATTGGATCTTTTCAAGAAGAAGAAGAAGTGAAATGGTCTCTCTTCTTACACCATCCACTTTTCAGAAAGTTAGATAAATCGATAGACGAGTAGAAAATATTCAACCAACCAGAGAACAATTCAACGATTTTTACGATTCAAAGATATTGTAACTCCTGAGTTGAGAGTATTCTCATTCATAAAAAGTAATCAGTTGCTGGTTTCTTGGAAGGCACCGCATGTGCATCTTGTAACACAGCTTCAAAGATTGTATACTTCCTCTCTAATGTATCGTTAATTTCCAAAACAGCTGCCACGTTGCCACATCTATAACAGTAGTTTGGTGCACTCCAAACAGTTACCAGTCCACCATCGAACATCTCCTTATAACCTTCCATTACCAATTGATGAGCTCTTGCGATTAGACTAACGTTATTGGTGTGCAAGAACTTTTCCACTTCGTGACGACCAAACAGGAAACCAGCTCCTCTAGGACTTATACCCCAGCCAGTAACGGTATCAGGGTCTGACCACAGTAAGTCACACATCGCACCTTCATGGGGCACTTCCTGCTTTCTGTCTATCAGTTTGATCTGGTTTATTTGATCAATGTCTGGTGATAATCCACCATGGACGCAAAAAACTCCATCAGGGCCACCAACCAAGGCGCCCAAAGCCAAGTAATCAAACACCTCACAGCAGTATCTCCATACGTTTGCACTTCCATATTTCCTGAGGCATTCGTCGTAGAACCCATATACTGTGGTGATCTGCCTCGATTCGTGGTTACCCCTTATTAGAGTGACACGGTCAGGATATCTCACTTTGAGACACAGAAGAAGTAAGAAGGACTCTAACGAGTAAAACCCTCTGTCGACAAAATCCCCCAAGAACAAGTACCGTGTCTGTGGGCATTCACCAGCGTGTTTAAAAAGGGTCAAGAGATCGTGCAATTGACCGTGGATATCACCACATATAGTCACTGGAGTATCAACGATGGTGACGTTTGCCTCTGCTACCAATAACTCCTGCGCTTGGAGACACAATTGGTAGACATCACGTTCTGAAAGTTGTTTACACTGTTTGAGAAGGGATATTGCAACGTCAACATCAATCATTGTTCTGTTCTTCACGTCCACTGTTGGTGTGGTTGATGATAATATTGTTGTTGTTGTTGTTGTTGTTGATGGTGAACGCGAAATTTTCTCCCACGCAGATGTGAAGAAAGCCATCTTAGAAAGAGGTATTTGAAGACAACGATAACGATGTGCCGTTGAGTAGGGCCATTGACAGCGGATTCATGAAATATGCCATCAGTAGTTTCCCATCTAACAGATAATCCTCAAGACAGTAGGGATCACCGGATCCAGGTGTACGCAATTTTGGCTTCTTTATCTGGCAGTACATGAGCGGCGCTTCACTCCTGAACATCTGTTCATGTCCCTGAGATGTCAGAAAACAGGGAGAACACATGATGGCCATTGAAGTGTACCTCTTAGATCGATTCACGTTGAAGTTGAACGTTCCTTCCAGCTCTCTAATTTCCCTCGCAGTGATCTTTGTAGACTGGCTCTTACACTGTACCAGGACGTCCATCAGCGTGGACTTCCGCTTCAGAATGGGCTTTATCGACCTACCCCTGACCCTCAGCGGCTCACTGGCATCATCACACCCACTTCTAAACCTCTCCAGGTCCCATTTCGCTGCCAGATCCCTGCCGTTATCGAAACTGCCTCCATAATGAACTACACGTGACATCGACAGGTCCCTCTCCAGCGATTCCTTTACAAAGAGCTCGTACACGGTTCCTTGAAAGACAGTTGAGCTAGGATCAGTTCCATTTACCTTAGCATAGCGTAGGTAGCTTGTGATATCGGTGAATTTACTCACCTTATTCATAGCTCTGTCGTTGTTGTTTAGAAGTGAAAGGGAAAGTAAACAAAGCCACAAGTGAAAAAAAAGTAAACAAACAACATCAACAAAGTAAACAAAGAAGGCAGAACGGGTTAAATGGACAAAGTACATGGAAAGACGATCCACAGGACACAGACCCAGTCACTTTCGCAACTACAGTCACGGACTTCCCAGCCTTTGAAGGCGTTTGAGACTTCTATAAGGAGCTTTGATGAGATGCTCTGTGGAGGGTTTGTGCCTGGACAGGTCTACGAGTTGAGTGGCTTGAACAACAGTGGGAAGGTTGAGGTCGGGCTACAGGTGTGCAAGAGCGCCTTAGAGATGGATAAGAGGGTGCTTTGGATATCTATGATGCATTCGAGGCCCGTTGTGACGCATGATTTGGAGACTCTTTGTGATGTTGATCACGTTAGAATCTCAACATTGGGGCAGTTATACGTTTTCTTACAGTCTTTTGAGCAGATATCAAAGTTCTCATTGATTATACTGGAGGACTTTTCATGTTGTCTGACGAGATGTGTTGGAGACCTTCAACTGATGGGCATGAAGTCCACTTTGGAGACGAAGCTGGCACGTAACGTTGCAGAATTGTTGATGCTTAACTGTCAGAGGTTCAACAGTGCTTGTGTGATGATAAATCCAGTTGAGACTTCAAACATCTCGCTTGTACCTGTTGTAATGAACAATGGTTCAAAGGATGGTAAGTATATAAACCAACAGATCTTGGTTTCGTCATTAGGTCAAGAACACATATGGAATAAGATATTCAGAGCAAGGATCATGTTATATAGAGACTTTGCAACCAATTCATCGGGGACATGTATATATGCACATATACGGCATAGCTCATCGATGAAGAAAGTGCTGGCTTCAAGAGGGGTGAAGCGACAGGTTGTTGCCTTTGGGCTGGATCGTACAGGATTGGTGGAGTTATCAGATGCTCAGCATGGAATTTCAAAGGATTTTACAGTGGACGAGTCTGATTTCATTAGTGACTTTGATTCTGGAGCAGAGGAGGATGAGGCGAACGAGAGCGAAGTAGGCGACAATAGGGTGCAAGAGAACAAAGTGGAAGATCATCAAGCTAAGATACTCCCGTCTTCATTATATGGCGATATCCAAAATTCCCAAGAAATGCTCTCCTCTCAACTCAACTCAAATATACACGAAGACATGGAACGTAAACCACACTCGTTATCACAAGATGAGGAACCCACGGCAGTGAATACAGACCAGATGATCCCGTCAACTAGGATCGAAGTCTACAGAGACGATGATCCAGCGTCTGTTACTATGGTTGAAGATACATCGATGCAAGAACTCGAAGATGAACTAGAGGAGCTATTCCCTACACAGCCAGAGGCCATATCACTGGACAGGCTGACACAACTTACCCAACTTACCCAGCTACAAGACAATGACGAGAGTCTCAACCATTCCAAGAAGAGGGCCATTACACACGATGGCGTCTTCACCACCAGCAAACAGAGGAAGGCCATGATGCAACTTAGCGACGGAGTAAATGTACAGATAGAGGACGAGACCTTGGAGATCCCAGCAACACTGCCCTTCTTCTAACAGACATTAACAACCAGCCAAACAATGAGAGCACTATAAAAAGGTGAAGACAAAAAAAAAAATAAAAACTCCCAAAGAAGAAAATAACCAAAAGACAAAAAACCACCCATTTGGGGTATTTATAAACAACGTTCACGTGATGGCTCACAACTTCAGCACTGCGCAAGCAACCTTGGGTCGCTCTCCAGCTGTCCATTGCTGTTCGGAGTGGGAATACGTCACAAGTTTCACTGCAGAGCCGAGAGGAAATTCAGCAAACAAAAGTGGGTTCACTTTGAGATTCGTTTCTTGTTGCGGAGGTCACAGTTATTGTATCAGCTGAGGTTACCGTTACTGTAAGGATTAGTTGTATAAGAGGGTAATTGGTTATCATTACTGTATAAGAGAGCCAGAGAGCAAGTCAGAGGGACAGATAAAGAACAACAGGAGCCAACAGGGTTGAAGACAAGAGTATGACTGGTTCGAGTCCAAAGTTCGTCGAGCCTTCAGATTTTGCCAGTGGGAAGCTCAGTGGGCGTATCCTCAATGCCTTCACCAACATACCGTATGAGATTTATAAAGATAACGTTGATAGTGACAAATGGCAGATTACAAAGCTTCACGGCAACTCTGCGTTGATGTCTGCCTTAGAGCATCTGGATGACTCGAAATGGGAGAACCATCTGTTTGCGTGGACTGGTGAATTGGTGATCAAGAACAAGAACAGCGTCACCGACGAGGCGTATTACTTGGACTCTGATGATAAGGACCACATTGAGGAGCTGATCAGCAACGATCACAAGACTGCTAATGTTCATCCTATTTGGCTGTTGAGAAGGGATCAACAGAGATGGAGACAGTACGCCGAGAATGTGATTTGGCCTGCGTTCCACTATATCATGGGTACCCCTTCAGATGGACGTGAAGAATCTCAATGGTGGTATGACTATGTCAAGTTCAACGAGGCATATGCTTCCAAGATCGTTCAGAACTATAAGGAGGGTGATATCATTTGGATCCATGATTACTATTTGATGCTATTGCCACAACTGATTAGAATGCAATTGCCTAATGCAATTGTAGGATTTTTCATGCATTGTCCATTCCCTTCGAGTGAATACTTTAGGGCATTGCCAAAGAGACAACAGCTGTTGGACGGTATGCTAGGTGCAAACAAGATTTCGTTCCAAAACTATTCATTTGCAAGACATTTCTTGAGTTCTTGTAAGAGAATTCTTGGTGCTGAAACTACACCTGATTCTGTTGCAATGTACGGTGAGACTATTCATATAGATGCTTTACCTGTGGGTATCGACGTTGATAAAATTGAAAAGGATTGCTTCAACAAGGAAATCGACTTGAAGGTTAAGGCGATTAGAGAATTACACCACGGGAAGAAGATTATTGTTGGCAGAGACCGTTTAGATACCGTCAGAGGTGTTGTACAGAAGTTGCAAGCATTTGAAACGTTTTTGGAAATGTATCCAGATTTGAGGGATAAAGTCACACTTATCCAAGTTTCTTCTCCAAACGTGCTACACTCCACAAAGGTTGAAACACAAGTTACAGAGCTGGTGTCATCGATCAACGGTAAATTTGGTTCTTTGAACTCTACACCAGTGGAGCACTACCAGATGAGAATCCCCAAAGAGGATTATTTTGCACTGTTAAGAGTGGCAGACCTGTGTGTCATTTCATCGGTACGTGATGGTATGAACACCACGGCTTTGGAGTATGTTGTTGCTCAAAAGTTCAACCAGTCGCCATTGATTCTGTCCGAATTCAGTGGTGCATCTGGTGTTCTCAAAGATGCAATCATCGTTAATCCATGGGATTCTGTGTCTGTAGCTAAGGCCATTTATGATGGATTGACTGCTGATGCTGCGAAGAAGGACCACTGGGAATCCAAGTTGATCAAATCTGTGACCCCAATTGAGAAATGGACAAGCGCTTTCCTTAAGGATCTGATTGATGAATCCGTCGGTGGACCGCAGAGAAACTTGACGTCTTCTTTGAATCGTCCTTTACTCCTGGAACATTACAAGCAGTCCGACAGAAGACTCTTCCTCTTTGATTATGATGGTACTCTCACACCTATTGTGAATGATCCAGCAGCTGCAATCCCATCAGCAAGACTCATTGACATATTGGAGAAGTTATCAGAGGATCCTCGTAACCAAATTTGGATCATTAGTGGCCGTGACCAGGCATTCTTAGAGAGATGGTTGGGTAAAAACCATAAGCTGGGATTGTCTGCTGAACATGGTTGCTTTATGAAGGATATTGGTTCAGATTGGGTCAATCTAGCCGCAAAGTTTGATATGTCATGGCAAAGAAAAGTAGAAGATATTTACGTCAGATATACGGATAAAACTCCAGGTTCGCACATTGAGAAGAAAAAAGTTGCATTGACATGGCATTATAGACGTGCTGATCCAGAGCTTGGAGAATTCCATGCTAAGCAATTGATGGAGGAGTTGCAAAGTACCATTGCAACACAGTACGACGTTGAGGTGATGAGTGGCAAGGCCAATGTCGAAGTTCGTCCAAGGTTTTTGAACAAGGGTGAAATTGTCAAACGTTTAGTCTTGACAAGACACGGTGCTGCCCAAGGTGATGGGAACGTTGATGATCTACATCACAAACATGAGGAGCTACCAGATTTCGTTGTGTGCATTGGTGACGACTCTACAGATGAGGATATGTTCAAGAAGTTGATTGAAATTGAACACAATTGGGAAGCAGATATTAACGCACACAAGAATGAAAGATTCGACAGTTTTGGTATCTATCCGATCAAAGTTGGACCGGCTTCAAAAGCCACTGCTGCTACATCGCACTTGAACGACCCTGCTCAAGTCTTGGACACTTTGGGCTTACTCGTTGGTACTGTTTCCCTATTTGAAACCGCTGGTACTATTGAGTTGGACGACAGAGGTCATGTTAAGAACAGTGAATCAAGTCAACGTTCCGAGGCCGCAATAGCTGCCATCAAATTGAAGAAGTCCAGTTCAGTGGCAAGTAAGATGTCATCAAGTAGTACTTGATCAGCACATGGCTTACACCACTCACTCTAGATTATGGGTATTACACTAGTAAAAGAGATTATTATACAACAATGAAAAGGCCCTGATGGGGCACAGGGCTGCCATGTAGTTTCTTGTAATCAATTGATGAAATGGCTCAATCTTCAAAGCCCATTATAAATTACTTTAATAGCTGGCTGTATCCTTCTCAACTTTTCCATTTGAACTTCGTTCTGTTCTATGTTGTGTGCAGAGCTCGCATTGGAAGCGTTTAATAGGCCAGTTGTATACCTAACCAGTGGATAGAAGCCCAATTTAGCCAAGTTGAACGCAACTTGTGAGTATTTTTGTTTCTGATCCGAATTCTTCAGCTCCGTCAAAGACTGTGTATACAAGACCATGGCTCCTAACAGAGGGTATTGTTTTAGCTTTTCAATATAAGTACTCTGATAACAAGATACCATGGCATTGCGTTGATCCATGGTGTAAACATCGCCAGGATTATATAGCGCATCCAAACAGTCCAAGGTCATAGTGACAAGCAGCTGTGGTTTGTGAAATTGTTGATTTACCCTCCTAACTTGGACCAGCCGTTGAGTGACGAAACCCAACAGATTAAGCAGCTGTTGTATTCCATCAACAGCACCAGTTCTTATCTTCCTCCGTAATAAACCTTGTAACAAGACGTATAGGTTCAACAGTGATAAAAAGTAGATATCATAACATCTCAGGGTTGCCCTATGTGTCTCAATACCTTTCAGCAATGACATATAACGGTTTATTGCATCAACGACCTTCCCCAAAGAGTGCAACGACATCGCAATCAAGAATGCTCTTCTAGGAGTGTCTCGTATCCTCGAAGACCACATATTTAAACGACGTGGACAATCTTTTATCATGACATCTAACTCCGTGAGGCCAATCTTGTCCCAACTTGGTAACTCATCTAGTTTGAAGATGATTTTGGAGCCGTCCGAATTGAACTTTGCTGGCCAGATACCTTTGTTGCCTATGAGAAGAAGCGTTTCGAAGAAATATACATCCTGTAGGACTGACTGAGCCTCTCTAATCACCATTGAAGAGCTTTTCATGTAGGAGTACGTTCCTGCTAACATTTTGTGCAGTTCTTGTTGGCAAGCAAATTCGGTATTAGATACAGTGTCCAATGATCTCTTCACTGAGCTGGACTTCAGAGCCCGTATCAGGTGTAATTGAGTTGTCACCAATGGCATGAGTTGAATCTCACTGCTAAGTGTAACAACCCCGTTGTCATGAGGGAACTCTAGATTCACGCGAAGAACATGCTTATCTGAATGAGCTTCCTTAAGTGACTCCTGCAAATCTTGAAGGGTTACGGAATATTGTAGTTGATTATTGATGAGCTCCAAAGTAGAGATGATGCACTTCTTCCAACAATCCATGTCCTTTTCATCCGACGTGTCAATCTCATAGACGCTATACGGTACAGACAACGAGTTATTGATGAAGAAAACGATACCTAATAGTTTGATAGCTTTCTTTGTGTGTTCATTCAACGAACTCCATTGTGGACAATTCATGAGTGAAGAGAACGCCGCAGTGGCCTTTTCCAACCCTTGGGGGTTTCCACAGAGCAGTTGTAGGCATTGGAACCTGAGAAATTTCATCAGTGCATAATCCTTGAACGCTGTTGTAGTCGTCATCGGAAGGGCACGGCCAACATCTCCATTTGCGAGTTGTAATTGAATCAACGTATACAACGCGGTCAGCTTAAGATGTGTGAATTCAACAATTTCACCACATAAGAACATTGCTGAGGTCAACAGAGCCTCTGGATTTTGATCAGAGGCTTTGAGATTTACCTCATTGATGATAATCTGTGCCCACTGAATGTAAGCCTTGATCCTGAGTCTGAGAGTTGCCCTATGTCCTTGTCTGATGATCTTTTGAAGACAAACAATGCTCAACTTCACGAGTGTGTGGTACTCCTGGAGATGGGTCACGGTAATCACCCGTGATCTGTTTTGCACGGCTTGGTTATAGAACTGATGGGACAAATCCCAGAGGTGTTGCTCCAACGCTTCCATAAGCTGATTTATCAACAAGACTAATAGCGATATGTAAATGCCAATTTAATGGATTTTGAGGGTTCTAAAAAATTGTGAACGCGCTTATTTTCTCTGGTGATCTGTATTTTTGTTTTCTATCCCGCGTGGCACCCAGCGTGATTATGGAGATCCGAATCATCACAAGGATCATGACAATGAGGACATGGTCATGACCATTGAGATAATGACCAACACGAACATTGTCATGACCATTGATACATAATCACGAACAGAATTTAAGAGTCTACACCAGACCACAACGGACAAACTTTAAATAGTAACAAACCGAATAAACAGAACCTAAACAGAAATGGAGAAAAGAACTGAGAGCTGTAAGGGTGAAGTTATTGAGATACACCAATGGATTTCAAATAGGTCTCTCTATAAGTGTTATCGTTCACAGGGAAATTCAATGGCGTCCACTTAGGTTCATCCTGGAAAAGTCTCACAGCTTTGATATAGTTGGAAGTATCCAAGGTGAATCTGTGGTAGATACCGGCTGGAACGATGAGCAGGTCGTTCTTCTCAACACGAACACGAACCCACTTACCATTCTTTTCATTTAATACGTCAAAGAACCCCGTACCGTCCTTGATGTAACGAATCTCCTCGTCCTCATGGATATGTGTCGTGAAGAAGGCATCTAGCTTTGCCTTCAATGCCTCTGGGGAGCCAAATGATGTTGGCGAAATGACAATCTCATCCCTGTTTTTGTAATGGCGCTTTTTGGCAAGCTCGTCCACTTCATCCATGGTCTCCATTCTTTCGTAGAACACACCAAGCTGGTTGAGCTCATCAGTGCTTACAGATACACCAGAATCGTGGTCTTCACGATAATCCGCCTTATCGTCATCGTCCATGTAATAGGCCTTCATGTTTCAAGCAGCTTTTAGATTTCCTCCTTCACCTTGGTGGAAATGCCTTGATGGGAAGGGAGGCATTTTGGAATCTTTTGTGTAAAATCATAGACCTCGTGCCCAAACTGTGGCTCCTCCAAAGTTTTCCATCTCCGTACCTGCTGTGTAAAAAAAACACATTGAGCTTGTAAATCATACAAAATGCACATGTGCGCACAGTTCTCTCCTTCTCCACCTTGCGGAGCACCACAGATCACGATGGCCACACCGCAAATGCCTGCGCTAGTCGGCTACCGCTATAGATTATCTAATCATGTTGGCATTTACATGTTGTGATTATGTAATAAGAATATGTGTCTAATTCCCATTTCAGGGTTTCTTGTCTTTATTGAACGCCGTTTCTTATCCACGGGATCTTAGTTTCAAGTCTCTTCTTGTCCTCTCCATTTTTAAATCAATTTGTCCACTGCACCAAAGACAGGAGTTGTCTGTATGCAAGTAATGACATCCATCGTCAATGCAAATAAGAATAATAATAAGTAAAATAAGTTAAATGCCCTTTGTCCCCTTTTTAAATAAATGACTTACATGCAAAGTATCGTGAAATGTATTCGAAACTCACGAGAGTAACCGCACTAGCAGGAACAGTTCTTGCTAAATTAGTCGTGAATCCAGAATAGAAGCCAAAGAAGCCCTCTTTCCTCCATATCTTAACAATAGTCATTATCAAGGAATGCTTGTTCCTGTTGATGGTTCGTATCTGCATTCTGGTTCTCAAGATTTCGTGAGGGTATGTCAGCGTTGATGCGCACATCTTTGATAATGCACTGGCTGCGATGAGTCGAGGTAACCTATGATCCACTTGCTGATCACATTTGAACAGTTTCTTCAATTCTTCGTATACCGGGAAATGGATCGCAACGTGGAAAAGCCCAAATAGAGAAGGAACAAGACCACTGGAAAATACGAGCAATCCTTCATTCTTGTACATCTTTTTGAAAGCGTCGATCGTACCTCTATAATACACTTTGTTATTATATGTGGACTTACCATCACCTGTTTGTAACATAAGTCTCGTCTTCACAACCCATATAGGATTTGTCACAATCGATGAAGCACCGCCAGCGGTGAAAGCAGAGAGAGAATGCGTGACGAATTCGTTATCTATACCATATTCACCGAGAATCTTTGGATACACTCTTTTAGCCCTTTCGTAAACGGAGAAGTAAATCATCCACGTTGGGAAATAACCGAGAACAATGGGCACAACACCTCTATACAGGCCCCGAACTCCTTCCTCTTTGACAATCGTCGACAGCGTACCAGTAATACCGTGGTATTTCATGGAATTGGTCGTTCCCTGGGCCTGAAGTCTCGTCTTTGCAACATCCAAGGGACAAACAACAACACCGGCGAGAAACCCAGCGAGTGCCCCACTCAGAGCAATTACTCGAGGATCTTGTGCTCTGTCTTCCGAAGAAGCTTGTTGTACAGCTCCTGTACTTGTAGCAGGTACAACCGTCATTTGTCTTCTTCTCTTTTATTTTTTCTCTTAGAGATCCGTCCTTCTTCAATTATCTTTAACTCAATTAACGATTGGACAATTCCTTTTGGACGGATTAATATAAGGAATTGGAGTTGTTTTGTGCGTGCGGAGAGAAGAGTATAAACTTTGGAAAAAGGACAAATTTGAAAAAGATCAGGAAAATTTAAATGATCGAGACAGAAAACAGGACGTCACTACTAATTTCAAAACTCCGGAAAAAATGCAAAACCCACACCTTTTATGTCGCATAGCTCTGGAATTAAAAAGCCTTAAACTCCGAACATCGGATAGCGAGGCATCTTTTGTACAATGTCATGGTGATCATCAAACATGATTTCGAACCGTCATTGAGCATCATGATGAGATTATGTTGGTTAGCGATTTTAGCTGGACGAGAGGGCCAACCCAAATCGGCATGGTGTGTGTGTGTGTGGGGGGGGGGGTTCAGAGGTACAGCTACAGCTTTAGAGCGAAGACAGAGCTACATGACATCCTCGTTCCTTTAATATCCATAGCTTTGGCCGCATAAGCGATTACTGATATAACGATCCATTAAAAACATAGACTCAGTAAAACAAACAATAGAGAACTGAAACGAAGAAACCCAACCTCATAGGAGATGACAGCAGGCGTAAAATAACCTGCAATGTCTCCATTCAAATAGTATAATGAAAAGGAAGGAGCTCGAAAAGCTTTAACCAAATTCATAAATCAAACAAACGAACAAACACGAAAACGGTAAGAAACAGACATACCTCCAAACGACAAACAAAGATAATACAGAACGAAAATAATCTGCCAGCGTGGATGTAGACTCTCCAGTGTGGAAACAACTAATGCCAAACCATAGAGAATCATTATATAATAATTTCGACTCAATCAATCGAATATTAACAGCAACAAGAACAAAAACAAAGAATAGCCAACAAATTAGCAGGCAACAACAAAGAATGAATCAAATAAATAATACTTCTTTTCACTTTTACGTGACGACGCTCGACATGTCATCTTCCTAACACACATCACGTCCACAAGTTTTTCCCATTTCAATTTTTTAACACCACTAACGCATCTCCTTAATGTGGTTGTTGGAACTGGTAGTAACCGCCTGTCTCTTCATAACTGGTAGGCCACTTGTTCGGTTGGCCACCAGGAACCGGTTGTGAGCCAGTCATATTTGGAGGAATATTGGTTATATTGTTAGCACCAGGGTTCAGATCGCCCTGTCTTGGAACTTGAGATGATCCAGCGACTCCAGCAGGAAAGTAGTTTTGTGATGAGGCTGGAACAAATTCTCTTTTCGTTGGAGAATCTGGCAGCGGTTGCTGTTGCTGTTGACCTTGAATACCTTGCTGTGGTAGTGACATCTGTTGCTGTTGTTGTTGACCAGTTGGTCCTTGCAACGGAACATATGGAACATACTGCTGTGAAAGCCTCTGCTGATAAGAACCTTGATTACCACCCACGTTCATCTCGTTGGCGTATTCAGATGTTGATCCAATAGAGCTCGAATGACCATGGCCATGGTTCAGTGGTGGTGGTAGGGAAAATGACATCGCATGGCCCTGTGGTTGACCTTGAGACGAATATGGTGGCATTCCAGCATTAGGCTGGTAAGGATAGGTCGGCACGCCATACATGGCCGGACCCTGCAACCCAGCATTCATACCAGGTGGTGGAGCACCAACTGGCAAATGTCCCTGCGATTGGGGCATGATCATCTGTCCCGGTTGTCCTTGGAACATCTGTGTGTTGAACCCTAAAGCAGCAGAGTTGTTGCTATCCATGAGGTAGTATGCTTCATCCTCAATTGGTATCTTACCTCCTAACGAGGAGTCCTTAACAGCTGCCCATAGCTCTGGGGCTAATTGTAAGTCCTTCAACTGTGGTGAATCAGATGGCCGCACTAACACTCCGTTCAAAACATCATCAGCACAATAATACGAAACCAAGTGAATGATCTCTGAGCTTGGACGTTGATTCGAATCTACACGATTCACCGTGACGGACATGGTCTTCTTGATCAATCCAGACTCTTTGAATGCATAGGAGGCAATGAGAGACCCAACCAATTGGCGGTTAGGCTGTCTCTGTGCATCTCCATCCAGGAGGACCCCCGAACTTGAACCAGAGACAGTGCTTGGAGTGCTACCGTTGCCCATGGAATCCTTAATCAAGTCGCCGCTGCTTTTTCTCTTTCTCTTTGCCTTCTCCGTTAAACGTGATCCCTTCTCTTTTGAATTCGTGAGTGCTTGTCTGTCAAGTTCCCTGTACACTAGAAATCTCCCCAGTATTCTCGATGGAGACCAAGCAACACCGTCAGTCCACCTCTTTATACCTGATCTCTCTTCGATAAATACAAAGACATTGCCCGAGGCAATAAGGTCTATTCTTTCGCCATCGTGGGGTCTTCTGGGGACTGCCGAAAGTTGACCAGAGAGAACACCTTGGATCACAAGAAGCGCGTCCTTAGTGGATCCAATGTAACCTCTGAAAGTAGGAATCATTTCTGAGGAGGATGGCATGATGTGTTAGAACCTCTCTCTCTCTCTCTCCTCTGTCTCTTTTGAAATTTTGGTACTTGACCTCTCTTGTCCTTTGTTCCCCTATGGTCGCAAACTGTGCCAAAGCGGAATTATGATCAACACCAAAACCAGCCGAATTTAAGGTTCCTTCTAAACTGTAGAAAGTGCCGTTCTTAAACTTATCTGATTGACCTGAATAGAAGAGAAGAAAAGTTTCAAATCAAACAGGATCAGTAATGGTTCAAATTCTCTTTTAAACTATACTTTTGTCCAAAGGATGAGACCTCAAGATTTTGAATACAATCAGAAAAGAGAGAGCAACGGAAAAAAAAGAACCCAAATAAGATGTTTTAAAGAAGGGGAAAATACCAAAAAAAAAGAAGTTGACGTTTTGGTTGCTTTTGAGAGTTTGCGCCTTTTGGTAGGGGGAGAACATACAGCAAGCAAAAACCGAGGGAGGTTGGGGACAGGGATGCTATTGTTTTTAAACTCTTTTATTTACTTGCATGTGTACGTATGCACTCTGAGCTTGTGCCTCTCTGTTCAGCTTGACGACGTTCTCTTCTGACGTTGACAAAGGCAAGCTTGGAAAGGGGGGGGGGTAGTTACGTTCTGTGGCCATATAGTGCTGAATCGGCGTGGTTTTGGTGTATGGATAAGTGTCATGCACCTTCACTTTAACTTTCTTTTTCTTTTCTGCATTTATGCAGGATTTGTGTAAATTATTTAACACTTTGGTTTGCGTCCACTTGGTGTCAACGCCTAAGGCTCGTTTTTCTTTCCTATTCCTTTTTGTTCTTTTGTTTGTTGTTACATGACAACACCTGTCAGTCCCCAGCAGGCACGCTTTCAAGTTGCAATAGAGTTCAAAGCTCAACAGATAGTTTATGTTTAGTATGTGATTCCCTGCGTTCCAACAGAATAACACCATTAACTATTAACGCCAATGGGCGACTCTATCCCAACAATTCCATAGCCCAGTGAAGTTGCTTGAGTGAAGTCTTTCGTATCCGAATATGCCTCTTTACGTGGGGTCAGTCAGTTAGTCAGTCTTTCCCCTTGAGCTGTGGTGCTACTATCCGTGCTGCTACACCGACCATGTCCTCTGAGGGCCTCGCCTGCAGATTAGAGTTTCTTAAAATAGGAGTGTATGCAACTCTTATGATGGTGAGCACTCTGGCCACTAATGACCACATATAAAAGTTTACGCCCATGATGGAGGGGCACAGTACTTACCGCTTGTGCTTGCATATGATTCGAGTGATCTGCATGTATATGCATGTAACTGTCGTCTCTATGGCGCGCCAGCTAACCACGGATATGGTCGCACAGATGACCATTCAATGATAGTAGTACATGCTGAGTTGTGATTTGTAGCTTCTTTGGTTGTGAACAGCGGCCTCCATTAAATGAACATCCTTAAAAGAATGCGATTTGTTTTGGTCAATGTTAAGCGGGAACCATGACTGGGCTTCTATTTGGGCTCATAGTTATGATCAATCTCCTAACAAAGCGTGCACCTGTTACGCACGCACTTCGATACAATCGAAACCATTGACAAGCGCGGTTACGGTGTCGCATGTGTATAATATGTAAGCGCGCCGTGACCTGAACTTTGATTATTTGTGAAATGACTTAACGTTACTCGGCAAGGCGAACTGTACAGAAATCGATGATTAGAAAGATTAACATTCACCGCAAATATGTCATCGGTGAATGTTTCTACACAATGGATTGAACATAAATGTAGATAACAGGCGGCAAACTCATCATTCTTTTAATGAATTGAATGATCTTCATCCAGTTACGGAAAAAGTTTTGTCTGTGGTGCCTAGATATCTGATCCAGCTAATTCCCGTAATATTTTCACGCCCTAATCTTGATGGGTTCTAGAACTTTACACATGTACAAAAAGGATCCACAACAACAAATGTCCAAGTATCGAGAAGTAACTTGAGCTAACGTACATAGGGATAATGTGCATGGGTCATCATCCTTTTGCCAACATCGATGCCGTCAATGACTCACCACGTTTGGAGTCTGTTGGGAGTTTCAGCTACCGACTACGGTCCAATGAGTGTAATTTATAGTCTGAACATATACGCTTCACGAACCTGTTCATTACGAAACTTTAAGATATGACGGACTACATGTATAATTAAACTCGTAGAAGGATTTCAAACTTCAAACTTGCAACATAATGCCAGATTGTAGATCATGACGATTTATCCATAGAGCGTCGATCCTGCAAAAGTCTCTTTTACATGTTAATTTTTGAGTGCGGACATGTGCGTTGTCTAAAGAGTAATATTAGCCTTTCACCCGCTTAGTATCAACAATGTTTTGTTGGCAATTTCAAGATAATTGATAAATCAACGCTTGTAGTTGCGCTGTTTCAGTTATATCTGGTCCATCTTGCTATACTGCAAGCGATACAACATGATATAAATATGAGATTTAGCATTTATTAACTAAAGTTCCAGCATTTTCCTGTATTTTCAGGCTCGCACTGAATTGAAATTCGACAGCGTTCATGTTGTTTCCAATGAACCCTGGAGAGTAATTCAAGTGCCGAAAACAAGATGAATATGAGAAGAATGGCCTGTACATTTCATAATGTCTAAAAATGACCGTACACTATGGTATAAATGACAAAACACTGTCTTTTTTAGTTGATTTCAGTTGCTGTTATGAGTTGGAGTTAAGTGAATGTCACCAGCGAAGGGAGAGAGAAAGTTGCTCTTGTCCTTTGCAAATGTTCTTCAGACATGTAACAGTGATCCATGTTGTAATGAGGACTTATGTGGCGTGAATATCGAATGTGTTACAATCATGAGGTATTTACTAAAAGTTGTCCTACTCATTGAATATAGCGTCTAAAGGGGATTTTGTAAGTAGAGCGACAACTGAAATTAATCAATCTGACACAGAAGAAATCATTACCTCATCCTATCACCCCAATAAATCCAATGACGAATAGAGCAATAGAGTTTCTTAGCGAGTATGTAATGGCAGCTTCTCTTCGGGTATGCAAGCCTAATTGTATTCTTTTCTTAAACAATCGTCCAACGTTTTGAATCTCAAGGACAGCAGCCTCTATATCTCTCTGGGTATAATGCCTGCAAAAGAGAAGAACACATGTTAGCCGAAGTGCATTTGGTTATGCCCCTTAGTTGAGGCCTATTCATGTGCTTTTATCCGTTACCACTATAAACAGTTACTTTTTTTCAGAAACACGGCAATATTGACTAAATGCCTCTTTAGAACCATGCGGCACGGGTAACATAGTAAAAGCGCTACCAAGCATACTACACCTACTATTAGCTAGATACCGAGGCTTCAACAGCTCATCATCATCACACTTGGGTTCGCTACCGGGAATCACATGAATTTGAATCGTTGAAGTTGAAATTGGGGGGGGGGGGGTCGGAATTTGAGATGGCAAGATATGTATGCACGTACCATTATACGATATTACGTGATGTATGGCTGAATACTTTTGTGACTTTATGCGTAACAGCCGCCTATTATTTGTGATATGTAAAAAATCGGTAGGCATCAGGCTGTTGAGTACAGACATATTCCAAACCGGTTGGTGAATCCCAACCAACAGACGCTATCAATAGATCACGACTCAAGAACCAGCAGTTAACGCTTCTACAGGCATAGTATATGACTAGTGACACTTATGGTTGCCTTCTCGTACTGGTTATTATTGGAAACATTGAACATGGACTCCAGTAGATATCAGTTCTGAAGCTCATTTCCGTATTGTTTTGTTACAACAAACCTCCACCTTTTGCAAACAGAAGAATATGTATAGGCAATTACGTGGAATGTTGGTGAGTTACAAAGTCGTCATGCACACTATGATATATATCCAGGTTCGTGAAGAATAGGTTAAACTTGGCTTTCATTCTGTCCAATCATGGGATCAACACTACTTTGAGATTGGTATAGAGAGAACTATTATATCCCCAACTTTACAAACAATAGAGTACTAAGGCTGTTCTTGGAAATTTGAAGCATGTGCCAGCAATGTTGTGGAAAGCCCAATCATAGCCGTAGAGATGGATTGTTGACTGAAATTTCCTATAAGTCCCAAGGCTATCACTTAACTAGCATACATTGTCCAAGCCGATACTTGAAGTTTAAATAGAAGTGATGGTTTCATCGGTACAACCCTAGTTGAACCATTTTGGTCCCAACCTACAAGCTACATTGTTGGGCTAAATAGCAGAGTTCATGCGACATGCTTCTTTCGAATATTTGTCAGAATTAAAAAGAGGTTAGGCTTCTCAAACCTGACCATGATGAATTGGTTTCCACCGGGGTTTCACCTTATTAAGGTCTGAAATGCTATTCAACCCATGCTCTATTGGAGTGGGTAGCATTCCAATCCAACTATCAGTTGTTGCAGAAACCAATTGTTGCGTCATGATTATGTACTCCAGCTGTATATACAACTGTACATGAACGATAATCAAGGGTGTTGAAGTTAGACCCATGCAGATTATTTGACTGAATGGCATTGCCATGACCACAGACCATACCTCGCTAAATATAGAAGGGTCTTTGGTCAACTTTCAAGGTTCAAGTTTAAAATTTTATTAATCAATCACCAGAGTGTTCGGATAGTTCATATTCATACGCGAGTCTACTGTCATTATTCACTGTATGCTGGGATACTGCATGGCCATATCAGGCGGGCGGATTAAAATTGAACAGAGACGCTAGTTTAACTTTACAAACACTATGCCGCTAGAGTTTCTGATGAGACATAGATATTAAAGTTTCACAAAGCGTATAGTTTCAGGTCGTGAAAGAATATGCATACCTGAATCCGAAGAGCGTGTAAGTTCCAGTAGTGAAGTTTCAGTTAAACTAAACTATAGTAAAGCCTTAGCCCCCCTTCATTCAAAGCTAATTATGCTTGATTAACTTGTGGTCTGAATCTTTATCGACACAGAACCACTGTACTGAGGTCCATTCCAAAGTAGGGTCCGATCATAACGGCGATATATAGGAAATGCCGCGCCTGGCCATTCTTCGTCATAGACTTGACACAGAATACGCGGCTAGAAAGTGAGCATAGTGGAGGGGATTAACATCACCTATTATTCTAGTGGGAATATGCATGAGTCGACAAGCGGTGAAACATTAGATCTCTAGGTACGAATAGGTGTATATTCCTATGATTTCAGGTTTCATCAAGGAGCAGAATTCAATAGTGTGTTTTGCTAGACTAGAACCCATAGGCGGTAATAAGGCAGTTAAAAACCAGTCATCAGAATAGCAATAGGTGCTGGTATTGTCCCAAACACATGATATATTACCCCTTTGAGATAATTTGTCTCAGTGTCGCTGTGAATCTGTAACCGAACTGCTTTCGTAATTAACATTTGGAATACACAATGGATCAAGGTTCAGCGATTATTGATGGTGAATACTCCCCCTGATGACAACGCCCTAAATGTTAATGAATAAGGTCAAGGTATACATGGTAATTGCATACCATATACCATAACATACCTTAAGAGGCAACTAATGTGATCAGCAATGATGCACCATCTCAACTGAAACAACCTTAAAACAAATATTGTTAGAGAGTTACAACCCTACCTACGTCGTTAGATTTGTGTGCTCTTCGGGGTTCAGCATTCAAAGCTGTAACAACAACAAATTTTGCAGCTGCTATAATCAGGCGATAATTCCGAATCCTAATCCAAAGATCGAATATCACATTTGTGCTCATCGACGATGTAAGGGCCCGCAAGCGTTCGTGTTGTCAATGACGAAGTTTACTTATCCCGCTGTTCGATCTCAAGATTTATTTATGAGATCGACCAACCCTGAGCTTGCACACATGTAATAGATATGAGTCATAAGGGCTGGAAAGCTCATGTCACGATCAGTGGATCAAATTCGTCAATCTTCGAATCGTTCAAGTTACAACGCAACTTGTTTCATCACGAGCTATGAAGTCATGTCATCACAGAAATAAACATGTGGTAAGTCATCGCCATAACAACGCGTAAAAATCTTGAGTAGAAAACTGTAATCTCCAGCGTATTCTTAAACAACCCATGTGCCACTCAGCTGGATTTGCTGTAAGTTTGCGGCGTTTTCGAAGGAGGGGTTGTTGGTTCAACCTGCTTGGACAATCATAGGTGGATTAGACGCAGGCTCATGAATGGTGTCTGAAGCAATGCTTATATCAGAAATAACCTGGAACGTCTCAAAGACATGCTTCACCAGTAAATGGTTATATAAGTAACGTGCCTTCAGTGCCTGAGACCCTAGACGACTTTTAGGAATGCTCTATGCAACCACGGAATGTGTCTAAATTCACCTAAACACCCGTTGTCAAAAATTCAGGCGCGGTGACGTACAGAAAGAAGTACCTGTGTTCACCTGGAAGAGAATCATCTCCAACAATCAAAATTGATAGTTCTCTTTGTCTCTTGAAAATTCAACGGAGCATGACCTGTGGGCCATTCATTTCCCCTTGGTCATAATCTCGACCATGACGCACAAGAACCAGGACAGAGCGAACGCAAGATGGTCCTGGAAGGTTTTACGATATCGAGCAAATAAACCCCCGAGACAAATGTTGATATGCCGGAAAATTTGGGTGAGGAAACCCCGAAAAAAAACAGAGCTTGAACTGTACAAGTGTTCAGAACTTCAGGTTAACCACCTTTGGCTATAGTACAATTGTGAGGAATGTTTATACGTACTGCTCTGATACACCTTACGGTGATACTCAACGCAGTTGTATCAGCAGAGGAAGACCAACCTGCAGGGTTCCCTGCTCCATTAACTGTGGACACATTCAAGCCTAGGTTGAGCCATGGATTGCACCTGGTGGAGTTCTTTTCACCCTATTGTGTCCATTGTAAACATTTGGCACCTGTTTGGGAGAAGACATGGGAGGCATTTCACGAAGAGGGTGAGAATTTAGGAATAGGGATGGCCCAAGTTGACTGTGTTGCTAGTGGTGATCTCTGTAATGAGCACAAGATCACTGGTTATCCATCACTGAAGTTATACGGACCAGATGGTTACATCAAGGACTATCCAAGAACAGCTAAGCGTAAGAAAGAGGCGTTCATCAAGTTCATGCGTGATAGTGCTGCTAAACATGGCGATGCAAACTTCCAAGTGAAGTCCAAATCAAAATTGTTGTCAACAGACCAGATGATTGAACTGCTGGGAAATGAACATGAAAGCCCCTACTTGGTTTCGTTCTGGCCAAGTTACACCCTAGAGGACCTCGACAAGTACGAAATTGACAAGTACGATACGCCTTTTGATGAGCTGTGCGTTGATTTACAAAGAACATGGGCTGTTGTTTCGAACCAAGTGGAGACACTTGGTTTCAATGCAGGTCATTTCAACTGTTTGAACAATAGGAAGATTTGTACTGGATTGGGGTTTGATTTGCAAAAGCCACATGTTGCCATCATGTTACCAAACATGCCAATTGCCCAGTTTATCAAGCTTGACGAAGATAAATTCGACTTTAGTGTCAAGGATATCAGGGATTTTGCAGAAAGAACTTTACAAGCTGCGAATCCACCTTACGTTGATATCACCAGCATGGTTGAAAAGATTCCATCACGCTTACCAGGATTGTTCGATTTCCCCACTGAAGCCGAAACTAGTATAGTGTACTACTACGACGACCTCACGACAACGCAGGAGGATTGGGATCTTTTGCCTTATTTGATAGAACCTCTATCAAAACTACCAACTGTTCGCCTCTACAAGAGCAACGATTCAAGGTTAATGAACTTGGCTAGAGTTCAGAAGAAAGGTGTTTATAAGCTGTTTGAAGATAAGAAAGATTTCACCAGGGCTGCACCTGATGATCCATCTGATGTTATACCTGGAGATGATAGAATTGAATTTGAACTTGCTACCACTCTACCAACGCTCATCGCATTTCAGAATGTCTTACAAATGCCTAAAGTGTTCCAGAGCTTTGCACCAAGTGACATAAGGGACCAGTATAGGGTAATTGACTGGATCAATGACCAATCTGCTCCTCCATATATGGAATTCAACAGCGATACATATAGGGCCTTTGTCAATGGGCCAGATCATAATGAATATTTTGCTCTTTTGCTGTTGGACCCAACCACGAATGATGACGCTAACCTTCAATATCAAAAAGAATTTCTTGTGGGTGCTCATGAATATACAACTTTGAAAGATGAAGATCGATTCCATAAAGTGGAGGCCGCGCGTAAGAAGAAGGAAGAAGCTTTGACAAAGCTGAAAGCCAACAAAGCCTCTGCTAGAAAGATCAACGACGTGGAGGCAAGAGCAATCCCTTATGAACAAGGGGGTGATCTCACCCTTGGCTGGCTCGACTTGAACAAGCACAAGGAGTTCATCCAGACGATTGGGTGCAACGTCAACGAGATCGAACACGAAGCCGGAGATGTCATCATAATTGATATGATCAGAGAGGTCTACTACGAAGAGGATTCTCATGGTGAGCCACTGAACGTCAGAGTATCGAGAACGCCCTTGACACACACTCTGACTACTCTGCGTGGTCTTACAAATGGTAAACTACGTGCCATCAAACGCCATTCTTTGTTTGGACCAAGCTTGAGATGGGCAGATAGCTTACTGGACACAATCTTCAACAGATGGACGGTATTTTCAGTGATTGTGTTGTTGGTTTTCATCTTCAAGAGACCAAGATGGAAACTGTTCCATCTGCACTTTAGAAGAAAACTGAAAGATAACCGTGGGATCCTTGGGATTCCGGATGCGAAGAAGGAATAAACCACACACCGTCGATATAAATCCCTGTATTTAGTAAGCCAAACAGAGGTATAATTTGATGCACACCATGCATTCTTTTGTCCGCCTTTCTTTTAATTTGAATCATGAAATTAGCGTGTGTCCAATACCCAAACCGACCGCCTGAATTTGAGCGTGTAATTCTCGCACAGGTCCTTCATCAACGGAAGAAAAATCACGAGGACAAAAAAGGACAAAACTAGCCAAGGGATTTTAACTTTATCGACTTGGTGTCATTTGAAAACCGGGACAACAAGAAGAACAAAGACACCACGGGCCAATGTCTCAGTCAAAAGCAAGTGCTGTGTCTCAGCTGGCGATCAAGGAATGGATCACTGTCATTGCGCTGATCTTTGGAGGATGCTGTTCCAACATGTTCACACTTGAAAAGATTGTTACCCACAACAAGGATGCTGGAACAGTTGTCACGTTTACACAGTTCTTGTTCATTGCCTTGGAAGGTTACATCCACTTCTTCGATAAGACAAGACCTCCTTTCTACATCAAACAGAACCATGTTCCCTTCAAGAGATGGTCTGTTACGATCATCATGTTCTTTTTGATTTCCCTGTTGAACAACGTTGCATTCAATTTCAACGTTTCGGTGCCTATTCATCTCATCTTTAGATCTTCGGGGGCCGCTGTTGTGATGGTGATTGGGTATCTTGTTGCTGGCAAGAGGTATAACTGGACTCAGATATTCAGCGCAGTGCTACTGACGGTTGGCGCTATCATTACAACTCTATACAAAGACAAGGAGTTGTTCATGAAGAGAAGCGAGATTGTGGACCCTGCCGAGGAAGCCAGCAAGGGGTTCTTCAGCTTGATCACAGATGATTTGTTCTTCCTCACAGGTATCGGTGTCCTTTTCATCTCAGCCATTTTAATGGCTTTAATGGGATTATACAACGAGGAGACATATAGACTTTATGGTAAGCATTGGCAAGAGAACGTTTTCTACTCTCATCTCTTGGGGCTGCCAATTTTCTTATTTGTCTCCAACCGTATCGTTTCAGAGTTCAAAGGTTTGCTGGAGTACCCAGAGACGTTTGACATCTTGGGCTTGTTCCATATTCCACAGCAAATTGCATACCTTTTGCTCAACGTCCTCACCCAGTTTTTCTGTGTCCGTGGTGCCAACATGCTCGCTGGTAGTACGACAGCGTTGACTGTTGCCGTTGTGCTGTTGTTGAGAAAGTTTGTGTCCCTGCTGTTGAGTATGATGCTCTTTAACAACCGTTTAAGTGTCACCGGATCCTTTGGTGCCGCACTCGTGTTTATCGGCGCCTTTCTCTACTCGTATGGATCAAGGCCACCTGCAAAGCCCCTGGCCACAGAACGCGGTGAAGTTGAGATGTCCTCATTTACAGTTGACCAGGGACCATCAGACAAACGTACCGCTTAAACTTTTAGTACCACCTGCGTACATGTCCGGAGTTCATAGGTGTACAAGACATTTAGAAAAATCAAATCGAGACGTATTTGAGTTTAGCTCTAGATGCGTCAATGGATAGAGTCAACCTTGACAAGTAGTGATGTTAACCGAGACTTTCATGATTCTTTAACATTCTTGGTGGTGCGCTGCACATGCCAAAAAAAGAAAAAAAAACACACTGGACATTAAGTTAAACGATCAGTCCTCCACTGATTTGTCCCAAGCCTACAAACAAAAACAGAACGCAAGCCTCATCGCGTTTCGTAGAACAATTTTGGGACAAATGAACGGGAAATCCAAAAACAAAACGTTAAATCCTAGGATATTTGCCCTTTAGCATACGAACACCATCACCACCCTCAGAATACTGTGGATAACTGCATAAACGTCATTTAATGTCACTCACAGATAAGATAAACCAATTCTACTTACCAGAATGGCTCTCGGTAGAAATCATTGCTGGTAACTTTATCAGTTTTACTCCACTGTTCTCGTACGGCTCCACGATCCTCTCAATTTACAGGAAAGAGTCGTCTCTCGGGTTCAGTATTGACATCTGCGCTACAATGATTATTGCGTCGACTCTTAGAATTGCGTACTACTTCATCATCCCCTATGAGATTGCGTTGCTCCGACAGAGCATAGTGATGGTTGTTATCCAAGTGCTTTTACTCAAAGTGAGCCTAGTATACCGACCAAGAAGTTATGATGCAGATATCCTGGTTCAAGGCCCGCCATTGACAAATGATTTGAAAAACCTGTGGGTAGAATACACAACCAAGAAACTGAACTTACAAACAGCTCCCGTATTTACCCGAGAGGTGTTTGTTACGTTATTTGTACACTTTGTACGGTATTTTGATCCAAGTTTTAGAAGATATAAAAAATTCTGGCAATGGAACTCAGAAACCCCATATTGGGGGTTTCTAATAAAATTTTGGGCTGTGATAACTATTTTGACATTCTTGATGCAAAAGTCCACGATGTTTGGTGGTGTCTTGGGAACCGTTGGACTATTCATTGAGTCTCTATTGCCCCTACCTCAAATCTTGTTGTTGAATAACCTCAAATCAGTTGAAGGGTTCAAGATGATTCTCCTGGTTTCGTGGCTGTGCGGTGACTTCACAAAGATTAGTTACCTAATGTACGGTGCAAAGAACATCAGTGCTATATTTCTAATCTTTGCTGTTTTCCAAATGTCGTTGGACTTTTACATTGCTTTCCAGTACGTCTATTTCAAGTATTACTATGAGCCAGAGCAAGAGTCTCTGGAGATGAGGGATCTTCAATCAGCAGTCACGCATGTCTAACCCTCTTTATAGATAGTGTATATAAAAACTATGTACATAAATGTTTTCTCAGCATATATAGATATTCATTCGTCATTCCAAATGACTTTCCCCTTTGCAGTAGCTGTTGTATTCTTATCCTCATGCATTCTATTCTCTCCAAGTAGCCTCAACACTTTCATTAACGACGATGCGTCCTCGTCGGTCTTTAAGAGAGTTTGGTTCATCAAAATGTTCATCTTTTCACTCAGGCAAGTATTGTAGACTTCAATGGCTTGTGCGGTATTCATCTGTGTGAGTTTGACACCGACTTTCCAGCAATCATCCATGTGTTCGAAGACGGGATGGCGTTCACGGATAACGATGTCGTTGATCGTGGATTTAACTTGCACTTCAATACCAACCGGGGAATGGCGCAAAGACTGGTTCAACTTCATAATCTCCTTCACATGGTAACGAACAATCTCACTGTGTTCTTCAGTGGATGCGTTTGCGAGTAATTTTTGAAGCTTTTCACCTGATTTCTGTAGCGTCTCAACCTCTTCGTCTGAAATTCTGGTGGCTATGACTCTCAATTTGCTTTCAAACTTGGAGATAGGTACAGTGTGCATGATCAATCTGAAAGAAGTGTTGGGTAGCTCATTGGTTATATAACTGAGAACTTTATCCCAAATTTCTAGGGACAGGATAAACTCTTCATTGGCCATCTTTGTAGATAGATTCTCCACCGTATCATTCAATGACCTCTTTTGATCCATGTAATCGATTGCAGGAAGACCAAAAGAGTGTAATATTTCATCCATCTTACTCAACGGTAAGTATTGGAATCCAAACATCTTCGATATGTTATGGTATGCTATGAAAATACCATCCATATTACCTATTCTGGCCTGTAACGAGTATTTGAGCATCGTTGACCGTGACAATTCTAATAGTTCTCTTTCGAACGATTCGAACCTTCCCTTTGTCTTCACAATGGAGTATCCTGTGAGGTTCTTCTCCGCATGAGCCAGGTCATGACGAACAGCTGCAACTGCCCTTGTCTTCAGATCAAATGTCCCAGTCCCCAGTAGACGGTCGTCATGGCAATCCAACTGTGAACGCATTAGAAACGGGCCCGACTTGGCATAATGATAAGTATTGACCTCTTTGATCTTTTCCATTCTCTCCTGTGGTCTTTTCTTGTATAATTCATACTCTTGAGGAGTCTTTGTGAGGAACCTCTCCAATGAATGTCCTAATAATGACAGTACAATTTCACGATCGCTTGATTTGTCAGAGTCTATGGCATAACAGCCATTACGGTTTCTCAGTATCATAGTCGCAGGTAGTCTAGCACCTTTGGTCATCTTGCCCAAAGTTTCAGGCTGCTGCCTTGAGAAATCCAGCAGACTCACTGGTCTGAAATTTGATAACAGAAAATGCAATTGAGATAGGGCACCAGTCATTGAACTTGTTGATGCATAGTACTTCAAGCCGTTTGCTTGCGCCAATGCAGTCAACGTCTCATCTTTAGAAGCAGTAACAAAAGTGGAAATGGCATCGAAGTCAAACTGATCCACTGGCATGATATCCTGTAGATATGGGTTAAAGTTGTAAACCTGGGTTCGTGGATCTTGTAGATAATGTACACCTGGAGAGAACAGCACTCTTGAGAGTTTATGTTGTAGTTTAGGGATATCTGATTGGCCTGGCACTTGTAATGTGGTATATTGGAACTGGCCTGGTGCGTCCAATGTCCCTTGGTAAAGCGTTGATGATTTGGCTATGGAATCAAACTCCATCGGCTGGGAACTCGGCCTAAAGAATCCATATCTTCCATTTCCATGGTCTAGCCTGAGGTCATGTGGAACTCGTCTATCGGAATCGTGGGTTCCACGCCGACTGGACTGGCGTTTACCGTTATTCGACGCTGTGGTTGAAGTGGTTGAACGGTTCCCATGTACTTGGGTATTCGAACCACGCGCTAAGGATTTGGAAAGCCGTTCAAACCCCTTTGCAACTATGCTTTCGAGTTTCTCTGGGACCGAGGATGAATGTTTAAACCTGAGAAACCTCATGGACAGTGCTTCAAGACGGAGAATGGGAAGGGGAATGGGTCAGAGCAGTAGAGATCTACGTCTCGAAGAGCTCATCGGGTATGCTGGTGTCCGGGTGTGAAGATGTCCGGGTGTGGGTGTCCGGGTGTTTCCGGGTCCGGGTAACCCCTCTCCGTCGACCAAGATCGAAAAGATAAAAATCACCACAGGCGCCCGGGTTGTCAGAGATTTTTCAGATAACTTTTTTCCTCCGGCTCTCTTCCGCAACAAAAGACACATTTGTTGATTGGTTAGATTTCCTCTTCACCACATCACCTTCTGCTTGGAAACGAAACAGGAACCAGAAACTCACCTGCTCAGGGCAAACAACTGTGATAAACAGCGACTATTTGGCTTCTTCACCAACAGCAGCACATTCCAAAGGGATTCCGAATAGAAGGTAGTGGCCCATAAAGGCAAAAACGAATAGGGGCCAGCTTAAGGGAGGCCGAAATTTCACACCCATTTTTTTTTGCTCTGCCCGCTTGGTTAAGCATACGAATTATACGGCAAACACCGCATAATTAATAGAAAAAGTTTTAGCAGTGCACAGTTTGCCATCACTGTGTGTTGAGCAGCTCACCACGAGAGGTTTTCATTGGAAAAAGGCTGGTCAGACCAACGGAGCTTGAGGAGAAAGCACGCTAGGCAGAGAGAGAGAGAGATATGGCTACTACACCAATCGCGCCATCGCCGGGATCAAATGTTCCATCGCCGGTAACGGGGCCAACACCAGGTCATGGTGGTAGTACGGGCAACGTTGCGCTGAAACCGCTGGCTCAGCAGCCCATAACGAAGATTGTAACGTCCAAGGAGTGGGTATTGCCCCCAAGGCCCAAGCCTGGCAGGAAACCAAGCGCAGACACGCCTGCTACCAAGCGCAAGGCTCAGAACCGAGCTGCGCAGAGGGCCTTTAGGGAGAGAAGGGCAACAAGGGTTGCTGAGCTGGAGGCCAAGCTCAGCGAGGTGGAGAAGGACAAGGAGGTGAAGGAGATGAACTATAAGAATACACTGGGGAAATTGCAGATGGAGAACAAGTACCTGATGAAGGCGCTGAGCGACATGAAGGCCGACTTTGCATCTCTGAAGCAGACAGTACAGGCACAAGCAGCCTCAACACCGAACAACATATCTTCGAGCAGTGCACCTTCTCCAGCTGTTTACTCCAATGGGACTGTGAGTGCACCTTCTCCATTGAACTACTTCAAGCCTTCACAAGGTGTGAATCAGGAATACAGATTCCCTCAGCAACAGCAACAGCAACAGCAACAACAACAAAGACAGCGATCACAAGGGAATGGCATCATCTCACAGCCTGGTCAAGCAATCCAGCCGGCTTCAAATCCGTCACCGACTGAGTCCACACGGTCTCCTATGGAATCACAGCCCTCTACAAAGACTTCGCTATCAAGCGATCTGGGTGACTGTGGAGCATGTGAAAAGGATGATTGTATCTGTGCCAAAGTTGGTCTTAGAACTGAACCTCCACGGCTATCTATGGATCAGCATCAACAGCAACTGAAACAGTTTGAATCGTTCAAGCCAATGGCTGCCGTGTCGTTAAAGCGCAAGCAAGAGGACTTTGTCGAAGTTGACTACACAGCCAAGTTTGCAAAGGGCAAACCAAAACCTATGCCAAAGTTCAAAAGAATTAAACAAGAGCGACAACAGGCCAACTCGAACGACGAAGAATCCAGAGAGTTCTCTAAAGTACTCGAAAACATCACGGATAGGGACTTTGAATCTCCAATGGAGCAATGTGGATTTTGTTCTGATGATTCTCCCTGCGTTTGTCGTGAGGCTGCTAAAGAAGCTGCAAATGCAATCACTGAATTGCAAAACAGTAGTAGGAAGGCTTCCATGCAGATGATGAAGGCTGAATCGACTTTACCACCGATTTCTCGTCACTCGAGTGTTAGTTCGATAAACAAATTGCCAGTATTACACCCTGGTCCCTCTGTGGAGATTACAAGACCACCGTCGGAACAGCAACCACAACGGCAACAGCAAAGCGAGCCAGGAGAGAAGAAGCTTGGATGCACAGGTAACCCTGGTACATGTACACAGTGCCAGTTGGATCCAATGTCGACGTTGTTTTGTACAACAATTGCATCTAAAGCTGAAGGGGAGGAAACTGGCTCAAACTCCACCACGAAGTCAAGCATTTCAGAGGAGAACAGATCACCGGTTTCGCCACCTGTATCGACACACTCTTCAAAGGTTTCATCCCCATTGGTTACAGTACAGGATGAGGAGCTGAATTCCATGGTTCAAAAAGTTGGTGCGATGTCATCTGCCAATGATGGTGTCATTTCGAATCTAAATGCCAATTCAACGGATTCTTCACAGGCAGGGAAGGGGATATACATTCCATGCGCAGATGCCTATAAGACTCTCAGCAGACACAAAGGGTTCCATTCTGTTGATTTTAGTACCCTTGTTGGTAAACTGACTACTAGAGGAATGCAGGTTGAAGTTCAAAGTGTTGCCAATGTCTTGCGTGAACTGGATAGACGTTTGTATAACTGAGTCTTTGCAAGGAGCTGTTGTTGTTTAATTGGCTGGAACAATTAGATTCAAAGGACATACTGTATATTAAAGGGTGTCTCTTTGGGAGGAGAGGAATGAAGGGTTTACATATACTGCAATTGCATATTAGTTCTTATAATTGTTTATTATATTCTTGATTCTAACTTCTCAGTTGTAAATTCATGCAATCTCAGTAAACGATAATGTGATCAAATGGCAAAGACAACAAGCCCAGAAGAAAGCAGCAATGTTGTAAAGAGCATCGAGATCAAATTGCCGTTACCAAATGAGTACAAGATGTTGAAAATAGTCGGTACTTGAATGGAATTTGGAGCTGAGTCAGAAGATGACTTGGATGCAGAGGAGGAAGCTGTCGCAACTGTTGAGCTGAAGGCATCAGATGAAGAAGAGGAACTTGACGAGCCTGTAGAAGATTCAGATGAGGAGTCCGAAGAAGAAGATTCATCCTCGTCATCATCATCAGCGTAGCAACCCCATTGTGTGTTTCCAATGTCAGTTCCTAGAGGTTGGCCTGCACCAGATGAGAAGAACACTGATGCAGCCGATGGGGTATCTGGAATGGTGTTATCTTCAACTTCCCAAATACCAGCCTCATAAGTTGGACAGGTAGAGATGGAATTAGAGGCTGCATAACCACCATCACCCGTTGGGTCAGAGGTATCGTTGAGTTGGGATTGCAAGTTGGTGAAATCTGTGAGAATGGTAAGGTTTCCATTGTCGTCGATCTCAACCAAACCATAGTTGTTACTCTCCTCTGAGTACTCGTAGACCAGGCCACCAGAGAAGACACTTGTCATCAGTGTTGAATATATAGTACCAACCTCCGTGAACAGTCTTGAAGTACCAACGGTGTTACAACCGTATTCAGAAAAGAAGATTGGAACAGAGTAGCCGGTGTATTTCTGTACCTTTTCCTTGTAACCGGAAACCACGTAGGATGACTGGCCACACCATGAGTAATCGTTGACACCAAGCATGTCGATTCTTGCATCTTCATCATCACCACAGTTGAAGTATTCAGCTGTCTGGAAGACGTTTGACGAGACATCTGCAGCGGAATATCCAACAGGAATGGCTCTGTAGTCCTGGGACTTCATGTACTGTTTCAGATCACGCACCACAGCCTTGACGTAAGGGGCAGCAGCTGTTGTGTTCTCGATATCGTTGATAACCTCATTACCAGCAAAGAACCCCAACACGTTATCGTATTTGGCAAACGCATCAACCGTAGAGAAGACTGCCTGCAAGTACTGGGCGTTGTAGGAACATGACGGATCGTACCTTGAGATAGATGCCTCTGGAGTGTTCACGTCCAAGATCAGGTAAATGCCAGCGTCATCCAAGGCCTGCATACAGGTCGAATGGTTCAAAGAGTTATCAACGGTGTACACTCTGATGGTGTTCAAACCGAGCTCTTTGAAGTATTCAACGTCACGGAGACAGATCTCCTCTATGCCCAGCGGATCGACCAACGTACCGTTGTTTCTAGGCTGGTAGTCGACACCACGGATGTAGAAACGGTCACCGGTATCAGAGTTCCAAAAGGCATTCCCACGCACTTCTATTGGTGCGAGGGAAGCGATGGACGTAGCAGCGAGTGATAGGACAGCAATGGAGAGCTTCATGTTGTCTGTGTAGCTTTGTATGGCGAGCAAGGAGGGCGAAACGGAGTGGAGCGAGTGAGTACTTCTGCAGGCCCTTTTGATGTCCCTGTCGTAAAGCAAGAAGATGAAGACGAAGATGAAGACGACGAATCACAACAACAAGGAAGAGTAAATGAGAAAAGAGAATTTATCCGTATATAAAATGCCGGCCACAAGTCCCGAAGCACAAAAAAGAACAGTTGCCTCGGTAATGGAAAAAAATTTCAAAGCGTAAACAAACGCGTGCGCGTAACGGCGCGGGCGGACCCCCCGAAAAAAAACGAAAACAAGGAAAAACGCACAGCAAAAGCCCAAAAGACGCGGTGGCAAATGTCAACAGATCGGCGGCTTTTTCCCCGTTTCGTACCGACGCTTGCTCTCTCTGTGAGCTCGTTTAGTACTCATTTGATGTTAAACAGCACAATAATTGTCACAAATATATAAAGGTGTACAGGTTTATGGGATGGTGCACTGGCTGAAACCATGTTGCTGAGCCACATGGCGGGTGTCTTGGCCTACGTAAAAGATTCAGCGACGTTTTAGATTGCTTCTGCTCCTTACAAATGCGTGCGAGCATACTTCTTGTCTGTCTCCATCGTTCGTGGTCATACAGCCGTCGAGCCTTCACTCCCTCAGCTCGTCGACATTTGCAGCGTCGTGGAAGGACTCCAGGTCAGACTGGTCGCTTCCGGCACCGTCGCTGTGAGGAATAGAAGGCTCAGACACTGTAGGTTCGACAACTGTAGGCTCAGCGGTGTCTTGCGCCACGCTGACATCACCGTCTTGGCGAGATGTCTCTCCTCCCACTGTGGACGACGAGTGCTTCTCCTCTGAAGGTTGCTGTGAGGTCCCGGTGCGATTCTTGGTTGTTGTTGTTGTAGTGGTGATGTCTGACGTTGACACGGAGATGGTCTCCTCGGTATCTGTGATGTCTTCGTCATTCTCAGCAGGCGTTGAAACTTCTTGAAACTCTTCAGCTTCCTCTTCAGCATCATCAGCGAGGTCATCGATAGGCTCCTCAACAAACTCCTCCGTTTGCACCTTCTCCACTGGGATGTCTTCGACATCGAGCTCTTCAACAACAGGCGTGTCTCTGGACTTCTTATCCTCTTCCTTGTTCAGCACATAGCCCTCACTCTCACACCCAGTAGACCAGACGTCAGTGACGTTGATGACTCTTCTATCGACAATTTCCACTTTCTCACTTGCACTCTTTGGCAGTCTCTTACCTCTGGGACCCCTTGCCCTAGCCCTTCTTGCATCATTAGCCACGGGTTCTGCAGACTCCTCATCAGCTTCATCTTTGGCTTCATTTGATAAAACACTTGGTGGTTTCATACCAGGCAGAGCCATGCCTGGAAGTGCAAATAACCCATTGAGGTTCTTCTTGAAGGTAGAACGCGTTTGAGTGGTAGGTTCTTCATCGTCATTGTTCTGAGAATCGTCATTGGCAACAGATCTTCTAGTGGAAGAAGGTCTATGTTGAATTTCCATCTGTTCACGCTCTTGGTTCTTACGCAACATCTCTTGGAAAGCGGCAATCTTGGAAGAAGGCTTCTTTGGAATCGCTGGTGGACCTTTAGCCTTTGGGCGTTCAGGGATGGAAGGTTCATCCGTTGTCTTCTGTTCGATCTTAGGTTCCGTTGTGAGCTCAGGTACAGCTGAAACAGGTCTTTCTGGTACAACTGGCTCTTCCTCTGGAACAGGTTTGGAAGGCCTCTTTGGAACGACAGGTTCCGACTTGGTTGGTCTTTGAGGAACTATAGGCTCATCTGGAAATGGTTTTGATGCTTCATCTTCAGGTATCTTTTCGCGTGGTTGCTTTTCTGAAACCACTTCTTCTAATACTTGTTTGGATTTTGAAGGTCTCTTTGGCACCACTGGTTCCACCGTAGGGGCCGATTCTTCTTCTTTACCACTGGAGGAAACATCAACTTGACTTCCACTGCTTTGGTTAAAGAAAACGGCACTGTCCTTTCTCAATGGTGTATCCAAAGGTGTAGCAATAGCAGAGTCACCACACACGTGCTTTGAGCTGTACAATTCAGTAACTTCTTCCCTTAACTCATCGGTGCCAGTACGGCGGAGACTCGAAGCAGCTAATGCAGTAGCAATTGCTGGTCTCTTTGGAACATTTTGAGAGCGTTGAAGATGAATAATCCCAGAAGCTGGTGTACCAGGTGCTGATTCACGACAAGCATGATGTGAACTGTACAACTCCTCAACCTCGTTTCTCAAATCAGACGTGCAAGTACGAGCCATGACCTTTGGATCAATGTTCCCAATAGGTCTATGATGCGGCACATGAGGATGATGTTGAGGAACTTCAGGAGTTGACACATCAGGGTCACGTTTACTCGTCATGAGCTTCAACTCTTCCAACTCATCATCCACCCTTGTGATGAAATCATCTGCACTTGGTGAAGGGAAAGGTTCCTCCTCTCCATTATTCGGTCTACTTGTTCTAGGATCTGGCGCAAGTTCTTCCCCTTCATTTCCCTCATCATCTTCGTCATCTTCGTCATCATATTCATCCAATTCAGCAATCGACTCTGCATCACTGGTTATGGCCTCAATCTGCGCTTCTCTTTCATTGTAGTCGGGTCTTAACAGGTTGTCATCTATATCCTTGTTGTCATTAACTTTGTCAGGCTCAACCTCCTCGTTTAAATCGGAGTCCTCCTCCTGAACGACAATCGGTCCCACCTCTTTCTTCAGAGGCCTTTGAGGAATCACCGGCACCGAAGCACTGTTGAACTCTTCAGTGGAACGCTTCTTAGGCCTCTGAGGCACTGGTGGCGTAGGAACAGCGGCCTCCGCTTGCGGAACCGCTTCACTCTTCTTTGATCTGGCTGGTCTGTTTGGCACAACGGGGATAGCGTCAGCCTCTGCAAAGGAATCGTTATCCGACTCAACATCCTTCTCCTGCTTAGCAGAGATGATATCCTGTAACGAAGTCATTGTTGTCGTAGTAGTGATTGTAGATCCTGGCGATTGTGATTATTGGCTTGTATCCGTGGCTGTTGTGTGTGTTTGGTGTGAACACCGGCATCATGGGGGTTTTTGTAGTTTTTTAGGGGTAAGTGGCATCATGCTGGAAAGGCGCAGTAGCCTCACCCTGTGTGTGCTGGATGTGTAAACATCGAAATGCCAGCTATACTTTCATTCTGGTCAAACTACAGCCTTCTAAAAGTTTGAATTATCTAAGTGTGTGTATTCACTAGCTAAACAGCAGAGACATACGCAGCGCCATGTCTAAGAACCGTAGTTGAGACGGAAGATGTCGTTGAAGACGTAGTAGGAAGCGCCATCTGGGATCAAGTGGAACACTTGGGAGTAACGCTGTGGGTTTTGCTCCTCATCAATGAGCAACTCACCGGTGACCATCACCAAGACGTCACCGTTAGGGGAGGCAGGTTGGGCGTCGAGGGTGGTGATTCTGTGGCCAACTTTCTGGAATGGCAACGAGGTCAACTTCTCAACGATATCCTTAGCACCTTGGACTTGTGATGTTTCAAAGGTGAGCATGGATTGGTCCCTCTAGAGGCGTATGTTAGCAAATACACACTAGACACGAACACCGCACTGGTGAGCGGAAATACTTACGTAGAGGTTACCCAGTTGGCTTCTGTCAGAGTCGAACTGGTTGTAGTAGAATTCGGTGAATTGTTCTTTATGGGTTCAATGTTAGTGGGAACACAGCGAGAGCGAGGGACGGAGAGGGAGTGCCGCAACAATCACATACGAGCGAGGGTGTTGAAATCAACTGTGAAATGTATGGTTAGTATTCCGCATGGAGAACAATATGGGGTATGGTGATATCCAACTTACCAGACATGTCGTTAACAGATGTTCTTGAGGTTGTAATGGAGGGAGAGTGAAAAGTTTCTCATCGCCAGTTGGGTTTGTTTTGTTTTCCCTCTCTGTGTTTTTTTTACTTCATCGCAATTGAAAGTGTTACCCGGCTTGGTGTGTCTTTTGCCAGTTCTGATTACATAAGCATATCGTTTAGCATTTGCGGAAAGTTGACGAAAAGTGCAAATTTTCGTTTGAGAACCCAATTTCGGACATTTGTGCCTTTTTCGTTTTAGAGATCAATTTCCAGCATAAAACGGGTAAAAGAAAAACACATCCAAGGTTTCAACAGTGGCTTAATGAAAATGAAGGACGGGGCGAAATGAAAAAGAAGAGGCCTTTATCCACGACACTTTGAGAGCGTATTTCGCTTTACGTTAAGCTTCGATCTCCCATTCAAGCTACCCAGAGATCTGTCCGAGAACTCATGTGTACCAACGTATGACATAAGTTGAGGATCTACACGAGAAAGGTGTTCACTTGTGGGCTGTATCGCTGTTCAAGCGCGGCCATGTATAAGTACCACCACGCATACGTACGTTTTCGCCTACACATCAATTCAATTCACCACACCTCGCTGATCACACATAGGTTGGCTATGGAACAGTGTTCCGTCAATAATTCATGGAATGTGCAGCACATCAACGAATTCCCCATTTCCCGGGTTCGAATAATTTTTTACCCAGCTTGTTGGAATACCAGCATGTAAGGGCAGCCTCGTTTCATCAACCATTGGAATAAGTCAACAGGGGAAAAGGGAAACACTCGTGGCGCAAGGACATTCCCAGATGATGGGAAATGGGCCTTGACCTATTCGTAGCCGATAAAACCACTGATATGCAGACGCTGCCTTTATGTAAAGTAGCCCGCACAGTTTATACGTGTTGGGCCAATTGCACAGGTTTTCTGGAATTGCTGCAGCCAACTTTTCTTGTCTTCCTTAGCGAGGTACGTCACGGGCTCTCGGGCCCAGCCAGCATGTTTTACAACACATCTTTGATACACAATTGGGGGCAGTTGTTGGACGCTGAGATTCACAGCCTTGGTTTAAGCTCTAACTTCCTATTTATCGTCAAATGTGCCCAATCACATGCGCTGCCACCTAGGGAAGCTTCTTTTGGACTCCATGCGTTCAAGTATCATCAACACTCACAAGACGGTGATCTGTCTCAAATTCCAGCGTTAAACATTGACGCTTGAGACAGCCTCGCCGATACTTCTAAAGTCTAGACTCCAAATGAGCCAATTGGCCAATCCCATTCGAGTCACGACAGACTATAGTGCGTACTTGCGCTTGTATTCAGAGAAAGCCGATAACCTTCTATTTTCTATTGTAACTCTCAATTGAACGCACAAACTGTACATTGTTCAATGTAATTTGCCATGCCCCCATATTTGGTGGAAATTACATGCGTTCGGGCTTATCGAGGCATCTGCAAATCATTCCAGAACTTGCACAGTGTACGCCCTTCACTAAGGCAGTGGTAAGCCATAGTCAGGGGGAGAATTTAATTAATTCAGGCCCGAAAAAGAAAGAAAAAAAGTATGCTGGCTATGAGAAGAATAGTGAGACATTCCAGAAAGGGAGCAAGTTCCACGACACATTTATAAGTGTGCTTCACCCCCATATCCTAGAACACTGGCCTGGCTCTCTCAGCTTTTGTTGGTTGTTGTGTTTCTGCACATATAATTACTTCAATCCACCAGCGCACCGGAGAATGTTCAAACTCCACCGTACTTGGACCAACATGACAAGTCGTACTGATCGCACTTCTAGTACGAATTCGAACTCAACAGCGTCCAGCGACGAGCCACATACCGATAGCGAATCCACAAACTGCACCATAACCAGAGGACCAAAGATCCATGTACTGCAACCGTCATCTCCCACTAAATTTGCCAGAAACCCATTGAGTATTTTCAACAAGAGGAAGAAGAGCGAGCAAGTTGCGTTGCTGATTGGAACAGAGCAGAGCGGTAAAAGATGTAAGTTGTTTTAAAGCCATATGGAGATCGAATAGAGAGATAGTTACTAACAAGCATGGGGGAAAAGCCCTTATGGAGAGTATAAACTATATGGACACCGAGCTGGAGATCATCAGTCTTTCGAATGATATTGCCATTTCCAACTACCATAACTTCTTGTACGGCGTCAACAGCATAATATTTGTTATGGATTCTGCAAAGCTTTCAGTGGAGTACTTGGACCGCGTTAAAAGCATACTGACAAATTTACAACTTGATCAAGAAGTCTCTCCAGAAGCTGGAAAGAAGATGAAGTTGTTGTTACTATTGAATAAGTCAGATCTCGTCTGTGTGGAGAATGTAAGTGCGATTGAGCGGTATTTAGAGCTTTCAGCGCTGAATGTTCGCTATCTCATACTACCGACAAGTGGAGCCTCTGGTTATGGCGTGTCAGAGGGGATAAATTGGCTGTTGATGTAGCTTAGCTTGCTGTTCAACTCAACAACTTTCTTATAAGATTCCGGCAAGTGCTCCACTCTTAGCACACCACCGGGGCTCTTGGACGATGACACTATGGAAAACGGCGGAATGGTATAATTCTCAGGGACAATGGTATTCGGTTTAATGACGACGCAATCATAAATAGTACTGGACTTGTGTAGCTTACAGTTGGGCCCAATGACAACACGGTTACCAACGTTAGCGCTTTCAACAATGGTGCCACGGCCAATCATCGTGTACGACCCAATCTTGCAGATCTTGTGACGGGAACCTGTACACAGTGGAGGCGATATAACAACCCCTTCGTCCAAATAGCAGAATTTACCTAGTTGGATAGCGTTAGTACTCCCCTGCACCAGCGGCTTGTCGCCATGGAGTTCAACCTTCGCAGAGATTGTCGTATTGCCTGCGATCAAAATGTGGTCAGACCCATGGATCAGTGCGTGCTTGGAGATTCGGTTCCCAGATTCTGTTTCTATCCAATCCACCAATTCCATGCTGGTTTCCTCCACACGCCGTCCACGCGCTGAGTTTGCCAAAATTTGATAAACAACAACAACAACAACAACAACAACAACAACAAGAAAAACGGCAATACAAAAAACGTGCGCAGCTCGCGTGTCGCACGGAAAAACTCATCTGAATTCGGCGGCTAATTCTGTTTTTGGCTCCCTTTTTGACGGACACAAAAGAAGCAAAAAAAGGCTGACGCGAAAAAGAAGAAAATAGGCCAACTGCAACGTCAACAAATCACCAACAAAGCTATCGGCGGCTAAATTAATACTACTTTTGTTTATCTTTTGTATTCCTTGCGCTTCAAACATGGTTGAAAAGGTGTTTAGATTGGACTCAGGTGAGTCTTTGTCGCTGTTTCCCGCTCTTTTACCTCCCTTACTAACGTTTCTTTATAGGTTATCAGAACTACGACTGGGGGAAGTTGGGATCGTCATCAGCTGTTGCACAGTTTGCGCGCAACTCTAACGCCAGCGTTGTTGTTGATGAATCGAAGCCTTATGCTGAGTTGTGGATGGGAACGCATCCAAAGGTGCCATCGAAGAGACTGTCAGACGAAACGTCCTTGAGAGAGGTTATCGCGTCAGACCCAAAGGAACTGTTGGGGGACGCTATCATTTCAAAGTACAGCTCGACCAATGAGTTGCCGTTCTTGTTCAAAGTGTTGTCCATTAGAAAGGTTTTGAGTATCCAGGCTCATCCGGATAAGTCATTGGCCAAAGTGCTCCATGCCAACGATCCAAAAAACTATCCGGATGATAACCATAAGCCAGAGATGGCGATCGCAGTCACCCCATTTGAAGGCTTCTGCGGGTTCAAACCTTTGGAAGAAATTGCAGATGAGTTGCAGAAGATTCCAGAGTTGATCAACATCGTTGGCGAGGATGTTGCGTCCAAATTCGTCAACGGTATTGTAACTGATGCAAAGCTCGGTTCTCAAGAGGACAAGACAAACAGAGAGCTGTTACAAGCAGTTTTCGGTAAAATTATGAACGCCTCAGATGACCAAATCGCTAAAGAGTCAGTGTCTTTGGTTGAAAGGGCCAAATCTTCACCACAATTGTTCAATAAACCGGAGCTACCAGATTTAATTCTGAGAATGAACGAACAGTTCCCTAAGGATGTTGGCTTGTTCTGTGGCTGTTTGTTGTTGAACCACTGTCAATTGAACGCTGGTGAGGCAATGTTCCTTCAAGCTAAGGACCCGCATGCATACATCTCTGGTGATATCATTGAATGTATGGCCGCATCTGATAACGTCGTGAGAGCAGGCTTCACACCAAAGTTTAAAGACGTTAAGAATTTGGTTGAAATGTTGACGTATTCGTACGATGACGTTGAGAAGCAGAAAATGGTTGCCCAAACGTTTGAGAGATCCTCTGGAGATGGTGAATCCAAATTGTTCAACCCTCCAATTGAAGAATTTGCCGTCTTGCAGACAACCTTCAACACATCTACCGGTGTTCGGAAATTCAGTGGCTTTGAAGGTCCAAGTATTCTTATCGTTACAAAGGGTAAAGGTTTAATCAAGTTCCAAGGTAAAGAATTGGATGCAGAGCCAGGATTTAACTACTTCATCGCACCAAATGTCGAAATTGAACTTGCCACCAATGACAAGGACTTTACATCTTATAGAGCATTTGCAGAGGTTGAATGATTTGAGTTTCTCTACTAGTTCTTTCTCTCTCTTTAGATGATTTTTATACTAGACTAATGTGCAACAATATTATTTTTCTTCTTCCATTTGGTAATTCTTCTCTTCAAATCACCAGCACTTTGTTGATATATGTTCAGCTTCTTATCCCATTTCATCTTTTCATAGTCATCACCATGTTTCTCGTAGAGTGCCTGAATCCATGCTGATTCACGATCACTTTGAATTCTTTCAATTTTTGTAACTCCACATTTGGCATAATGTTCCAACTGCTCGACAACCTTTGTCTTAGGCTCAACTTCAGGTTCCTGTACAAGCTTTAAGTCTTCGTCCAATGCGGTCTTGGTACCGTATATCACTTTAACAACGTTCCCATCTTCGTCTCTAATGATTCTAGCCTCACCTTTTGGAATGTGCTCAGGTTTTAATTCTGATTCATCTACATCATCACCATTTGCAATATCTTCTTTGACTCCGAGTGACTTCTTCAACACAGGTGCATCCAAGTTCTTCTCCTTACCACCAGAAGGCAAGCCTAATCTGGCAGTCAATCCCAATCTCTTGTAGTTCTGTGTAAGAGTCTGTGAATAATCCCAATTGGCTGCGATGATTGGATTTGAGGCGACGTTTATTTTACGCTGTTTGTCCTTGTTTCTTCTTGTTGCCTTGCGGACACTCGTCTTTCTTGCCCTTCTTTGTCTTACAGAACCCATTATTTACTCGTTTGATGAGAATTATCACTAAAGAGCCTTCAACAAGAAAGTGAGAAAGAAGCGATGAGCTTGATACAGAAAAAAATTTCAGGAATAAGGCACGTGACCTATATTTTCTATGTTTTTTCTCAAGGCCGGGTAATCCCAATTTTGAGGGTGGGCTAGTACTCGGAAATGCAAAACAAAGGGAGCAGGTGAACTTACACAGTTGTTTGGTCCAATTTAAGAGCAATTATCAAGACAATCAGAGCTGTCCTTCTACCTATGACTGAGAATATTGCCAACACAGAAGATTCTGCTAACCAGAATCTTCTACGTCAACAACAAGAGGAGCAAATTGCCCAACAGATTGCGCAAGATGGGTCCGCAGCTTATGAAGAAGGACATGTAACAGTGTCCCAACAACAACACACCTCATATACCTCCAGGAAAACACCTGAGGAGATGGCAAAGCAACAGGAGGTTGACTCCAGATCCGTGTATGTACGTAATGTTGAATTCCATGCTTCACCGGATGAATTGGAGGAATTTTTCAAGCCAATTGGCGTTGTCAATAGGGTCACAATACTCTTCGACAGAGTTACTGGGAATCCAAAGGGGTATGCATACGTCGAATTCCAGGACCAGAGCAGTGTTTTGAAAGCCGTGGATGAGTTAAGTGGACAAGACTTCAAAGGAAGACCATTGAGCGTTATGCAAAAGAGAACGAATTTACCTGGGTTCAGTAGAAGAGGCACTGGATTCAGAGGTGGACGAGGCAGATTCAGAGGTGGCCGTGGAAGATCGAGAGGTGGCCATTCGTCCCACACACACGAAAATTCGAACTCTGCTCCTGTACATGCTGGAGATGGCGATGCTCTTATCAATGGGGTTGCAGATCTGGGATTATGAAGCTCTCATTGACAACAGACTGCTGAATCAACTCTGCTTTATCTTTCCCGTTTTCTTTCTTCCCTCTTTTTCTCCCTTTCTTTTTATCTTTTTATCTTCAACCGTAAGAGAACTTAATGATTGACGACATCAATAGCCCTGTATTCCATCTATAAAAGCTCATCTCCATAGCTTCTTCTCTTCATTAAGTCCAAGCACCGGAAGCCCTCGGACAGAAAGTAGTGCGTCAACCATAAAACGGGCTCCACAGCGACGGGAACACCGACAGAAGAAGCCTTAAAAAACTTTTCACCTCTTTCTCACAACATGGTGATGATACTATGACAACATTGACTGACTCTCACACGGGGAATATGTGCTTTCCTTTGTGCTGCAACTCTGTTTGTAGCTGTTGTTGACTGTGGCTAGTACCGTCAGGACTCTTACGCGGAGTAGGTGCTTTGGCTGGACCCGTTCCTAGGAACAAACGATATGGTCAAACATCCCAATCTTTTTAGGGCTTCGTTTTGAAGACCGATTTTGGGCAGGGCATCGAAACGGGTAGTCCGGTCTTGGTGGTGCTATACACAGTGTGCGTCGGCTTGGAGTGTGCGTGGATCTGGGGAAGTACGTGTTCACTGTGTGGGTTTTGAGAGGTCAGTGTGAGAACGAGAAGAGTACATCATAGTACATCGGATGTCTTGTGTATTGTCAAAGATAAGCATATGAATAACAACCATCCGGGGTCTCCAGGCTACTCACATTATATAGCGCTCTCCTGTAAATACTTAATCAAACGACGCCTATCTACACTCATGCCCTTGTAGCGATGGGAATCGTGACAAAAGAGAGGTATCCTCATACTCGCAAAGTCGCCATGCGCTCTCTTCGAGAGCTGTTCCAGCTCCTGCATCAACTGCTCATCGTCTTGCACACCACTCTTCTCCCACCTCTGTATCAGCTGCTCTTGCTCCTCAACCAGGGATCGTATCCTCTGCTTGAAGTCCTCCCGCGCCAGTAGTACACATTTCGTATACCGCCTAGCGTCCTCATAGTTATCAATCTTGGACGCAACTCTGCTGACGTACTGATCATACGCCCTCTTCGAGGAGTTCTTCTTCTCGAGAAGTTCACGGTACTCGTCCAAGGCTACGGGATCCTTCCTAAGTATATCAGAGATGGGATCCATATATACAAATGGTGGTGATGGCGTGTGTCCCTTTGGCTGTGGTGGACGGTTTGTGTGTGTGTACACCGCGAAAGTTTGTCAACAACAGCGGCACCCTTCTGTTTGGCCAAAACGGGGAGAACCAATAACAAAACAAAACAAATCACCAAATCAACACCCAACACACACAGCGGTCCTGGAGAAAAGTGGGAAAATGGCATCTGCAATACACTTCTGTGATATCAAGGGGAAGTCCTTGCTCTCACGTGATTACAAGGGAGACGTTCCTTCCAATGCCATTGAGCATTTCCCGTTCATTCTCGTGGAAGCCGATGAAGATCCGGCTCAGGCCTCGCCTGTTGTGGTTTACAACGATGTGAATTACTGCTATATAACACACTCGAACCTTTACCTCGTTGCATTGACCAAGAACAACTCCAATGTTGCGCAGGTTTTCCTATTTTTGCACAAGCTTGTCCAGGTGCTGACGGACTACTTCAAAGAGCTGGAGGAGGAGTCCATAAGGGATAACTTTGTCGTGATTTACGAATTGTTGGACGAGATGATGGACTTTGGTACTCCCCAGATCACGGAGACGAAGATGCTGAAGGAGTACATCACACAGAGATCCTACCAGCTGGAGAAGAAAATGAAAAAGGCTCAACAGTTGGGTCCTCCAAGTGCGATCACCAATGCTGTGTCCTGGAGAAACGAAGGTATCGTCTATAAGAAGAACGAAGCGTTCTTGGACGTTATAGAGTCCGTTAATATGTTGATAAATCCACAAGGGAAGGTGCTCCGGTCCGAGATTCTGGGTAAGATCCAGGTGAAGTCTCACCTGAGTGGTATGCCAGATTTGAGATTGGGTTTAAACGACAAGTTGACCAACAACGCCAAGGGAGTAGAAATGGAGGATGTGAAGTTCCACCAGTGTGTTAGACTGAGTAAATTTGAGAGTGAAAAGATTATAACCTTTATCCCACCTGATGGTGAGTTTGAGCTGATGAGTTATAGACTCTCTACTCCATTGAAACCTCTTATCTGGGTCGATTGCAAGATTAACAGACATGACAACTCCAGAATTGAAATCCTGTGCAAAGTCAAGGCCCAGATCAAAAAGAAATCCACTGCCAATAACGTTGAAATCCTGATTCCAATTCCAGAAGATGCGGACTCTCCGAAGTTCAGATATAGCCATGGTTCCATGAAATGGGTTCCAGAGAAATCTGTTATTGTTTGGAAGTTGAAACAATTCCAAGGAGGCAAGGAGTACTCCATGGCTGCCCAGTTAGGGCTGCCATCAGTATCGATGGAGGAAAATGCACATGAAGTTAAGAGACCGGTTCAGGTGAAGTTCCAAATTCCCTACTTCACCACTTCTGGTATTCAGGTGAGATACCTGAGAATTAACGAACCAAAACTACAGTACCAAAGTTATCCATGGGTTAGATACATCACACAGAGTGGTGATGATTACACCATTAGATTACAAGATTGAGCAATTATCAAATAACGGAGTCTCTTCCTCGTGCTCCCCCATATTATGCAGTGTATGTAGTTAGATTAAATTCACGAAATTGGAGACAAAGTATACCTTCAACCAACAATCCGTGGTGAATTAGTACAAGGGGACGAAATGGTAATTGAACATGGGGATCTTGTTGATCGTCTAATCCACGGGTTAACTGTGGATGAACAGAGTGGCGATTTGGTGCCCATGAACGCATTGTTGTCATTGCAGCTATGCCTACCAGACCTTTTTCCAAAGGTGATATCGCTATTGGATGATAGGCAAACCAGGATCAAAAGATACAAATATTGCACACAGGAGCTAGTGCTCATTGATGGCAATGTTGTGGACACAGGCCAGTGGTATTGCTCGTGCAATTTATACCATACAATGGTCAGACGTGCACAATCAAGAGAAGTACGATCGTGTGAAGTGGGAGATACAAGGTATGGAATGAGACTGGGCAAACGCCACCAGTTTGGTGCCGGGAAGGATCTACCAACGTGCGAGCACTTGGTATCTCTATATATGACCGAATGCCTTGCTGGGATACAGCTAATGCCAGTGGAATGCTCGCTAGATCAATGGATAGAGGTCAATTGTATACACGTATAGACCTCTTTGATGCAATTATGTAGTTACTGGAAACAGTAATAATCCCAATCGGGGAGTTTCAACCAAAAAAGCTCTCTCAGGCGGAAACTTTTCGTTCGACAAATTGCGAAAGTGAAAAAAGAAGCGGAAAAACAAAAAACAAAAAACGACAAGCGACAAACGACAATTTTTTAGCGCGAAAAACAAGCGAAAAACTCCCCTTTACGAACCTCCTCAAATCTGTTCAATGTTGAGAGGATCAAGTGACTGATTTGTTCTTCTCTTATTGTCACTTTCCCCACCATTGTTTATATAAGAGGGGTCAAATCGTTACCACAAGCCAGCTAAATTGTTGCTTGACTCATCCAGCACTTACACTGTTTGAGCTGTTTGCCATTTCTCGCTAGCAAACGCTGTCGTTGTTCCTGCCATTGTCGTCCTGCTAGTGTCGTCCTGCCATTTGCGTCCTGCCATTTTCGTCCAAAAAGAGACACAGCGCAAAACAGAAATCGAAAGAAAAAAATCTCTGTTGAACAAAAAAGGCTCAGTTGTTCTTTTTTTTCAGTTTTTTCCCTCCTTTTTCCAGCGATTATAAACAAAGTAAAATTTGAAGGAGTTGATAATTCAGAGAGAGGAAATTGCATACTTTCACTCCACTTATTCTTCTTGTTTAATACTAGCATTTCCATCCTCCTTCTTAAGCAGCCTGCTCTTTCTATATTCGCTGGGTGAACATCAAGACCATTAATTGTATACCCACACGGAGGCTTATCGTTTTACTCTCACCGCTGTCTTGACTCATCCCAACAGAATAGTACTATGGAATTATGAATAACATGCAACAACCACCCCAACAGCAGCAACAACAGCAGCAGCAGGCACAGCAACAGCAGGTGCCGAGCCATGGCCATCCAGGGCCCCACGCGTACTATCCAGCGGGGCCAATCCCTCCAGCAATACCGATACAATACCATCCCGGGCATTTCGTACCACCACCTGGTGCTATTCAAGGGTACCCTTATGGTGGGTACGACTACGCACAGATGGTTGCGTACCCTCATATGTATCCTATTGGGGTTCCACAGATGGCGTCGACACAGTTCGATCCACACATGTCGCCACATTTGCATCAACAACAATTGCATCATCATCGCCAACAGCAGCAGCAGCAATATCAACATCAACAGCAGCAACAGCGTGTGAAGAAGAAGTTCAACGCTAGCTCAGTGAAGGCATTTGTGCCCTCTAAACAAACATCGCAAAATGAGTCGAAGAGTGAAGTACAACCACCACAACCACAACAAAATAGCATATTAGCTGATGGATCAGCACCATCAACGCCTTCGTCGGACAACTCGAGCTTGACTATCACAAGGACAAGCACCTCTGTATCGGAATCAACGCAGGAGTCGGGTCCCGCCTCAACGATACAGAACACCCCAGCCACTTCGAAAGACTCGTCCGATAATTTGCACAGCACTGAAACCACGTCCGTTACTGGAGAAGGAGCCACCAAGCAAGACACTGAAGAAAATGGAGTGGATAGTACTTCGAGAAGAAACGATCATGGATTCTACTTTGACTGCTCGATCCAGAACAACAATGCTAATAAAACCCCAATCATATTTGGCGATGATGCTGCTGTCTTCCTCAAGCGTGCGTTCGATTACCTCGAGCTGAAGAAGAGACAAAAACCTACAGAAGAAACACACTCGGAAGCAGACGAAGAAGATGTCGATATCGTGGAACAGGTGAAAGAACAAACTCCTGAAGTTGACTTCTCTGAAGTTGAAGCTCAACCACACACACCATTTCAACAAACATCATCCAGACCTTCGTTTAATTGGGCTGCAGTGGCGTCGAACGCTGCAAAGAAAGTTGTACCTCAAACCCCAACTCCCTCCACTTCGTCACCCGCATCTCCCCAAGTTCAAATTCAGCCAAAACGTGAGGAGAGATTAATACCAGTTCTGCCAAACGTCATGGAACCTCTGGGGGTAGTTGTTCTAAGGTTTATGTTTGACGATGCGTTCTCCAAATACATTGATAGCGTTAAGCTACCGAAGATTGTACCTAGAGGTTTGGTCAATACCGGTAACATCTGCTTTATGAGCTCCATCATGCAATTGCTGCTGTACTGTGTGCCGTTCTACAAGACATTGAACGTTATCGCCAAAAAGACCATGCATACGTTGATGACCAGCAATTCCAAGTCACCACTGTTTGATGCCACGGTGGACTTCTACAACAATTTCAACGTGAACTTGGATGACATTAATAGCCTGTCCAATTCGAATACCCAGAGAAGCCAACATGATAGAGAAGCGACACCACAGAGAGAGTTTGGCGAGTCTTTCACACCGGTGGAGTTCTTCAAAGCCATTTCAAAGAGTAGCCGTTTCCAACACTTGAAGTGGGGACAGCAAGAAGATGCAGAGGAGTTTCTTGGGTTTCTGTTGGATGGATTGCACGAGGAGTTTACTTCCAACGTGAAGTCTCTTACAGACGATGAGATTAAACAGTTCACAAAGACTTTGGATGAGTCTTCGAGGCAAAAGGTTCTCACGAATCTTCGTAAATTCCACGTTGGTGAGTTCAACTCATCAGAGTCTTCTGGGAAGAACGATGGGAACGTAGATGATCACTATGACGATGACGATGACGTTGATGCTGATGACGATGATAATATTAATGCATATGACCATAACGATGAATTTAATGGTGGAGAATGGCAAGAAGTTGGATCTGAGAAAAAGAAGAAGAGATTCACTGCTAAACGTACTGTTGAAGTGAAGCCTTCGCCTATAAGGCGTATATTTGGTGGCTCATTCAGAAGTGTATTGACTATACCAAAGAATAAAGAAGCACAGAGCATAACGCTGGATCCATTTCAACAAGTGCAGTTGGACATCTCTGATTCTGACATCAAAACTTTGGAGGATGCATTTGTCCAAATTTCGCATGTTGAAGAGATTCCAATGAAGACCAGCAAAGGAGTTGAAGTTGTTGCAAAGAAGCAGACGTTTGTTGACCAACTACCAGACGTGTTGATCATTCATCTAAAGAGATTTTCATTCGAGTCTAGTGGTCGTGTTGAGAAACTGAAGAAGAAGATTCAGTATCCTCATCTTTTCCAAATACCTACAAAGAGCTTATCGCCTAGAACGCGCAAGTTTAACCCAGATGGATTCCAATACAAGCTAACCGGTGTTGTATATCATCACGGCATGGGTTCCAATGGTGGCCACTACACTGTTGACGTTCTACGAAGCGTTGAAGGTGAATGGGTTAGAATTGACGATGTTACAATCCATAACTTGAAACCTGACGATGTTTTGGTTAAAGGAGATGAAGAAGATGTCAAGACCGCATATATCTTGATGTACCAAAAAGTATAGAGGATGTATTTAATTATATACAAAATCTACTTGTATACTCTCTAAGAGGTGTAGTAAGTACCCGAAGCTCACTGCTTGATGACTTTGATGTTCTTTTCCTTCTTCCAGTTTGTGAACTCCTCGTTCAACTTCACGGCCTCTGTCGACAACTGCTGGATCGCCTTCTGTAGGTTGGCCAGCTTCAAGTCCAACACGGGTAGCGTCTCCTCGACGTTGCTCTGTACAAGGACACCACCAACCATACGGAAACACCGTCTCGAGGGATCAGTGGTTTCTAACGTGTTCTTCACTATGCGATTCTCCTCGGCATCCATCCTGAGCTCTTGGATCTTTGCCTGGATATCTGTGAGCGTCGTCTGATAGTTGTTGTACTGTTCTTGCAACCCAGCGGATGACATGTTTGCTTGCTTTCTCACCAGAGATTTATAGACCGGTGTTGAATAGACAGCGGTGATGTTTACCTGAGCTCAGCGCTTAACCTTCAAATGTCAAAGCTCAGCGCTTGGGTAAACAGAAAACAAAGGATGAAAAAAAAAGAGTTGAAAAGCCCGACTCGCAAATGGCAGACGCGACTATAAAAGGAACCCGTTTCGCACTTTTGGGCATGTGTGTGTTTTTTGGCGTTTTGGCGAGCGATCCGAAACGGCCCAAGAAAAAACACACATCGAACTTTGCAAATCCCCCGTGAAGTTGGACAAAAGCGGAAACTTTCCTCTTTGAGATCAATTCGGGTTTCTTTTTTTCGCAAAGCTTCCAACCTTTTTCTTAGGTTACCACAGTTACTAAGGAGAAAAGACCACAAAGCCATCCCTTTGTGCCTATCTTTGTTTATTGTTTTGTTTTGTTTGTTTACCTTTCTCAACAGCCGTCCCCGTGCACACACTGTCATAAACTGAAAGTGTTTGTGTTGTTGTTTTTGTTTTGCCTATTTTCTCCCCCTTTTTAATACAACATTCCCAGCCCAATGGACTCCTTCAAGACACCGCAAACCGTTGAGGATGCCAAACTATTCACGGCGTCGGGCTCGTTTGGGTACCCATCTGCTCAACAGGACTTGGGAGATTTGAAATCTGAGCAACAGGGTGAGGTTGCGATCCCGCCCGCTGTTGAAGAAGAAGATGACTCCACAACTTCAGGAATCGTGCCAACACTACAGAACATCGTTGCCACCGTGAACTTGGACTGCCGCTTGGACTTGAAGACGATAGCGCTACACGCCAGAAACGCTGAGTACAACCCTAAGCGTTTTGCCGCCGTTATTATGCGTATTAGAGAACCAAAAACAACGGCGCTTATCTTTGCCTCTGGTAAGATGGTTGTCACTGGTGCCAAATCGGAGGACGACTCGAAGTTGGCGTCGAGAAAATATGCAAGAATCATCCAAAAGTTGGGATTCAATGCGAAATTCACCGATTTCAAGATCCAGAACATTGTTGGGTCGTGTGACGTGAAGTTCCCAATCAGATTGGAAGGTTTGGCATTCTCGCACGGTCCCTTTTCCTCTTATGAACCGGAATTGTTCCCAGGTTTGATCTATAGAATGGTTAAGCCGAAGATTGTGCTTTTGATCTTTGTCTCTGGTAAGATCGTGTTGACAGGTGCGAAACAAAGAGAAGAGATTTACCAGGCGTTTGAAGCCATCTACCCTGTGTTGAACGAATTTAGAAAGCTTTGAGGGACTGATATGAATGAACGGTTAAAAGTTAAAGAAGTTATGGCGCAATACCACGAAACTTGCCCTCCTCTCCCTCCTTCCGCTACACTCACCTATTGACTATGACTATTTTTGATATAATTTGTGTTTTTTTGCATTTTGATTGATCGTTTGCTGTTTGCTTTATTGTTTTATTAATTGTTTGTTGTTTGTTTGCTTTTTTGCAGTTACTACTATATTAACCATTGCATATATGTATTTCTATGCTGAAACCTTTTTTATACAAAAACAGTACACCCAACTGGGAAAGAAAGGAAAGTGAAAAAAAGAACATTGAACAGGTTATCATCCTTTTGTCTCTCGAATTTATTTTGTTTTGGATGTTTGTTCTCAGTTGGAGGAGAATAGGCGTAGATCATTTCTCCTTCTTATCAGTGACGGTGGTTTCATCCCTCAGGTAAAGAAATGCCAATACAAAGACGAACCATGCTGTGAAGACAACCACGCTGGACGTGATGTATACCCAAGCTGATGTGATTTGCCAGGATCTTGGGTACTCATCGTTGGCCAGATGTCTAATACTCAGCACGTCCTTGTGTTCCAAGTAAGTGTACAATGGTTGTTTGAACTCCATTTGGAAGGTGAAGACACCGTGGTGGTCAGGCAATTTGAAATCGATTGAATAAACTCCATCGGATGACACGTTGGTGAATGTGAGTCTGTGATAAGGATCTAACAACTTGACCTCGAGTTGGACTTTGTCAGATACAAATGGAATCCACTCTACACCATTCCACTGCTCAATCGTAGCCTCGTAATGGATATCATCAGTAATCTTGTAAGGTCTCTGTTGATACGTGGTTCCATCAACATGGGAATGAGAACTGTTTTTGATTCTGAGAACGTTTGTCTCGCCAAATGTCCACTGGATCAAAGAGTGAGCATCAACTTGCTTCAATCCCTCGTTAGAAACAAGCTTGGAATCACCAACCCACGAGACTCTTGCATCGTTCAAACCTTGGAACACGGCTGCGAGGAAGCCCTGCTGGCCCTGAGTCCATGGATCTTCCTGCTTTGAAGGCTTTGTGAAGGAGGTGGCAGGGGCAGAGATCAAAGGAGTCAATTGTGGGTTGTTTGAAAGCAAAGCAGCAGAACCTGAGTATTTGAAAGAGTCAGATGATGGGATGATTAAAGAGTATTCGTCACCTTTAACAGTAACAACGTTGTCCAATCCGGATTCGCCATTTGACTGGAAATGATCGGTCAATTCTTGACCCTTTGGAGATGGATAGATACCAAGCTCATTCAAAAAGGTTCTCACGGCTTCAGATACACCCAGTGGCGACGTGAATGCTAAGACATCGCCCCCAGCGTTGAAGAACTCAACCAACTGAGCTCCGGTAATGTCAGAGCCCAATCTTCTCTGCTTTGATGGTAGCAGCACAACGTGCTGGTACTTAAACACACCATTGGTTTGCAATGAGACATCGCTACCTGCATCAGCGGTTTCAACCTGGAATCCATCATCCTCAAGACGAGACACGATATCGGTATACGACTCCAATGGCGATAGCTTATCATCGTACACAAACAACACTTGCGGTCCCTTCAAGGACGACGCAAACGTTACGCACACTTGCAAGAGCAGCACCAGGAGTGAGAGCATTGTTAATTCCTGTTCAATTGGTAACAAATATGCCTGTTGAACCCCGTTAAGCACGTTGTTTGTTGGTTTAAACTGATGCCACGTCTCGGTGAAAAAAAAAGGGCGTTCACACCCATACAAAAAATACAACTTCGCGAACATGCCCGTCTACTTCTTCCCACTTCCATCAACATTGAACGCTTCAACAAGCAAAGAAGACACACATAGATACTCATAGAATGACTCAAGAAGACCAATCACAGGAGTTCAAAGAGACATTTGCGGATGCTTTGAAACGGCTCAATGAAGGTGAGAAGAGAGCAGATGAATTGGAAAAGATGCTGGATTCCTTAGAGCAGCATCTGGATGCTTTACTACAAGAGGCTGAAGACATTGCTCAACCTCAACCGTCGGAGTCACAGGATCTCAAGAAATGAATAGAAGCCTAGATAATGAACTCAGGGATGTCACTATCTATGAACGGGTTGATCTCCCTATGGGGGTTCACTTTGGTCTTTCCCTCGCTGGACGGAACAGTCACCTTGACACCTCCGTCCAACCACCATTTAACTCGGTCAGTGCTTGGAGGTGGTAGTCCGTGTGCCCTTGACGTATGTGATACCAATGTGGGTGTCAGCTGTTGTTGCTGCTGCTGTGGCTGTTGATGTTGATGAGGTTGGTGCTGTTGTTGCTGCTGCTGCTGTAGCTGCTGTTGTTGATGATCGCCAATGCCACCGTTGCCTATCGTCAACGGTTGGCCCAAGAGTTGTAATTTCCTCTTCTCGTATAACTCTTTTGTCAACCTATCTTGCTTCTTTTCATCAATCACAACAACTGTTGCATCGAATGTAGCATACACAGGTCGATGATCTGAGAATTTAATATCCGGTGCGTCGCCGTATGACAACTGCATGAGTGTACCCTCATGGGACTTGCTCAAGATTCGATCAGTCCATGCTGGGATACGGAATTTCTCACTCGTATCGTAGTGGGAAGTCCCCTTATTGAACTTGTACGTTGGTGGGAATTTGATCTCCATCTCGTTAAAATATGGGAACGATTCCCCTGAAATCATCTGCTTGTTTAGCTGATCGTGCTCAAACAAGACTGTGTATTGTTTCCTTTGGATTGCATCTCTCACTTGTTCGTTGTTAAGGTCAATTCTGTAGTTGAAATCACCAAACCATATCACAGCATCGTGGTCTTTAACAGTGCGTTTACCCCCAAACCTCATGCTCTGTGCAATTGTCTTATAGTCTATGTGTCTCTGTTCAACGTTTTCCATACCAGCTGCAAGGTGTGAACATATAAAGCACAATCTGGTTGATGAATAAAGTATGCTTGAACCTATACCTCCTTTATTCGCAGACATTCCAGCCATTCCAGTCTTCTTTAGAGACGACTCGACTTCTTTGATCTGATCAATTTGATCTTCTCTGATAAATATCATCAGTGCAATACCACCCAATTGCTCAGACGAGACTAATGAATACCGGTTTCTTTGTCCTAGAGTTTTCTTCAGCTTGTATTCCCATTTCTTCTTCTGTAAACTACTGGTGTTTAGCATTTGACTCGTGGTCAACTCAACAACCTCCTCCAGTCCAATAACCGCAAGATCGTATACCTCATCTTGGTGTGGGAATATCCACGACGACAGATCTTCATCCGTCGTTTCAGCATTGACGTTAAAAGTGCCTGTAAACAACCTGATTGTCTTCTTGCTGGAATACTCCGATTTCCTCTTTAGAAGTTCCTCACAAATGAAATCATGGATCGGATCAATCAACCTTATATCGTTTGAAGCGACGCCAACGTACAGCTTTTTATCCTTACGTCGTATGGACTTCTCATAGATTTGAAGCAAAGCACTATTGTTTTCATCCCATAACAAATTGTGCTTGACCAGTAAATCACTTGAAAGAGGCAACCCCATCTCTCGAAGTGAGATATCCATAACTTCTTTACTGATTACCTTTTCAATGAGACCAGGTTTCTCAATCGAGTTTAAGGAGTTGATTCTAAAGATACCCAACTGTTTTCCAATGTAAACCTTTTGTTTGATATCATAGCAGAACGCACCAATCTCCAGGATGGCCTCCTTCAAAAGATAGATAAGCTTATGAGGCGACTTCTTTAACGCATCTCTCGTTATATCGGCATCAATTAATGGAAGCCCTTTCTTCTTCACAAGATACCGATAGCGATTACTCAGTTCCTCTTCGCCAGCTTTATTCTTGAGGGCATTGACAACGTAGACTTGACCGTGACTGGCAGTTATAGAGCCAAAATGTTTATCGAAACTCATCTCGTTAACCTCAGATGTTCTTGGGAAGCTGATCTTCTTGTTCTGTAGAAATGGATTCTCAACGTCATAGAACAAGGGAACGTTACCTCTCAGCTGAGAATAGGAAAAGTAATGATTCTTGTTATAGACTAAGAGCTCAGTTTCAATGAAGTTTGAGACATGGCCTTCCTCATCGACACCACCAATCCCAAATGGCCCAGATAACTTTGCACTAGAGATTCTTGAGATCAACGTTATCAAAGAGTCATCATCACCGTCAAGTGATACGTTAAAGGTCTTGACAAACCCTCGCACGAGAAATGTCAGGAACTCAGACCTATCGAATGCGTCTCTTTCATCCTGTGTAATTCTGTTCCTGAAGGCCAAGAGCTCTCTGATCAACGTACTATTCCAAAGATACTTCTTCTCGTAGTTGTTGAACATCTGATGATAATCTCTCTGTGCCAGCCCACGTTCTTGCAATACGTTCGTCAGATCGAAATCCCTCGAGTAGTGGAACCCCTTGGTGAACACCTTCTTGATCTTTGAGCATGGGTGCTCAATCTCATACCTCTGGGCAGCATTCTCACTCCTGAACCTGTTTGTTACCAACGAATCATAGTCGGATGATGATAAGCAATAGAACTCCAAGTCCCTTATCTTATAAACAGCCTCAGATGGACGCGGAGATCCAACCTGTAGCTGCTCAGTGATCACTGCAAAGTACAACTGGTTCTTGGTGGACAATATCCCAATCAACCCATGGAACAACTGCGACACAATCTCTGTATACCCTTCCAATGAAGAATGTGACGCTCTTTGGAAGTCGATAAGGCATTCAGAAGGGCTAACTGCTTGCAATGTAAGCGCGTATTCGTTCGACACCAGAGCAAATGACCTTGGTGTGTTCCTAAAGAAGATTCTCATCGTCCTCCACGTTTAAGCCCACTACCGCCCTATTCGTTGTTGATGCCGCCGTTGTCGTTTACGGTGTTTATACCTTTGTTTACCTTTTCTGCTGCTGTGTTTTTTGCTCCAACCGGTATACGATTTCACAGCTCCAAAGGCCCACATTACGCCAGTTCTAACCAGAAAAGCGCCCAGAGAACCCAATGGTGTCGTTATTTGACCAATTATGTATGGCATGCCGTATCGGTGATGTCGATAGCGTCGATAAACTCTTACTGACAGGTGTTAACGTGAGTATGTTGCTGTGCCTTCGATGTCCATGGATCTTTCTAACCGACTATCTTTTAGGTCAATGACGTTGATGAGTTCGACTATACTCCCCTGTACCTGGCTTCGCTGTGTGGACATGAACCTGTTGTGAGACTGTTGCTACAGAGAGGTGCTGTGTGTGATACTGATAAATACGAAGGTGTTCGCTGTGTCTACGGTGCGCTTACTGACTCTATTAGAAACCTGTTGATATCGTTTGACATCTCAAAGGCCACGGATACAACGTTACCCTTTGCATCGCACCTTCGTTCTCTCTTGGAGTCTGATGAGCCCCTGACGAAGGACATTGTACTAGACGTTGGTGGAACTGAATCTCTTAGACTCCACAGGTTTATGCTCAGTGCAAGAAGCCAGTACTTTAGAGAGAAGCTGCTGACCAAATGGAAGGACAAGAACGTGATCCATTTAATGGCAGATTGTGACGAAGAAGCCTTTAAACTCGTTATCGGCTACCTCTACCTGGCACATGACCCTTTCAAATTCAGAAGGGGAGACCAGAAGCTGGTGCTACGATATGCTAGAAAAGTGCAATTGACACAACTGGTTGAGAACTTACAGAACAATAACTACATAGTTGACCCAAAGAACTTTGCCAGGCTGATGAAAGAGTTACAGCTGTCGTTGTTGGAGTCTGCGAGATTGGATTTCAAGCACTTTGTTGAATCAAGCATCATTGCTAACAAGATTGAAACCATACAATCTGACATTTCAGATGACCAAGTTGAACAATTACAGTCATGTTCAGCATTCCCAGATCTGATCTTTTACGTTACAGATTCAGAAACAGCAACGTCCACCTATTATCCAGTGCATCGTTCTGTGTTAATTCGTGATGAATACTTCAAAGTTATGTTCTCGTCTTCATTTTCTGAAGCACAGGACTATTCTATCTTGGAAGATTTACAAATAGTTGATAGATCGACACGATTGAGCATCCAGCATTTCCCGGTCCCAAACCATTACATTGCGGAGATCGTGTTGAGATTTCTATACTATGATCATACCGATATACCATTGGACCATGCCGTTGATGTACTCTTTGCCGGGGACCTCTTATTGAATGATAGACTGAAGACGATGGCAGCCGTTGCTATAACTTCATCTCCAGCTCTGCCCGATGGGTACGATCTCTATGACATCTTGAGAGCCTCTTGGGAAACCAGAGTTGAACGTTTGGAACACTTTGTCGCTAAGAAGATCGCTTCTAATTTAGACGAGTTCATAGAGGATCCAGAATTCCACGACATTGTTTCAGAGAGTGCACAGAGGATCACAATACGTCAAGAGACTGATACCATTGAACTGATTGATGATATCAGATTCTATTTGGCAAAGAAGTGGAACATTGATTTTGACGGACTATTCGAAGGGCAAAAGAACGATTTAGTTGACCAATTGCCAGGCTACTCCAATTATGAAATGGACATGGCAAAGATCGAAGCACTTCTATCAGAATTACAATTAGATGCATGATAGTGTTAAAATAATTGTCATGTTTATAAGTCCATTTTACGTCCTACTGCATTCAAGTAAATGCTGAGTTAAAAACACACACATGCAAAGGAAATAAAATGTTATGTACTTTTCACAGCTTCATAAATTGTTGTTTAGTTAGCTTTCTTCTTGTTGGTCTTCTTCAAGTGATCTGGCAACCAGGAACCATCAATTTGAGCTGCACCTGTGGACTTTGCAGATGTTGGGGTTGGAGTAGCAGATGCGGTGTAACCAGCATTCTTCAAGTAGGCAGCACCCCAGTTCAAGTAGACGAAATAGACACCAACACCAAGAGTAGCAATGAGCAAAAGCTCCAGGATAATCATTTGAGGAGAAAAGTATGACACTGGTGGATCTTCGACAACGGCGAGGACACTCTTTGCGCCAATCTTAGCCAAACCGGAACCCTTTGCAACGTACAAGAATGGGATCAGCAAGTAGTTACCAACAGGAACCTCGGCACCAAGGAATTGACGGAAAGTACTGGTCTCTCCTGGTTGTAAAGTGATTGGTCCAACTTTGGCATCTGTAATGTTGGCAAGAACGTGACCGTCAGTTGGGTCAGCAAAGTGACCACCGACACCAACAATGTGCACGGCATCCTCCTCGAGATTTGTGAAGGTATAGTTCAATGTGAGTTCTTCAGTCGTGTAGATCTCAATCAACCCAGTGTTAGGCTTGCCCTCGATGATGTAGTCAATGTCAAAGTTAAGCTGTGGCAGATCCTCTTTGTCAAGGTACTTTCCTTTAAGTTCCCCTCCTTCAGGGTTGCTGAGGTCGATCTGCGCAGATGTGAGCGAGAACAGGGCTGTGGCTGCCACGAAGAGTTTAGAAAGCATTGTCTCTATTGAAAACGTATCCAATTGGTAGTTGTGATGGCTCAAACAGATAGAACGTAGGGAAAAACACACTACGGATAAATTGTCCAACTCGTCGCTTTGGAGATACGTGGAGCTAAAGTTGCCAATACCGCCTGAGGACACTTACCCGGCCGCGATGGACGAAAGCCTCAAAGTGAGGGGAAAGGGTTACCCGGCTTTCGGTCCATGAAACGCCATCATCGTGGAGGTTACCATGGCTACCGGAAACAAGTACATCTGTGTTTGTTATTGTTTACATCTTTATTAGATCCAACTGTTGATGTGTCAATGCCAGACGGTCAGTCGGCGGCTCTGCTAAACTGTGCTCTTGAGAGTGGTTTGTGATGGGAATGCACACCTGTTCGACAGTGAGACATAGACTGGACGGGTCAATCAGCTTCAATTGATGTCGTATTTACCAGGTGCAATGAGCCTAATGGAACGATCCGTATCTGGCACTTCGTCCTGTAGATGTCCAATCGCCAGGATAGCTCCAGGGTAATGTCTCAATAGCTCCTTACATTTCTGGACGGTGTGCTCATCCATGACTGAGAGTGCCTCGTCGAGAATCAATAACTCTGGGTTTCTAACCAGCGATCTGATAAAGAGTGCCAGCTTCTGGTCACTGATGTTGAGCTCTCTGAAAGGAATGTCGACTTTATCCTTCAGATCGAACTCGTAGATAAAGGTGTCAATGATGTCCTTCTCTCTGGAGGATAACTTGGACTGCGGCATTATGGAGCCAACTAGGAAGCCGGTAGCAATTGTCTGGTAGAGGGTATGATGGCCCGGGTAAATGGCATGCAACTCTGGTGAAGTGAATCCAATGGACTCATTGATGTCAAAGAAGCTCTGTTTGCCGGTACGTCTTGGGACCCCATGCATGATGATTTTGGAATTCCAAGATTGGGGATGTTCACCCGTGATTAACGACAACAGCGTGGATTTGCCGGTACCATTGTTTCCTTGGATGTGCCATCTTTCACCTGGCATCACTTTCCAACTCAGATCTTGTAACACAGGTTGTCCTCTGTATGCGACTGATACGCCATCAAATTCCAATAACGGCGTGGTTGAGTTCAACCGTTTCTGATACTCCTCTATTGGGAAAAGCTTCTTGATTTTGGCAATACTTTCGCCCTGTCTCTTCAGCTCTTGCTCTTGTAGCCTCAAGGCTTCTTGTTTCAGGACCTCCACGTGTGGTCTCAGCTCCTGTGATGTCCCTTGTTCTACGATGCCTTCGGAATCGACGATGGCAATGTGAGTGATCCAATCAGGCACAGGATCCTGGACTCTAAGACCCAGTATAACATGAGGGTTAGGAGGCAATTGGCCTAATACATCACACACAATCTCTGAAGCAGTGGGGTCCAGGCCGAGAAATGGATCATCAATCACCAATAACCGTGGCTCTCTAACCAATGCCCTAGCCAATCTTGCCCTTCTGGTTTGTCCGTTGCTTAACCCCAATGCCCACCTGTCCTCTAATCCTTCCAGCTTGAACTTCTTAAACACATCATCAACAAGCTCATAGTTGATGTGTCTATGGTTATTGACGTTGCCAATGACGAATTTCCTTGTTGTTTGGTCAAACTCGTCTTTGAAGAACTCGTAACGGGCAGCCAAATGTGCCGTGGGCAGTACACCTTTGAACTCGAGGAACTGAATGGCACTAGACGGCCACACCGACTTGTTCAAAAAGGGATAAACCCTCGATAACGGCGGCTCAGCGTTGTACTGAGATGCCAAAACCTTCAGGAACTGGGTCTTTGCAGGTCCCACAATAGCCCATCTCTCCGATGATTTGACACCAAAGTTCAAAGGCTTTGAGAAGATCCATTGAGACCCTACACCTGCTTCCTTGAAGAGCGCGTTAGTCAGCTGAACCACTGTACTCATCTTTATCTCCTCAGAAGGCGTTATGGGTAAAGTGTGAGATAGAATAAGAGTGAAGATGACTCAGCTAGTTGGAAGCTCTATAAGTGACTCCAAAGTGCGCTTCCGGGTATATAGGGAGATACACGGAGATACGGGGAAATAAACTCCACCTCCCAAGAGCGCGATACGATTCCCCCGAGCTCGCTTAAACCTGCTCTGTTTTCCTATGTTGGTCTAGCACAGCCAGTAAGTTTATATACCGTACAATTACCGCTGGAGTCATCAATAGAAGAAGGAAAATTTTTCATAGGTGTGGTAGTCTTCTGCTAAGTTGAGTGTATAAAGGGACACTGGGCCGTCAGCTATGAGAGTGATATCCGACGCACAGATCAATAAGCTTCTCCTTCCTCTTAAGGCGAGAGGTGTGGAGGACTTTCAAAGGGTCCTGTACACAGCACTGGCCAAGTACCATGGTGATCATACGTTGATTCCCGAGAGAATTGTTGTCAACAGGCCGGAATTAGACGCTGTGCACTTCTTCATGCCAACGTTCTCGGATCGTGTTGGTATTAAGACACTTGGTGGGTCTAAGAAGGGATTCGAAGGTGCAGTGATGATCATGGACGAGAACACTGGAATCCTGAAAGGCGTGTTGAGTGCCAGGGCCATTACAGGGTTCAGAACTGCGCTGTGCTCTACAATTCCATTGATGAAGTTCATCGACAGAGATGCTAGAGACCAGGTCATGACTGTGTTCGGTAATGGATTACAAGCGTATTGGCATGTTAAGCTGACGTTGGAACTGTTTCCATCGTACTTCAAAAAGGTTCAAATAGCAGTGAGAAGTGTTAATGACAAGTCCAAGGAATTGCTAGACAGATTACAGAATGAATATCCACAGGTGGAGTTTCCACTGGATGATGAAAAGGAGGTTGATCTTTCAACCTCCAATGTCATCTATGGTTGTGTGCCATCCACTGAACCGCGTATCCTTTTCGACAAACTAGGTATTGACAACCACAAGGTATTCATCTCCATCATTGGAAGCTACAAGCCTCACATGTTTGAAGTTGACGACAAGATTGTCCAAACTGCAATGTCAAACGGTAAGATAATCGTGGATTCGTATGATCATACGCTTCATGAAGCTGGTGAATTGATCAAGAACAACGTCACTCCTCAGAACTGTGTTGAGATTGGAGAATTGGAGAACCTCACCCCAGCAGACATCAATGGTGGCTCAAACTTGACTCTTTCAAAGATTGTCGGGCTCGCCATTATGGATATCTCTGTAGGAAATGAGATCTTGGAAAGGGCAGAGAAGTTAGACATTGGAACTGTGGTTGAGTTCTAATCACTGATCTTATATTATAACCGAAAATACTCAGACAGATGTACTATTACTCATACACAATTGATACGTTTTATATATAAATTTGCGGGCTTGTAGAGTAGATATGCGTACTGTGGCAGATGAAGTGGCTTTATCGGGTTGACGGTGAAATTGACAACAGACACAATTATTATGGGGGGAGCAGAGATTACATCTTCAAACAAACACGGTTAACATTACAAATAAGCCAATAAAGATGGTAAGCAATAAAACGTCTTTCAATCGTGGTACGATCAATCGACTAACAACCACCAATCAGTCTACAAATCTGTATTCGTTTTCCGAGGAGACATCTACAAAGCTTCGTAAGTTTCGCTTTGCAAGTGCAAGAAACGATGACGTTCAGGCTATGGTTTACGCCATCGACAAACAGTCGTATGAGATTCTTGAAGATGCCAATATCGACTCACCGTTGGGCTCAATTGAAGAGCTCGTTGAAGAACTACCACCGTCGAGCCCGAGATTCATAGTCCTTTCATACCCCTTGACTCTCAAAGATGGTAGAAAAGCGTCACCATTGGTGATGATCTACTGGTTACCACCAACGGCCCCACAATCGTTGAAGATGCTGTACGCAGCTGCTGTGGAGCTGTTCAGAGATAAGGCTGGTGTAGCAAAGTAAGTGGACATCAAACCATACCTATTCAATGGGGATCATACTAACGTTGTTATAGGCTGATTGAATACACAGACGAAGAAGACTTTGAGGAGATTGAAGACAATGTGTTATAACTATCCACGCTACTCTTTCCAGCTCAAAAACAGGTGTGTTATTGCTCCATTCGTATACTATGGCCGTATAATATGTGTGTATACTCTTTGTACTAGTGCAGCCCTAATATAGATCACATGATGTGTGTTTTTCATAAATCCCCGTAGCCCTGAACATCCGCACACCACACAGTCGTCACGCTGAAAAACTTCCGTGCATTCGCTGCCAGCTCGCGCTGTGGGCGGAAAACATGAAAAAGCTGAAAATTTATCAACACTTTCAACGTTAGGATACGTTACTAAAGGTTCATCAACATCGTCAAAAATGGGTAGATTGCACTCCAAGGTACGTGAATGATGCCGTTCAGCTGATTCGAACAAGAGATACAGAAAATAAAGATACCAAGTTCAAAGTTAAATAATCAGGAGGAAAACAAGTAATGACAGATAAGTTAATGAATATGGATCAATGTGGTTATCTAACGTTCAACTTACCCCTTTTTATATTGGGGGTTAAAGGTGTGACTGGGAGGATGGCATAGCCTTTGGTTAAGACTCTTTTGATTGGGTTGTTGATTCACCTGTCAGAGTTTTCCGTGCCGTTTTCCTCCTGGTCCAGCGTGAAGTTAGATTTGCTGCTTGACACCAGTTTATGCTACAACTACAACTGTTCTTCCAAAGGATACTGGAGGGCATTGCACTGTGGTTACACTGCAGTTTTGCGAGCTCTTTCACTCCGAGAAACTATCTGGTATCCAGTCGGGTCAGCAAGTGTAAGAGTTTCGGCTCCTTGCCAGACTTCCGATGTCTTCAAAATGCTGCTCTTCCTGACGGCAACGTTGGGGAGATCTGTGCGTATTGGTATACTAACTGTTATTCTATAGGGTAAAGGTATCTCTTCTTCTTCTCTTCCATACTCCAGAAACGCTCCAGCTTGGTTCAAGCTCTCTTCTGAGTCCGTTGTTGAGCAAATCATCAAGTACGCCAGAAAGGGTTTGACTCCATCCCAGATCGGTGTCTTGTTGAGAGACTCTCACGGTGTTACCCAAACCAAGGTTGTCACTGGTAACAAGATCTTGCGTATCTTGAAGTCCAACGGTTTGGCCCCAGAGATCCCAGAGGATTTGTACTTCTTGATCAAGAAGGCTGTCTCTGTCAGAAAGCACTTGGAGAGAAACAGAAAGGACAAGGACTCCAAGTTCAGATTGATTTTGATCGAATCTAGAATCCACAGATTGGCTAGATACTACAGAACTGTCGGTGTTTTGCCACCAAACTGGAAGTACGAGTCTGCCACTGCTTCTGCTTTGGTTAACTAAGTTATTTCCATGTGTAATAAAATGGTTTAATTTTACTATCCCCCTTTTTTCTAATGATTATCTCCTTGTTTGTATATTACTCTTTAAAATGGTTATGTTTCGGTTTGTATCTATCAACGTAAGGCTGCTTATTCATTCACTGCTGGATTCTAGTGATTATCCACCGTGGAACGTTGCACTTGAAACTTTTCATCGTACAGCCTGAAGGCAAAGATACCGAACTGTTTCAGGTCCAATTGCGCCTTTTCATCCTGGATGTCCTTAAATCCACCACCATAGACGTTGCTAGGATCCTTTGGCTCTCCAATGACCAAATCACCCAGACGTGGAACCTCACCATGGATCTTCACACTGGTACTCGTAGCAGCGTTTCCCTCCTCCTCTGAATCGTCGTCATCCCCGTACGTCGGCACTGGGATTGGAATATCATCCTCAGACTCGTCCTCCTGCTTCGATTCGCCGTTTCGTAACCCCCCAACAGCTGAAATCATCTCCAACAGCTTTGTCTTGAGATCAAGTGCTGAAGATCTTGCATTCACAGTGACTATAAAGGCCTGTTTCTTACGACACAGTTGCACTGAAACAGTGTTGTTTGACTCTCAAAAGTTAGTACCAGCATCTCAGATCCATACACCATGATACATAGCTCACCATTCTCTGTTGAACTGATTCTCTCTCTCTCCGTTGTAGGAAGTTGTTCCAGCCTGGTTGTGTTTTATATTGTGTGTGAAACTTCTCACTCAACGCACCCGAACATCAACAAATTTGTATACACCTACAGACCATCAGCCACGAAACAGGACACTGGGCTCTACGGCTTCAGAGTGTGTTGAACATTGCGATGGTTGCCCATTTCAGATCACTGGCGGCTCACAGAAGGCCTGTGCTCGAGCTTTACCGGTGCCTGTTACGGCACTGTGCCCATTTGCCTGGTGGTTCCTCGGTAGGCGATGAGCTCATCTCGAAGGTGAAGAGACACTTTGAGCTGGGGAAGGGCCTCATGTCGCCACGGCTGGTGAGGGAAAGGCTCACCGAAGGGTATGAATTGGAGCGCAGACTTCGGAATGGGATCAACAAAGGTGAATTGGACCTTGTTGAGGTGCGGGCGATGCTCTCTGTGCCAGAGAAGGGTGGCCGCAGAGCGTTGAAGAACCGATTTGGACAACCTATCAAACGAGACTTGGAGAATGAACAGGACCTCGAGCGTCAACAGATCCAGAACTACTTGAATAGATACATTCAGCTGAAGCAGCACCGTGGTGAACTGCCCAAGCGTATAGACCCCCTGGTGGTGGAGCCATTACTCAAGCCAGAGGCACTGTTCCACAGGGCCATGATGGACATTGAGATTGCACAGAGGAAGGTGTCAAGAGGCCCCTACCAGGTGCACGTGTCAACGAGCTCTGGTATGCGGTTCCTAAGAGGTCCATGGGTACAGCATCCACGTATCTCGTCGAAGATCTTACTACAGACCAAACTGGAGCAACAATTGCTTGATGTGACACGATACTACGAACAGTGGAGATGGCTATACGACAGTGAGAACCACTGGGAGCTACAGATGGGCACAGGTGCCGGTGATTGGGGCGAGACGATTGAAACGGGTATCAGGACGCTGGCCCGGAGAGTTGAATCTATCAAACTGGCCTCGAGGAAGTATGCTGAGAACAAACTACCGGAAATGTTGGTGAGGCAGCAAAGAGCCTCTGATGGGATACACCGTCGTATGAAGAAGAGGCTGGCACAACTGTTGGACGAAGCCCAGTACGTCACGCCCCATGAAGACCTGTTGAACAGGCCGACACTTCGACAACTCGTGGCGAAGCACAAGTTCCTCTCAAGATGACCCACCTAGTACATAGCCATCAATTGCCTTGCTCTGATCTTGTAGATACTCATACTTCTCCTGTGGACTCATCCCGTCCAAGTCGTCAAACCGGGTCTGTGTAGGAGGCTCAGGCTGTTCATTCTCAACGATCTTGAAGTCCTGGATCATCGAATCCATCTGCTGGATCGCCTCGTCTTGTTTGTCGTCCTGTAGTGTCAACGTGTCCATCCCGTTCAACACCTGTCGTAACGAGGCGCCTCTATTCCTCTCCTGTAACACTTCCTCTAGCAGCGTGATGCCGTTCTCGTACTCCATCGCACCATAGCTCTCCACGGTGACGTTTGGCCGTGCAAACAACGCCTCTGGCGACAACTGGGCCTTGTAGAACTCGGAGCATTGGAAATGGGTCTTCGTGCAATAGTACTTCAGGTACTCGTAGGGCAGCCCAACAGAGGTCCTGTGAAGCCCGTGCGCTCTGGCCTGCTTCTCACGGCACAGCGGATACGCACACAGCTTGTTGATGTTGCGCTCCTCTATCAATTCGCCGTAGACGTCCCTCGACAGGAACCTCGAGATGAACTTCAGGAAGTAAGCATCGCAGTCGTCATCAGCAAGCACCTCCAGTAGAATGAGCGTCAGCCTCGACGCCTCGCCAGGTGTCAGCGTCCCAGGATGAGAGAACTGCAGCAGGTTCGACTTGAACGAGTCGATTGTTATTGTCATGGCCTTGGTGCTCTATCGTGCCCACCACTGGCCCGTCCCCCCTGTTGTGATGAGGTTGTTTCCGTGGTGAAGTTTCCTAACCAATTCTCCCGCGCTGTGTGTGTGTGAGAGAGGGAAGGGTTTTCCACGCCTAAGCACAACAGCGGTGACGAGCACAACAGCGGTGACGAGCTCACTAGGCGCTCCTTCCCGGTGGAAATTAGGCAACAAGTTCTCCGTCCAGAGCTCACAAGATGGCTACAAAGCAGTCCACCACGGCGTACAACCTAGGCGGGCTCCTGCTGAGGGAGCTTGGCCTAGTGAAGAGATCGGAGGAAGCGCAGGCTCAGCATCAACACAGCGGTGCTACAACAGCGGTGCAGCCGCAGTTGATTCCACCGTCCGAGTCGTTCGAGCAGATAGTAAACATGGCCACATTGCCCTTCTACCTGGAGAGCTTCATCCTGTTTGGGCTGCTGTCGAGCCTCAACAGCTTCTTGCGGCTGGTTGTGGTGTTGCCGCTGGAGATCGGTGTGGATGTGATACTGTTGATACTGTCGATACGGGAGATGTTCATCATCAAGTCGCCGCGAAGAGACAAGAACTTCTTCCAGTACATCAACGTGAGCAACTTGGTGTTTGCGTCCTTGATCTTCACGGTGATCCTGTGTACGAACGTTGACACCTCCAAGATCTACCACACGATCAAGATCCAAAGCTCCATCAAGCTGTACGTGATGTTCGGTGTGCTGGAGGTGAGCGATAAGCTGTTGTCCACTGTTGGACAAGATCTACTGAACTATACGTTTTCACGGTCAGCGCAACAAGTATCACAGACCCCTTCTGGGTTTATCAAGTGTCTGGGGTTTCTCCTGGCCAGTGCCCTGTATCTTTCTGCCCACACCATCGTGCTGGTGTACCAGACCATTGCTCTTAACGTTGCCGCCAATTCGTATTCGAATTCGCTGGTGACGTTGCTTCTCTCAAACCAATTTGCAGAGATCAAGAGCTCCGTGTTCAAGAGATTGGATAGAGAAGGCCTATTCCAGATGAGTTGTGCTGATACCGTTGAGAGATTCCAACTGTTGATCCAGCTCGGGATAATAGCGCTGAGAAACATGGTTCAAATTGGATCAGATCCACAGAACTCAGGTCTGTTGCCCAATGTGACAATACACGGTATTAACAAGTGGTTTGGGGTTGTCCTGGGACCAACTGCAATAGTCATTGGAAGTGAATTGGCCGTTGATTGGGTTAAGCATTCCTACGTTACAAAATTCAACAAGATTAGACCACAGGTGTATAAGAAGTACCTGGATGTGCTTTCACAGGACGTTGCCAATGACTTCAAATGGAGGCACGCGAGTGGGTCCACCGATAGGGTTCAGCAGAGATTGGGTATCCCACTGCCGGCACTGTTCACGCTATTGGTTGTCATGTCAAAGGATTCAATCGCAAAGCTATTCTATTCGGACAGTACGTCTTCTCCGTTGGTGTACCCAAACGTTGCAATTTGTATCACTCTGTACGGACTACTGCTTACCTTTAAGCTTCTACTGCAATTGGCTCTGTTAAAGAGATCCAATAGCATTTTGAAGTCCAAATCATCACCATCATCAGCAACAGACCAATCCGACTTTGTTCCTGGAATCACGTCCGGGGGCCACGGTGCGATGGACCAAAAGGGCATAGATAGCATATGGGAAGGTAAGGCAAAGTCAACCTCTCGTGAACCAAAGCAGAAGATGGGTCTCAACGGCGTGACCCGTTATAGAATGGTTTCCAAGCGTATCTGGTAACCACGGTGATGGGGTAACCATAGCAACAATTAAAACAGCCACAACCCGTCCATCACGTAGCTCATCACATAGTGTGCGTACCGTAAATGAAATGGTGCCACAAAGGCCGCCCAATGAAAATTTTGGGAAATGTCAACACTTCAAACAACAACAAGTAGCTATAGAAACAGGCAGAACAAGAGACGTTAGAACAATGGTTCCGGCTTCAGTGCTTTCCAGATCGAAGTTCTTCTTCATGCGCAATGCTGCTGTGCTGAACACGGTGAAGACGTCAGCGGTGAAGAAGAACTTCACGTTGGCTTCCACGATCAATACGAGATCGTCAGTGCTTTCGAGGCTGCTACCAGCGAGTCGTAAAATCAGTGCATTCACCTCGAAGCGTCAGTTCTCCACCTCCACGGTGTGGAGGGACGTTGCTGCTGCTGCTCTCAGGGAGGAGCCTGTTGCCAAGACGAGAAAGAGAACGCTCATCAACTCTTCGAATGCCGTTGCTTATTGGTTGCTAGGGACATCTGGTCTTGTGTTTGGTATCGTTGTCCTTGGAGGATTGACCCGTCTCACCGAATCCGGGCTGTCCATTACTGAGTGGAAACCCGTTACCGGAGCTATTCCTCCAATGAACAAGCAGGAGTGGGAGGAAGAGTTTGCTAAGTACAAAGAATCGCCAGAGTTCAAACAGTTGAACTCACACATCACCTTGGAAGAGTTCAAATTCATCTTCTTCATGGAATGGGCTCATAGACTCTGGGGAAGAGCCATTGGTGTTGTTCTGCTGGCTCCGGCGGCATACTTTGCATTGACTAGAAAGACCTCTCCTAGGGTCAACAACAGATTGGTTGTATTGACATTATTGCTCGGTTTACAAGGTGCCATTGGTTGGTGGATGGTTAGATCCGGATTAGATCAAGAACAGCTCGACGAGAGAAAGTCCAAGCCAACAGTGTCACAGTACAGATTGACAACCCATTTGGCTGCTGCCTTTGTGCTCTATTCTGCTATGATCTGGACTGGATTGGAGATTCTTAGAGAGAACAGATGGGTGAAAGACCCTAAGAAGGCTCTGGAGTTGTTCCAGGAATTAGACAACCCTGCTTTGAGACCATTGAGAAGACTCTCAATGGGACTCGTTGCCTTGACATTTATCACTGCCATGTCTGGTGGTTTGGTTGCCGGGTTGGACGCTGGTTTAATCTACAACACTTTCCCACACATGGGTGACAACTACATCCCATCAAAGAGAGAGTTGTTCGACGATAACTATTCCAGAAAGGAGGATAAATCTGACAAGTTCTGGAGAAACATGCTTGAAAACCCAACCACTGTCCAGCTGAACCATAGAATCCTGGCCACAACTACATTCTTTGCCATCCTGGCAACGCATTTGTATGCAAGCAGAGTGAAGCACATCATTCCAAAGGCTGCTAACAAATCCCTACATACCCTTATGGGATTCGTCTCTTTACAAGTCGCGCTGGGTATTTGCACTTTACTATGGCTTGTTCCTATCCCATTGGCATCTGCACATCAGGCAGGTGCATTGGCACTGCTCACAAGTTCTCTGGTATTTGCTTCAAGACTTCGTCAACCAAGAGCACAGATTAGAATCTTGACATCTGGATTGTACGCTCAATACCTGAAATCTTCGAAGGAGGGTGCATCCAAAGTGTTGTCTGAAGTGAGCAAACTGGCCAAATGAAACCATTGAATACGGCCTACAACGCATTCTCTTGTATATAGATATGTTATTGAATACACGTGTACTTAATAATTAGCTGCTGAATCGGGTAGGCCCATTCTCGTATCTCCCGTTATGTCTGAAGGAAGAGTTGATGATACCGCGAATTTCTCCTTTGCTGACGCTTTGAAAGCTTTTCGAACAAAACAACATCAACAATTCCACATTGTATAGGATAAAAGGACTTGGATAATACAACGATGCTTTTCCTCTCTTTTTTCAAAACATTGGTGGATCGTGAAGTGAGTCTTACACTTTCTGGTGTTAATGAATGGGATTTTTTTTTACTAACGTTCCACCAAAACTTGCAAACAGATTACGGTTGAAGTGAGTTTCAAACAAAGCAAAAGAGGCTATGTATAGGTTCTAACACCCAGGATAGTTAAAAAATGGTATTGAAATCACAGGAACGCTAAAGACCGCTGATCAATATTTCAACTTGAAGCTGGACAACATCAGAGTTGCAAACGAGGCCAAGTTCCCACATCTCAGTGCTGTGAAGAGTATATTTTTGAGAGGTTCCACGGTGAGATACGTCTACATGAGCAAGACCGACGTTGACACCAACTTATTACAAGACGCAGCAAGAAGAGGTGAGTATTCCAGTATCATCACAAGGAGGGTGGTCCATGAGGTTACATCTGTGTGTCTGTCTTACTAACAGTTTTCCATCACCAAAACAGAGGCCATGGCATCTTCTGGTAAGCAAGTACTTGGTCGTTGAGGTTTTGTACCACTTTTAGGATTAATATACAGTAACTGTGTTATATACAACGGTGTAATGGGACTCTTCCGTAGTATTAAAAGCGACACTAATCAACTCCACTGAGAATCCACCAGGTCTGATGATAGATCACGTGAGAATCCACGTGCACTCTCCTCAATAAGGACCAAACAATTTGCAAACTTTGCGCTGTAATGGCTCTTTTAGTGGAATGGCGTCCGTTTCTGTTCCGCGGAAATGCCCAGCTTGTCTGGGTGTTGCCCATTGCCAGTTTCCAGTTGAGGTGTCCTGGTTCGACTTTTGCGGATGGTGAAATTCTCCCGCTGTGAGTAATCCAGCTTGGGAGCACCGAGCAATGGCCAGTAGTACCGCCAAAGGGGAGTCAATCCAGCATGGCACTACTGCCCGTGAAGGGGCGGTCAGGATTGCACCAGGCTGAGGTGTGGGAACGCGGAAAGGGCGTGAAACCAATTTTTTGCACTGCGTTCAGGATCCAGTAGGAGAGCTCATCGAGACGGCTTTGGCGATGTTTATTTTTTTTTCGTGCTGATGACTGAAGTAAACAATAAACTTGTTTATCAACTAAAGGCACGTTGTTCTGTTCAGCCATGTCAAAGGAGCCATCTGCTAAGGGTAAGAAGATCACTACAATCACTACACTTTACGATGTGTGTGACAGAGATCGACAAGTGAAATATTCAACTCTTGGGCCTGATGAGGTGCTTGCTAAGCACCCTCGGTCGCCATCTATAATCCCCGTCAGACATCGGTCCCATGAGTTTAAGCTACCTGACTCGGAACTGTTGAAAGTTATACATTACTACGTTGCTAAGAAATATCCAGGTAAAAGATTGCTGTTTGACGAAACTGCACTATTAACCATGGGGATTTTAGTTGAGGACTGGGTCGAGAAGAGCTTCAACGACCAAGCTCATGACCTTTACAGTGACGTTACGAGAAACCATAGACGTAAACGGCTCAAAAAGCTAGATAAGAACCATCATGACTCATGAAGTGTCCATTATCCTCAGGTTTCAGCTCGGAAATGATCTTCAACTCACGTCTCACGGCCTCTTCGATACTCAAGTTCTCCTTTGTAACGTACTTGATGAAGGCTTCATCAGGAACGAAGTCCGGTTTGATGCTAACGTCATCGTTTGGTCTATCTTTCTCCTTGGTATCGATCAGGCCAGGGTGGTAGCTTATGACGATGAAATTCTCGGGTTTCAACTCATAGCTTAGTTCCTTGCTCAGCATATTCATGGCAGCTTTGGAAAGACAATAAGGTGCACATGGATATGCACTTGCAAGGAAATATGGGAACTCGGAGACTGAGCCCATGATACTCGACTTGAAGATGATCTTTCTGGACTTGGACTTCAACATGTACGGCTTGATGATCTTCAGCGTCTCAATAGGACCTAAGGTGTTCACCTTGAAGAAGTTGAGGTACTCCTCCTCTGTGCTGTTCAGAACATCACTCTTTGCATTGTTCAAAGCTGCGTTTGCGATGAAAACATCAATAGTACAATCCATCTTCTGTAATTCAGTTGCCAGTGTAACCAAACTTTGAGGGTCGTTATAGTCCAGCTTGAGCACAGTCAACTTGGGGTTTCTCGTCACCATAACCTCTGGGATGTTGTCCAGATGACGGAGCGTCGCAATCACATGGTTATCCCCAGATTCAAGCAGCTGCTTGACTAACTCACGGCCCAGTCCCCTGTTGGCACCGGTAATAAAGTATGTTGGCATTTTGACTCGTCCTGTCTGTTGAATGTCTTCTCTTGCTTGCGCCTTCTGTACTTCTCTACGGATGTACAAATTGTCACTGTTTGCTGCTGTATCAAATCTCAGATGGAGATATATATGTTCAGGCTGTTACTTCCCACACAGCAGAAGTCAAGAGGATGAAGAAACAGAAACGAAACCGTACGGTATTAAATCCCACACAATGTTACCTTCTTCCCCGTGTTGCTTGGATTTGGTATGTGCAGTACTCGTTTCCCCGGGGAGGGAAATAGAGGGTTGTGTCACCAGGGTAATACTCGTACGTTTGCTCCTCCAATGGGAGGACAGCTGGGGTGGAAAGAGGCTGAGAACTGCACATGTGGCCATTCGCTTATTCCGTAACGGTGCAAACGATAGTTGGATAGGCAGTACGACCTACACACTAAGACGATTGACAATAGACCAACAGCACTGCTTCATGGTCTTCTCTTCCTTTCTTCCACACTCCCATGGTTACGTAAGACTTACATAAGCGATGAGGTGTGTCCCCTACCACTCGTTTCCCAGTGTCTCGAAAATTTTTCAGTTCCGGCAAAGATAGAGAGAAATGTCCCAATCCTCCAATACACGGATAGCAGCCAGAGCAAGTGCTTAGTAGCTGTTTTGTTGCCTTCGAGAAGATTGTTTGCCATGGCTAAGAAGAATTTCAGAGGCAGAAACTACAAAGGTAAGAACGCGCAGCGTACCAACGACACTGAAAGCGGATGGGCAGAGATCAACAAGGAGAATGAAAAGTGGGAGACGTTTTACAAGGCTCAAAACTTGCTGTCAGATGAGGAATTTGCAGAGTTCAAGGAGTCATGCAAAGTGCCGTTGCCATTGACGTTTAGAATCACCGGCTCTAGAAAATATGCTAAGGAGATCCTCGATATCTTCAAGGAGAGACATCTGAAGTACTTGCACGATTTGCAATTTGAAGGTGAGCACCTTCCACAACCAAAGCCATTGGCCTTCTATCCAAACGAATTGGCATGGCAAGTTGATGTTGCTAAGGGAATCATCAGAAAAAACCCACAATTTGCGAAATTGCAACGTTTCTTAGTCATTGAGAATGAGGTTGGTAACATTTCTCGTCAGGAGGCTGTCTCCATGATTCCTCCATTGGTGCTCGACGTCAAATCGCACCATAAAGTGTTGGATATGTGTGCTGCTCCAGGTTCCAAGACTGCTCAACTTATCGAATCACTACATGCCGATACCCAATCACCAACTGGTTTTGTCATTGCTAACGATTCCGATTTCAAAAGAGCTCACATGCTGGTGCATCAGATCAAGAGATTGAACTCTCCAAATATGGTTGTTGTCAACCACGATGCTCAAATGTTCCCAAAGACATACCTCAACAACCAAGTTGTGAAATTCGACAGAATCTTGTGTGACGTTCCATGTTCCGGTGATGGTACCATGCGTAAGAATGTTCAAATCTGGAAGAAATGGTCTATTGGCGACGGTTTGGGCTTGAACAAATTACAATTCAAGATCTTACAACGTGGTATCAACCTGTTGGCCAACGGTGGTAGATTGGTCTACTCAACGTGTTCCTTGAATCCAATGGAGAACGAAGCCGTTGTTGCAGAGGCATTGAGAAAGAACAAAGACATTAGATTGGTAAAGACAGAATTGCCGGGTCTTAAATCTGCAAAGGGTTTGAAGACATGGAAAGTGATCAAGAGAGATGGTACTGAAGCTTCAAAGGGTGAGGATGCCAAATACGGTGATGAACTTTTCCCACCTTCCGAGGGTGAGGACTTCAACTTAGAAGACTGTATCAGAGTCTATCCACATTTCCAAAACACTGGAGGTTTCTTCATCACTGTTTTCGAGAAGGTTGACAGCACGGAAGACGAGCCATTGGTTAAGAAACAAAAGACAAGTGAAAACTCCACTTCGACGACTCCAGCTCCAAAGAAAGAGAGACTTTCTACACAAGCAGGTGATGGTAATGAGCCATTCAACTTTTTACCATCAGACCAAGAAGAGTTGAAGAAATGTTGGGAGTTTTACGGTATTGATCCAACCGATTCTAATGTCGTTGACTGCTGCTTTGTTAGAAATGCCACTGGTGAACCTTCGAGAATCATCTACCTTTCAAACCCAACTTTGAAAGACTTCCTCGTCTCTAATGAGGAGAAATTGAAGATTGTCCATTCTGGGTTGAAATTTTTCGTATCTCAAAGAACAGATCTTGTTTGTAAGTGGAGAATTCAATCTGAGAACCTGCCAATCATCAAATCCAAGTTGAGTGATGCACGTGTCATTGACTGTTCTATGGAACTTTTCGAAAAGTTACTGAAGGAGGCCTTCCCAAGATTTGAAGAGTTGGAGAAAGATGAGCATGAGTTTGCTTCGAAGGTATCCCAAATGCCACAAGGTTGTGCTTTTGTCAAGATCGGTCGTGGAGATGAGCTCGAGGAACTGATCTACCCTATCTGGGTCGGTAAGAACTGCATCAACTTGATGTTGAGTAAGAAAGAAACGTTCGAGGTCTTGTACAGAGTGTTTAACATCACCACCGAGGCCAACCAGGAGTACAAGCAGGGGCCAACTTTACAGAGCTCCACTGCTGTTATCGGTGAAAGTACTGCTGACAGTAATGAACAAGCTCCAGAAGAAGCTGGACAGTAATTACTACACTGCTAATGCAATATGGTATCTGTTTTTTTTTTCTAGTTGCTAACAGTAGTTAAATCAAGACAACGACTTCTCTTTGATACTTCTTAACAAATCATTTGATTTCTTTTCATTCTTTTCCAAGATTAGACTCTTTAGACACGCATTCTCCAATTCCAGTTGATTTATGCGCTCGTTGAAAGTAGCGACTCTATCACTCAACAGCTTGACATTACGCTCCATCTCTTGTTCTTTCAGTTTCTTCTTCACCCTGAATCTGGCAGATGCCAATGTGTTACGTTTCTTCTTATCCTGCTCTACTTCATCGTGTGTCTCTATAGAAAGTTTCGTCGTCTCCTGTGTCTTCGCCAGCGACAGCACCTCTTCGGTCTCCTCCTTCACTATGGTCTTTGTAACAGGGTTCTGTTGTGTGAAGCTTGTGGAGTTATAAAACTGCGTCAAGTTCTCCGGTAGCTCTGAGGGTATCTGGCTGCTCAGCTCGTTGACGTTAGGGCCTGGCACCGACACCTTGATCGAAGAGTCTGATTGGAATTGGTCAAAGTCAAAGAACGTTGAATCCATAAACGACTCGAGATCGTTACCGGCTCCATTGTTCAACGCCACAGATGGCACTTCCTCGAGATTCAACTGCGATATGTAATCCATGATCTGCTCTCCTCCTTATGAACTGTTCCTCGCAATGCAACTTATGTCACTTGATCCCGCCTAGTAAGCCAGTACAGCTGTAATAGCCAAAAGAAAGAAAGAAAGAGAAGTAGCAAAGAATTGTGGCTCACCTTTTTTTGCAGAGCCTCGAGGTGGCCTTGTTGAGTTTTTTTTAAGTTTGTGGCCCGGCAGCCTGGAAAACTCCCCGGTTTCGGAGTCAAGAAAAAACTTTTTTGTATGGGGGCAGAATCGCGGAGGAATTATGGAACCCAAAGGGGAAAGTTAAACCGCTTTGGGATATTTGAAAGCGAAGCTTTCTGTATGGTTATGAGAGAAGAGAACGGTGTATTGTTGTGGACGGGGATGATAGGCCACTCCATGCTACGCTATTGGTGCTGCTGGAGTTCCGTTGTGCTCTCAGTTCTTGATGTTGGGGTCTCTGGTGACCGGGGCCTCTGGTAACCGGGGCCTCCGGTTGCTCATTGTTGGTGGTTGAAGCGGACCACGCACCTGACTCCGGTTGATTTGTAATCCCAGCACTAACACTTCTCCCAATTGGTGTGCCATTGCGCAATTTGCTGATTAATCGAGCATGTTAACCATCTGCGCATCTCTATTGGCTCCATGGATTGTTCCGAATCGTTAGATAAACAATAACAGAATCTGTCCCTTGCATAGGTGTCGTCTTCCTCATTGGTGCACGGCAGCTCGAACTGTGGTGGGCCCTCCGACTCTTTCAACGGTGCGTGCGACTGGCGGGTGTCCGGATGTGTCTTTTTTATTGATTACGTAAGATATTATGTAATCCATCGGTACGCGCAGCACAGGCCATAGGGCCTGTGCTCCAATGTAAACAACACTCTATCAATGGTTCCCTCAATCACGTTACAACCGTGTATATCCGGCTTAAAGGACACAGGGATGGCTGCCAACACTGACTCCCCAAGCGTCGAGGGCTCCGTCACCGCTGTTGACTACTTGTCCTCGCAACTGAGCTTGGAAAGAGAGGCAAGAGACCTCATGCCATACGATCCAAAGGTGTGCAGTTACACGATGGGGCCTACTAGACAACAGGTTTACGCGTGTTTAACGTGCTTGGAGAAAACAGGCATCCCCTCTGGTGTCTGCTACTCGTGCTCCATTCAGTGTCACTCGGATCATAATCTGGTTGAACTGTTCACCAAGAGATACTTCACCTGTGACTGTGGAACCACCAGGACTAAATGGTGCTGTTCATTGAGAGACGGTGTTGATGACGATATTCCGGAGAGTCTGAACAGGTATAACCATAACTTCAGGGGCAAGTTTTGTCACTGTGCAAGGGACTATAACCCTGTGGAGGAGACCGGTAATATGCTACAATGTATTCTAGGGGATACATGTGATGAGGATTGGTTCCATGATTATTGTATCATGGGACTGCCAAAATTTGATCCTCCGTCTCCTGTGGAGGACGACAAACAAGGTGTCAATGTACTGGATACATTGGGCGAGCCAGGACTCGATGCCGAAACAATGAATGACAACGGAAATGAAGACAAAGAACAGGTGATTGACGGGTTCCCAAGATTTGAAGATTTTGACTGTTATGTATGCTGGCAATGCGTTTCAAATCATCGTGATTTCTTCGATAAGATTAAAGATAATACAGACATCGTGGCAGATACGCTACAGAGGATTGAAGCACCAACCATTTCTGAACGTAACGATAAGATCAGAGAACAAGGCTCATTTCTGAACACGCTGAAGAAACGGAAGATGGACTACGAGTATTCCGTTTTCCTTAAATCCCAGCATGAATCCCATTTTAAAGCGTTATACGATCAATATCAGGACGATAACACAATTCACAGCTTTCTGGATGAATTCCCGTTCTTGATGAAGGATGATCCCGTATATGAGCCACCACAGGACGATGACGATGGTGGTTCTTCTGTGTATGATCTAGGAACAAAGGCGATCAACTCGCTTCCAAGGGAAAAGGCAATTGAAGGTGTCCAAGTCTTTGAGGATATCAAAACCAAACTAAAGGACTTCCTAACTCCTTTTGCACAGGATGGTAAAATTGTCAATAAGGAGGATATACAGGAGTTCTTTGAGAATCTGAAAAAAAAATCCAAGGATTAACTGTCGTACTCGTTGAAGTACGTGTCTATAGTGTTATAAACGTCAACGTGTAACACCTCTCCTTTGAAGATCAACGATCCCTTTTTGAAGATCTCTGGCTCGTTGTTGTAATTGATTTGGAACTCTGAGAACAAGATCTCGTTCTTATCACTGCTGAGGGTGCCCATCAGCCTCTGTTCTGCCTCTTTGGTTGTCATTCCGCCTTTCAACACCAAATTCCAGAAAGTTGTATTGTACAAGTTGTTTATATGCGTATCGACATATCTCCAGCTTAGATAATCCTTCACGGTTTGTAAGTTTGGGTAGACAACAGCTCTTCCATCAAACGTGGGCATGTGTTTGATCTCAAGGGGCGTGTTGGGGAAGAACTTGGGCCAAAGCTGGACGTAATGTGCAGTGTACGTTGAGACAAAGGTGGAAACCAGCTTGGATTCCCTCCTGTTGAAGAGATCACACTCCTTTCTAAGAATAAAGCTGTATTCGTCCGACTCTCCAAAGGCAACCAAAACGTCCTTAATCTGTCTGGTGACGTTCAGAGCAGCGGCGTTGGCCAGCTTGAGAGCTCTGATGTCGTTCGGCTTGACAAAGTTGTAATGGTCAGTAAACTTGTGGAACCCACGTCCGTCAAGACGAATCACAATAAAAGTCTCCGGAAGCAGCAGGTTATCACGCTCGAACTGCTTCACGTACTCAAACCTCGACTTGGCCATTTCCCCCTAGTGGATGATGATGATGAACAGCACGTAGCCTAAAGTGATTGAACAAGTAAAAGGAGCTTTTGTATATACAAAGAGCACTTGACGAATGCACTACTGTTGTCTTTACCAATAATACGCCTTATGCACTATTATGTAGCTTGGGTTCTAGTTATGGTCACAAAA